TCATTGCTGTTTGAGGCAAGAACGGGTGTTCTGCGAACCACACTCTAAGAAAAAAGGGAGGAGAAAGGTAGCAAAAGCGACTGTTCCTCCTTGTTGCGGACAAGTTGCCCAGAGAAGGGAGGAACGGCAGTTCAGATGAAAGGAGGAGGGTGAGTTCCTCCTTGTTCAGTTGGCGCAGGGGTAGAACATCGCGCTACTGACCAAGTGGTCAACGGTTCAATCCCCAGGAAAGTGTTTTTTTTTTTTTTTATTTTTGTTTACCAAAACACACATAAACAAACCCAGACCGATGAAAGGAAAATTAAAGTCCTTATTATTCTCCGAGACGTTTTCCTCCTCCAGGCAGACCGGAGAAAGCTTTCGCCCTCCCGACCAATCTTCTTTCGGTTTCGTTTTTCGAGCACATCGCGCACGTTGTTTAATAAATTAATGTTGAGTTGATTGAGCTTCAGCGGCAGCGAAGGCCGCCTGTAATTTCGTCTTCTAGTCCAAACGTGCAGAACATTTCGGTTGCATTGACGTTTTTACCACTAATTTGATCAAATGAGCTAACGAAGCCGCTAGAAACAGCGAAGTTCCGGAGCAGTGCCAGCAGTGCTACATACACTGGGTAAGACGGCCGTCTCCAATTTGCGGGACACACGCGGAACTACAGAAGTGAAACCACGAGGAACTGTGTCGACGTTTTCGACGTTATGGAAATCGCGGGAACTGCGTCCAAGGAAGGCAGGTTTCCCTGCCGGCTGCCTGGGTGCCTTCCGTGCTGAGTTCGGTTCCGTTGTCCCGTGCCGAGTGCCAACCGGCGTTCAACGTGATTCTTCTGCGTGTCAGCAACATCGTCAACGTGGTTCTGTATTTCTTCGTGTCAGCGACATCGTGATGGCAGTGTTGTGGGTTGTGAACAGAAGACTGGAATTATCGCCGATGTGACCGTGTGTTCGCGTATCAGTGGTGTAACCAGTGTAACAACAAGATGAGATGACGTAAACTGTCGGGCATTGATGCCGCTGGTCGGGCCGTTATCGGAGGGGCCGGGGTGTCGCAGGATGACATTCCGCTTTACATTAAAGAGTTTAAAACCACTTGAGGGATTAGGTGCAGTCGATCGACGTGTGGATAGTCATGTTGGAACGCTGGTCTGAACGGTAAGCTCCTATCGTACAGTGGCCAATGTGACTGTCGGTCCCCGAGAGCGATTGCGCTCTGGGGAAAAGACAACACTACGAAAGTATGACGGAAAGTACGTATATTTATAATGGAAGTTTAGCATAAAAAAAAAGACAGGCAAAAATCGAAAAAAAAAAAACGCTATCCTTTATTTTACTGTTTAAATATATTACGGTTCCTGTAGAAACTGCCCTCTAAGTGGCGCGCTGGGATGAGCGCTAGAAGTTTTCGAGCTCGCAACGTCGCAGCTCCGTACACTTAACAGTTGTCGGAAGTCGCGGCTTTGACTGCATTCAAGTTGATCGAAAAGCGATTTCTGTGCCCGTGAAGCATCACTTCCAGCTGAGTGGATATCCGCTCTACAGAGATTAATTCAAGACGGCAATTGCAGCTTTGCGCGAACAGCACAAATAGAAAAACGAACACTACAATATAAATACTGGCTACGAAGGGCCATGCGGGAAAACAAACTCATGGCTTGGAACCACATTGGAGCGGCTCGATTTATTGGCTTTCAAATAATTATGGCATGATTGAGCGTCTTCTTTTTAATAAGAGATTCATCCCCTGAGCCATTAAAAATAGCCTCAGATGTATGACATTGCTGGAAAAGAATGAATATGTTCGGAATATTTTTTTTTGCTTAGGGAGTCACCGAAAAATTCCGCACGTTCAAAACGACCACTATAAAACACGGAAACGCAGGGATCGCTAGTAGTGATCGGGGTAGTGTGCTGTTGTATTGATGTTTGTATGTGCGATGCCTGTGTATGCGTTCAATATATGTTGACCTGATGTTTGTAGTGTGCGCAACGTGTCTACATGTGTTAGAGATTCCGAAGAAAAGGAAACGCAATTGTGGCGTAAGAAAATAAAAATATTTTTTTGTAAAACATGAATTGGGCGGTGCCTAGCGCCACCTAGCCTAGCTACGTGCGATTACTCTGCTTGACCCTGCCATCTGGTGGCAAGCGATTTAACATCCTTTTACGCTACGCGGCTACGCCATAATTTCGTGTTACCGTGCTGAGATAAGCCAAGAGGTTGCTTCGGATTTGCTTTTTTTTGAGAGCGGCTTTTGGTTTTGCGGGCGAATGATTTTCACTCCTCCGTGATGTGCGGTTGACGCTACGGTTGACGAAGGAATTGTGGCTCGAGGAATAGCAAAGGTAGGACATAAAGTGCGCGAACTGAGTGCCGGTTGTCTCCGTTGAACATCGCAGTGCTGACGATGAGAAGACTGAGTGACTGCATGCTTTCGAAACGCAAGTTTCTTTACCTGCAGGGGTAAAGAAACTTCGGAAATAAATACAGTTCGCGGAAAGCTCGTGTCACGTTTTTATTTCCTGCTCCTCTCGCTTCGTGCAATAGACTTAGTGTTCTCGTTAAGCCTTACCGAGCTCGATTTGCTCGATTCGTGGCCGCCATAATGCGATGCAGTCGACGGAGGAACTTTTCCTCCCCTGCTTAAGGGACGAAAGTTTCTCCCTTTCTGAAGGAACATATGTGTCAAGAGCGTTCCTCCCTTTAGGGAGGACTATACTGACCCTTTTTTCTAAGAGTGTAGAACATACAGAGTGAAGTACCAGGAAATTGATACAGTGTGCACTGCTTGTGGAGAGGAGGACGAGACGGCTGAGCACTTGATACTCTACTGTAAAGGGCTTCACCCCATGCCTACCGAAGACAACATAGATTTAATAAAGTCATTGGGTTTTAGAGACAGCGAAGGGAGAGTGGATTTCAAGACTGTAGAGATTACCAAGCAAAGATTAAGTGAATGGTGGCAGAAATCGAGAGAAAACTAGGTATTTTCTTATTCACTGATGGCAAGGGGGTTTCATAGCCTCACTTTCTTTGCACTGCGGAGTGAATATATTTCACATTTAAATATTCTAAGCTTAAATGGTAAAACAAAATGGCTAGGTGGCGTAAGCTACCGCCCGATCCAAAGGGCTCAGCCGTATTCATCCATCATCCATCCATCCGGCGACACTAAAGTCACTGACAGCCTAAAACACGCAAGGCGCGGTGAGTCGCGTACATCTTCTAATCACTCCGCAGGTGCTGAAATTGCGGCATTGACCTGTAAGAACGCCGCAAGGCGAATCCCGAAGCAGGGCACGTAAATATAAGAAGCCACGCCCCGAGCTTCTTAGACTCTCGGCAGTTCAGTTGGGAAACTGCCCCTTCTCTGAAAAAGTGGCACCGATCCGTACTCGAGAACCGGGCTAATGGCGATCGCAACGCCGCCTTTCCTCCCGCAAAGGCCACTCGGGGAACTGAACGGCTGCTTGTATTGGTTCTGAGGTATCGCATTCGATAACGTCCACTGTGTCAGTTCTATTTTGGCTTTAATCGGCCACTTTGGCGCCGAAACATATACGGTGGACGTAGTTTAAGGAATGCTAACCCCCGACTCCCAAGCGGACGCACCGCGTATTACTACTGAAGTTAGGACGCGCCCAAGTCGGGACGCGCAACCTGAAATCCCAGGTGAGACATGGTTGTATAAAAACAATATTAATTGCGCCAGAAAACCTTGTAAACTAAAGATTTTAGAAAACATCACGCGCCTGTTATTTTGTACTAATCTCCAATACAAGTTCCTACAAACAGAATATTTTCTGTTTGTTTTTACGCAAAAACATACTTTCTAAAATCTCCAGGTGACCACAGTAAAGAAAAAGGATTGAGCCGCCATCTTGGCACCTCGAGCGTGGGAGCATTCAGTGACTCTAGTAGTAGCCATAATAGGCAACTTTCGTGTTTCAACTCGTCGCTAAAGGGTGGCGCTGTTATCGTATTAAGCTCGGTCTCGGTGGAGGCCAGCGGCCCATGTTTCGAAGGTGACTTTCTCAACTGAGTGTTCTAGTAACATTCGCTGTCGGTGGCCTTAGAACATAGCGGGTCGTGTGGTGAACGCATGAATAGGCCGCTTACCAAACTTGCAACCATGCAAAAAAAAAAAAAATATATATACAGGGCGTTCCCGAGTAAAGAAAACCGTGTTCTTCGGCACGTCTAAATAAACTATGACTCGTAGAAAGGTCAAACTGCGTGAGAATGTGACGCTAGCGGTTGTGATAGAACGCGAATGGTTGAGGACATGACGTATTCCTCGATGAAAATATAAGTGAGAAAGACGAAATTTCTTTCTATGAGCCGACGCCCACCTAAGCGTAATATCGTCAAAACGGGAAATTACATTGTGGGCGCTATCGCAATGAAAGAAACTTGTCAGTAAGAAAGAAAACAGTATTCTATTTCTTGCCGACAAGTGTTTTTCACTGGAACAGGTACTTCAGGCAACCACGATGTCATTACCTGTTTTGACGACATTTGGCTTATGTGGACGTCGTCGACTCATGGGGAAATTTTATCTTTCTCACTTATATTTTGATCCAGAGAACGTCATGTCCTCAAACTTTCGCGTTCTATCCCAATCGCTAGTGTAACATTGTCACGGAGTTTGAGCCTTTTGTGATGCATAATTTATTTACCCGGACCAAAAAAAAAAAAAAAAGCACTGTTCTCTTTTCTTGGGAACTCCCTGTACATCACTTGCACGTGACGCCATCGCGCCATACTCGTAGTCATTCGTACTGTTTCTTGCCAAGAGAAACAAATTTGGTTGTGCAAAATGTATGTTCCAGAAGGTAAACTCGTTCAGCAGCAAAGCCACCACGATGACTGCTGGTGTGACGGACCAGTGCTTCATGTATGGTTTCCCGAAAAGTGTGTCAATGCCACTTTGCGCCAATGTCAATGGCGCAAAACTGGAAGAGGACGTATATGTTTGAGCGAGAGATGGTTAACAAGCAATGACTCACCTGTCACATTGTGGATAGCAGGTGGAACAACCGGGGGTTCGTCAGCGGCAGCCTCAGGAGCAACTGGAGGTACGGCTTTAGGAGTAGTCGGTACGACGTCTTCACCGGAGGTGGCGATCTTGACGATGCACACCGCAATAACCGCTAGGCACAGTTCCTTGGCAATCATCGTGCTGGCCGAAGGCTAGCTGCTAGTCATTCAAAACCTTTTTTTTTTCAACACTTCAATTTGTCTCGTGGACGGTCTGTTTGCCGTTTTCTCGCTTGTCGATTTACTAATGACGTAACGGTGTGTTACTACCTCCTGCTAATTGTAACTACCTGCTACTGTTCTTCTTTGGGGTTATGCCCTTCTTTTGTAGTAAATCTGGTTTTGTGAGCCGTCTTATTGGCAAACGCGTTTGATATGTCTATCAGAAATTAGTCAGAGCGCGTGTCCTTCAAATTACTATGTTCCGAGTTTTCACTACGGTAGCACCTGTGAGTAAAAATTAGAAAATCTAAGAAAACAAATGCTGGGCTTCCGATGCTGATATCAGATATCTAGTCGCAGTAGCCAACACATAAAGTAGTTAAGCTCTATGACAGCGGATCGGATAACGTGTGACGAATCGTAAAGAAGCTATCTAGACTTCTAGTCTGTTTAGCTCTCCTAGTCAAGGTTAAGGGAGACAAAAAACGCCGTTGCGTTATTTCTATCCTATCAATGAACACGGTATGTTTGGCCAGTATTTTACAATCCAAGTAGGCCAATGAGACACTATGCTTACATTTTAAAGAAAGTCCCTCAAACACCAGGAGCTAACGTTTATATACTAAAAGTCGGGCAGGGTCCTAGCTTTTAGAGGGGTACCAATCACGCACGTACCGCGCAGGCAACTGTCTGGGCATCAGTCACGTGCGGCAGCTTTTCAAATGCACGACAGACGAACACAGGTGACTGACGAGCGATCACACTTCTTCACCCGAGTTTACGATGCTCTTGGCGATTCTTGGAAACGGTACAAGCACTTGAGGAAGTTTGCTCTTTGCCGCACCGGGACACTGCGCGGACACTTCCTGGGGGTTATTGAATAATGCAGAATCACGTGCTGGTACCTTGGTCTCGTGGTCTTCTTGCTGTCTGAACTTAGGTCGCGCTGTAGCTTCCCAAACGGAAGACAACAAACAGTCTGGAAGACTTGAACCTTCACCTTATTCCTCCACTATAAAAGATGCGCGTCTTGAAGTCAGGGTGACATTCTGAAGTCGACAAGCTGTCCGGCGATCACAATCTCCATGTTCTTGTCGGCGGTCATCCGGTAGTCCCACAGCCGAAGAGCAAAAAGCGACAAGCGGCCGGCGACGTCCTTCCACGAGGGACACGACGAGGAGGAGCGAGTTCAGAGTCCGCGGACGACTTCTGGATCCGACGGTGTCACTGACGCTCCCGCTACTCGCGCGGACCGACCACGGTATGGTGACCACTTTTGCCGTGGCTCCGCACACAGAAAGAAGAAAAACAACTAAATGTGGGCTAGGAAACTAACGCTGGCACGAGGCGAGGAGGCCAGGTCCGGAAGAAAGCTGCCGCTTGCCTCAGATGTAGGTCAGACGTTTCGGCTTTCTGCACATCGCTCCCCTCCCCCTCTTTTCCTTTCCCTTTCGTTCTCCTCTCCAGGAGCCACTTTCCCTGGCTCTCAGCGTCACAGACTTTACTTTTGGTTGATGGGGGGCCCCCCGATCATTTGGAAGGAGTGTCTTCGAGCAACCACGGACTGGGGAAATGGCGTTCCTCCTACAACACAGACATTTTTTAGTTACTGTAACGAGTTTCTACCCTTAAGCTTTTGAGCAATAATGGAAAAAAAAAAAAGAACTAAGCAGTAAGATTTCTAAGAAAGCTAATTTTAACGAAAGATTCATCCTGGTCGGCGCATTCCTTGCACACAAAAAAACTCTGCGGCTTGATTTGGCTCCAAGAGGTGTTAGGAGCGCTTTCTGCGTCCGTTTGGAGGCGCATGCACGTCTGCTCGGAATGGTTATTGACCTGGCCTGGGTCTTCGCCCTTCTTTTTCAGCCTTTTAAAATGTTTTTACTTCTTTTCCTCGTGTCGAAATTGGCTCGGCCCGTCGTGAGGAGGGATTGCGCCACACTTTCCTTTTGAAAATTGCTGTGCCGTTAAAGTCAACGCACGCGCGTAATATAATTAGATTTATGAGTTTCCGCGCGTCCAACGATCGCTCCGAGCGTCAATGATCGCCCTGAGCGTGATCCGTGAGTGCCATAAAGCAAATATGTAAAAGTTACTCTTAAAAAGTAATTAAGTTGCACATTGTTATTCCGAGCTACAGCGTAATTATAGGTTACAAACATGGCTGTAGAATCAATCGACTAGCCAACCGAATAATCGACTGATATATTAATCGCTGACAAATTCCTTGGGCGATTATTCGGACAAAAGTGGGCTGTTTTATGGGTTTGTCATGGACACCATTTTGTCATGATTATACATGGCTTGCACTGACGTCACATCGCGTATTTTAGCCACCATAAAAGAGAGAGAGAGAGAGAGACGAAAGCTGCTTTTGTAGAAATTCTGAGGGACGGGTTAATCTTCTATAATCTTCTGGCGGGAGAATAGCGACGTCTAGGCTAGTGCCACTAAATAAGCTAAGCAGGCTAGTACCACTAAATAAGTGCCACTAAATAAGCTAAGCGCAGCTCATTTAGTGGCCCTAGTCTAGGCAAATCTGGGAGACACAAAAGATGGTAAGAGGGAAGCTCCTTCTGCCTCTCTTCTCTGGCCATCGGAGCGCTCTTTGGATGAAGTCTTGTGCAAGCCCTGTTTGTTATATTTGTAAAAGGAAATCAGTGAAATGTAATTTATTATTTTTTTAACCGGCGTTTTTTTTTTTTTTTTTTTTTTTTTTGCTATTTATATATATTATATATATATTCGGAATAATCGGGCTTTACGCTTCCCGGCACGCCATCTATTACCTCTAAATTAAAAATAGCCATTGAGATAACGGCAAATAAAGGTTATGCTAAAAATAACATTCAAATTTTCTCGTGGCCGTCCAGTGACTGTTTTGAATTCTTTTTCTTTTAGACAGGTCATTTAGAAAAAAAAATAAAAAAAACGAGTATTTTTCGGATTTTGTGTTGTTTCGCTGGCACGAGTTTTTTTAGCTTTCATTTCACACCATCAAACTTCCCGTCGGGAAGACGCTGTAGTGCCCGTTCTCAGTGCTGCCAGTAAAGGCTCTCGAACCAAATTTGAAACTTCAGTAACTTCGCGAGAGAAAAGAAAATATTGTGACTTGTAATGGCTGTACCTAACATCAGGCTGGAGTTCAAACTCGGTTTAAAATCGCGACATTTTGGAAATTTCAAGCGCAAATGCGCGGATTGTGATATCCAAGTTATCGTGTAACGCTATGCCCGACAAAAAAGACCAACCGGGCCCAACTGCGCTGTTACTTGCGTACAAAAAAAAAAAAAAAAAAAAAACTAAGGGTAAACTTTGTCAGAATGGCCGGTCTCTCCATAGCTTTTTTTCTTTTTTTTTCTTTTCTTATTATACAAAGTTTGTACTGGTGTAGGCCTTTAGCGAAAATGAGGGACGGTCTCGAATAATAAATAAAAACGTGCTCTCCTGAAGGCAATAGACGCGGTGGTTGAGGGCAGTACTGCCGGCTGACCGCAATAGGGAGTTTTCGTGGACCGTTTTCGCCGTCCCGCAAGGCCCTCCGCAACCCGCTACGATAGCGGGAACTCCACAGTCAAGGCTATCGGCGCGCAGGCGCAGTAGCAACTTCTTCGTTGCGGACACCGTAGCGGAGGGGGCAACGCGGTCTACGAAAACTCCCTAATGATATTGAAGTAACGGAACAAAGATACGCTAGTTGATCATTTACTGAAATAAAACCACAAAGCACTATAGGCTGATATTGGAGTAGCCATAAATATTCTAAGAACGCGAACCGTTTCACAACGGCAGCCACGAGCCACGGTGCCACGAGCGAGAGCTCGATGTTGAGTACAGCCCGCCGGTATCAGCTCAAAGATGGAGAACGGCAACCTCCCGGTTTGTCGTTTGCTAACGGAATTGGGCGCGTGCCCTCTCTCTCGCTTTACCCCGCCGAACCTGCTGAACTTCCCGGATATATGGAGAGGGCGCTGCGGTCAAACAAAATGGCGGCGCCCTGAGAGCGCTAAATGGAATGAATGAACAGGAGGCGCATTGGTCGGTTGCTAAAGTCAGCGCGGCTGGTGGCCAAAAAGGACAACTTTACGAAGTCCATGTCACCGAGCGATTGGACACGAACTCTTCGTCACAGTTCGAAACGGCGCTCGTAGATTCGAGCTCAAGATCGGGTCCAACGATCGCGGCTGCGAGCCGTCTCAGAGTTGCGAAAATTCCCCGTAAGATGGCGTCATTTGTCAAACCAAACTTTATTGCCCAGTGTGCATTAAAGGAACACTGACACCTCCCCAAGAACTTTTTTTTATTATTTTTTTGTCAGGTGTTTTATTATGGTGTCAGAAATGACACCCCCCAAAAAACCTTTTGTTCTATCTTTTTGCCAGGCGATTCGATATGGTTGTCAGAAGACTACCCAATCAATATTTTGCTAGAGCGTCACGTATATGTTTTTAGTAAAGTTTAAAAAACTTAACTGCTCTCAATCGAAGCTGGGCTGGGGAGGAAGAAGAAATATAAAGATACCGACATTGCACGTCGCTGTGCAACTTTTTTTTTCTTCAATCAATAAATTTGCGTCTCTTCAGAAACTGCAAAAGCTGGGTATTATATGTTTCCCTATTTTCAATATTGGGTGTGTGCCTTCGATGACCGACGACTTTGATTAAATTTGGTGGTCGCGTCGAAACCTTAGAAAACGGCCCGTGACCACGGAAAAGAGAGTGAGGGCGACTCAGACCGGCCAGTTCTCGATCGGCGGTTTTCGGGCGGAAAGAAACCGAATTTCGAACCGCAAATTCTCTTCTGGGTAATTGGGCTCTCATATGTCACGTACAACTAAAAACCTCGGCGAGCATGAATACCCTGTCGGTGTCCCTTCAATGGGAGGCGAGCAGGAGGGGCATAGCCCCCTCTACTTACCTTCCCCTCCTCCTCCTCAAGGGCTGCGCTCTAATTCGACGTTACAGGGAGTTGTAAAAGGCTTTCATTTTTTCTCTCCAACGAAATTGCAGCTTTTTAGAAGCCACAAAAAATGGGTATCATATTTCTTTTCCATTCTTAAAGGGACCATGAAAAGACCTTTTTACTTTTTCCAGATAACTTTTACATTAACCCGTCAATGTTCACTGAATGTCGAACAGGCATCCGTTTTCGTCTCGGTTTATTAACTTCTACACAAAAAATTAATGAAATATCGACTTTTTCTTTCTCTCCAACTGACCGCAAAACAAGCCGTGACGTACGCTGTTTCCGGAACCGGAAGTTTTCTCGGCAGTAGGAGAATGGGAGCGTTAGCGGCGACGAGTTGGGGTGCGCCGGTAGGTTTTACTGCGCTGATGTCGCCGACGTATTTTCTGAATCGGCGCCTCTCATCGCCGCATCGCAGCTGAGGGAAATTCAATGAGATATGTTGCGCTACAGCGACAGCATGGGACTATACTCCGCGACAACTTTTCTTGGGAGGAGAGCCTGCGTACACTCAAAATGGGAGAGGGGACGCGGGCCTGTACCTTCCACTGCATTGCCAAGAAAAGTTGTCGCGGAGTATAGTCCCATACGCCGGTATGCCTGTTGGGAAGTGCAGCGAGTCTTCCGGTGAAGACTCCAGAAGTCAACCCAACTGTCATTGTTGGTAAAAGGCGGCCCGTGTCAGTCGTTTGCAAAGCGACGTAGATGGAAACAAATTGCCGCGGCGTTTTTCGCGGCCTCGGAGATGCAGGAGCGAGCCGACGTTAGAAAAGATACGTTTGAACTACGAGTGTCAGCAAGAGCCACGTAAATACCTGCCCAAACTCGGAGCGGACGCGCGCGTTTGATGGAAGTGCCGTATTCGCGCTGTTGGTAAGCGCTTCGGGACCGATCTTTTACGATTGCAACTCGTTACTGACGCGACACTCGGCAAAGAAAGGTTGGACCGGCATTGCACGTATACCTCCCACGAACTGTTATAGCTCGACAGTGACGTGCAGTCTGTCAGAATAAAAATGGCATACCAATAACAAAGTGTACATACAGTGTTACGAAGGTAATCCATACGGCGTTTATTTCAGCTCTATATCACACAAACAAGAAGATAGAATCGACGAGAGTCCCTTTTCGACGAGTGTTCGTCAACACTGCCTCGGAAAACAAGGGGAAGAGATTGACCTCACCTCTTAATCTAAAATTGAGGTCAGCGATCAAACTATAATACGGGAAGGGTCCACAAGGGTAGCGCGGGCATATTCCATTCAGCACGCCAGCCGGTCGTAGGCAGACGGTCTTGCGACGAAGCAACGCTGCGCCGAGTCGGAGTGCCTGCTAGGCCTATATTCTGAGCAGCTCGCTTCGTCGGAGTCGGTGGATTCGTCGCCGTTGTCGCTTTTCTCGGGTGTTTGTGGATCCAGCGTTCTTGTTCGTCGTGGTCTGTTTTAAGTACTTTTTTTCTTGCTGCTTGAAGTCGGCACGCGCGAGAAGAACACGTAGAAAAATAAACGTTCAGTCAGTCAGAGTTTTGAGAGGAAGGAAACCAAAGGAAATAACCGTTCGTCGGTCGTCGCGACCCAAGCAACTGAAGTCGGCCCTGCCCTAGTGCGCACGCGCAGTAGTTGCTTCGTTTACCACACGATAGATGGCGCTTGGCACTCAGCATTATTAAATTAGACAATTTTCGCCACACATCTCTAATTATATATGCTACAAAATGTGGATCTGAATATTATTTAACAAAACTTTTAGGAAACATTCGCCGGCTATTTACTGTTTACGATCACGGTGCTGGTGAGGTAGGCTCTTACCCAATAGGCGACGTGGATTCGGCTGACGTGCCCCGTTTCCGCGGATGCATCGTAGTGAAAAGGCAGCGAGCTTTCGAAGGAAAGAAGGCGCAGAAGAGTCCAGTTTTCTTTTAAAAGTTCTATAGCAAATAATTTTTTTTAGCTCCCTATTTTTGTGTTTCTTTTCACACCTTTTACGACGAGCGGTGGATGAAATTCGATTTTAAAATCATTTCATGGTCCCTTTAATATCGTGTGTGTGCCTACGATGACCAACGACTTTGATTACATTTGGTGGTTGTGTCTAAACCATAGATACGGCTCGTGACCACGAAGAAGAGAGTGAGCGTGTCTCAAACCGGTCAGTTCTCGATCGGCGGTTTTCGGGCGGAAAGAAACCGAATTTCGAGCCACGAATTGTTTTCTGTGTACTTGGGCTCTTACATGTCATGTACACATAAAACTCTTGGCGAGCATAAATACACTCTCAGTGTCCCTTAAAGGGTCAAACTACAGCGCGGACCAAGATTAACTTCCTGAAACTCGCGAAAAGCGTCGTTTGTGGTTTCGCGACCTTCCCCCCTTCTCTTCTGTGAAAAAAACGCCCGCCAAATCTTGTGATTACGCCCGCTGAAACGCGCGTAAATTCGTCGAGAATACGCCCATGTGGGTCGGCCATTAGTCGCCTGTTTCCGGCTTGAGCGGCGTCGCCGTCGGCCTAACCGCGCGTTACATTAGAGAGTTTTAGCAGATCGTTTTTTCGCCCCGATAACGATACCTCCTCTCCCCTCCGGCCTTCGATGACCAACGACTTTGATTACATTTGGTGGTTGTGTCTAAACCATAGAAAACTGCTTGTGACCACGGAGAAGAGAGTGAGCGTGACTCGAATCGCCCAGTTCTCGATCGGGGGTTTCCGGGCGAAATGAAAACGAATTTTGAGCCGCAAATTGTTTTCTGGGAAGTTGGGCTCTCGTATGTCATGTACAAATAAAAACCTTGGCGAGCATAAATACCCCCTCAGTGTCCGTTTTAGATGAACTAAATAATCACGGTGCCGCAACAACATGATGAATGAATGAGGACGTGAAAATATCTTACTGATGTGCAATTTACCTCGTCAAAAAAAAAAACTGAACGCAAAACATGTTTTTGTGCGAGACTTGTAGTGAGACCCCCGGACTGGAATAAATTTATAAAATAAAAAATTGCCACAAGTCACCTAAGGAAAGCTGTCTATTGCTGTTTAATTTTTATTTGTTAATAAAAAAAAAAGCTTATCCAAATCTCATAACACACATCGAATTTGATTACTATGGCGCGATGGTCCACAAAATTCATTCTCACGCCTGCCAAATACTAATCTACGCTCATCGCCTACCACTCGAAAACAAAAAAAAAAAAAAAAATATTCATAGCAAATCACTGGGCTTCAAGCGTTGCACTTGAAGCATGTGGTTAGAGTCCCAATTCCTCTCGGATTGACATCTACGCTTTCGGCGCTCTTCATCGCATAGTTTCGCTACTGGCTTAACGCGTTGCATGTACACTCGATAGCAATTCCTAGAGTGGAGGACACCGGCGCTAACCCGGGTTTTAAACCCCTAGAGCTCTTCCAGAACCTGAATCAGCCATGAGTGTCGAGCTAGGGTGTGACGTCATCACCTGGTTCAGTCAATCAGCGGCTTTACGAATTTCCATACTCCTTTTCACCTCCAGAACCGCAGTAAAAAGTCCGGCTCCTGGCCGGACTTTCCCCTTTTACGTGGAGAATAAGATGAATGCAGGTGCATTTTAGATTAGATATATGTTATCTTATCAAGACGTAAACGTTTCTAAAGCCAATGGCATCTCTTCTTCCTTCGACAACCAAATCTCGTAAGAACTAGTTTGCGCGGCGTATCAACAATGCGCAACACTTGCTTTTTTCTTGAGGTGAAAACTAGCATAGGCACCCCCTTGACGAGACAAAGCACGTTTCACGTGAAAACTTTGGTCGCGCTAACAAGTCGGGCAAAACGTCAATATTGCGCAAACAGTATCGAGGTTCTGTTCAGCAGAAGTTCAAATTCCCCCAAAACACAAATTGATAAGATTTCCGCGTAGGTTCTCCACCAATAACATCTTAAAAGTATAACAAGCCATTTGTCCGAACACACGCCCACCTGAACAACTTTATTCCGTGCCTTCGCCGACATTCCTTGCTGAAGTGTAGTAGGGTCGCACTTCGCCTTCACGCTTTCGAGGCTTCTCAACATAACTGATACATTTATGCTTTCGCCTGCTAAAAAAAAAAAAAAAAAATTCACAGATTGCGGATTCTGCGGATCCGGTGCAACCTGGGCACGGCAGCCTGATTGCAACCAGGCGCAATGCCCCGATCCTCTATTTTAGATGAAGGAAGGAATGCGAGCACGACGTTCAAGGCACCAGCTTTTCAGGGGTCTTCGACGTCGTTGATGGGCAACGAGGGCGCGGCTGGCGCTGGCTGGCGTGCACCACCAGCATACCTCAGCCAGAGGATGTCAGGAGCTGTCGCCATTAGCGCCGCCCTCAGTTTCTCCAATTCTGTGGACGATGCAGGAGGAACCGACTCGCAGGGGTCGAAGGAGCGGAGGTCCCTCCTCTCAGTCCCAGGCTCGTCAACCGAGACCTGTGGCACCGAAGCAGCAGGCTTTTCCGCTGCAAAAACAGTTATAACATTGAATGCGCTTTGTCAGACGATTTCCCAGGGGTTCTGTAAAGTCTTATAATAATAATAATAATAATCATCTTTATTTTGGGATGCCCAAAAACAACCACATTGGTCTTCTTATTGGTGCACCAACACAACAAGCAAAATGAGCAAGCAAGTTACATAGGCTCTAAACATTTACTTAAAAAAAAATAATAAAACATCCAAGACAAACATAATGCTAAGGGGCTAGAATAATTTCCTTTAAATCGCGACGGTACATAGAAATTGATGCAGATATATCAAGGTGGGGTGGAGCGAAGGTATTATATAATGACTGAATCCGTAAGAGAGGTGAGGTGTTACACGGCGAGCGAACATCAAAACAAACAAAATGTCTAGTTACTCGGAATGGAATATGAAAGTTCACTTTTGCAGGGAGTTGAGCCGAATCAACAGCACCATCCGCAACCTTGTGCAGAAAAATTAAATCACGAACAGTCCTTCTTTTAGACAATAGAGAAAGAGATAACATGTTCATTATATATTCATACCTATAATAAAAGCGTCGCTCAAAGTATCTATCATAAACGATCCGGACAAGTCTTTTCTGAACATTTTCTATGCTCATAGCCTGTGTGTTAGAAATCGAGTTCCATACGACAGAAGCAAACTCCAGTCGTGACCTCACTAAAGAGTTAAAAAGGTTAACCATTGAATGAGGGTTTCTAAAATTACGCGTCAAACGAGAAATTACCCCTAACGCTCTAAAAGCATTGCCCACGACCAATGACACGTGATTTCTAAAAGATAAAGCACTGTCAAAACACACACCAAGGTACTTTAAGATTGATACACGCTGTATAGGCGATCCATCGAGATAATAAGTAGACTAAAAAACAGAATCCCTACGGCAAAAAGAAATCACTTTTGTTTTTTGGGGGTTTAACAGCAGTTGATTATTTTTACACCACTGAAGAACGCTGGTAACGTCACCTTGCAGGACATCGCAATCTTTAAGACTATTAATGCTTTTGAACAACTTAAAGGAGCTGTGCAACGATATTCGATTGGGATGTTTTTCTCTCTACACGAGCTTACTGGCACACCTGGGACTCAAGGATACTCACACGCAACGCCATTGGTGAAGAAACTCCTTTGTTGCGGTGTAATTTCAAGGACAAAAGCGATCATTTTCATTCAATCTCTCCTTTGCAAAATTTGATGACGTAACTCGGGGATCGCAGTACACCCAAGTGACGATATTTGAATGCGGTTCATAGATTGGAGCCGAGCATTGCGTGGGCACTCGACTTGGGCTCGTGACAATTGCTAGCTCGAGAAGCATTCGGGTTGTGACCCTTGTCCAATCGCTGCAACGACGACAACAGCCGAGCCATAACAATGTCTGGAACTCAGCGCGTGTCCTGCGCTTTGCCAACCCAGCGCGTGGCTATGATCAACACTGGCGGCATATAATCGGCTCCAGATCACGTGGCCGCTTGTTCTGGCTGCGAGTTGAGGGGGTGAACGCTGCTCGTTTTTCTTAAATTTTTTTCTGGGACTTCCATTGCGTGGGGTGAAAAACGAACGCGTGTTTCATAGGTCATTAACGTTAGGGATCCGTTTTAAGCGGTATTTGTGCACAGTACAAAAATTGTTGCATCGCTCCTTTAAGGTCATCAGCAAAAAGAAGTAGTTCGGAACTGTTTACGCAAGACACAATATCATTTATGAAGATCAAGAACAAAAGAGGGCCCAGTATTGATCCCAGGGGAACTCCGGACGACGAAAAAAAATTTTCAGAGAAACAGTCACCAATCCGAACAGAGTTTGGGCGCAGTGACAGATAGCTGTCAAACCATTCGCATAATTCAAGACACACTCCATATGAAGACAGTTTACGCAAGAGTAATTTATGGCTCACTTTGTCGAACGCTTTAGACATATCAAAACATATTGAGTCGACTTGTCCTCTGCTAGCCACAACTGGGGCAGAAAAGTCTAAAAATGTACATAAATTAGTCTCGACTGACCGACCACTCAAAAAACCATGCTGCAATGAAGTTATTTTTTGTCGGAAATAAAGTAGCATTCTCTTACGGATGACAAGCTCGAAAACTTTTGAAAAGCCACAAAGCAAGGAAATTGGGCGATAATTTGTAACAAGGGACGCATCGCCATTTTTTAGAACCGGAACGACCACCGATCTTTTCCAAAGAGACGGAAATGTTCTCGAACTAAGAGAAAGATTGAAGATATGCTTTCGAATCGGAACGAACAGTTCACTGCATCCTTTGATAATAAAACTTGGTATCCCATCCGCGCCACTGGAAAACTTCGGTTTCAGCTTTTTAATCGCTTCGGTGATTTCAGCTGAATCAACACGCACTGAAGACGAAGAATCATGACAGTATAGGAAATTGTCACCAGGATGATAAGATTGGTTATCGAAAGAAAAACAATTTTTAAAATAATCTGCGAACATATTTGCAACCTCAGAGGGTGCAGATTGATAACAAGGAGCATTATCTGATCCATCACGCAGGCAGATAGTGCGACTAGCCTCACGTGTATGAAGTTTCACAAACTTCCAAAACGTCTTCGGTCGACGATTTACACTATTTTCTACGTTGTCATGATGTAGGCGTTTATCACGCTTGAACCGTTTTTTCACTAAGGAACGATATATGCTAAATTTGGCGTACCAAAGATCAGAACCGGTCTTTTTATAAAGTCAGTGAAAGTGATCCTTTTTTCTTAGGTTAAGCCTTAATTCTTTAGAAAACCAGTTAGGAAATATCGACGGCTTGTTGTAGCACTTAGGAATAACTTTCTCGATGGCACTTTTTACAACTGTAGTAAGCGTTTCGGTGGCAAGATCAACATTTGACATAGAAAGAACACAACCCCAATCAAAATGTTCGATGTGTCTATAAAGACTTAAATAGTCACCTTTAGAAAAGCAGTAATTTGATGAGTAACACGGAACTCTCGCTTTGTACGGGAGAGAAAACTCAACAGTAAAAGGTGGATGGAAACCATCAATTTGAACCAAAGGATTCACAGCACGCTTTAGACTTAAAATTGGCATGTTACAAAGAGCAAGATCTAAAACGTTTCCGGCCTCATTTACGATCGTATTGTGTTGCTGAAGACCACAGAAGTTTATAAAAGATAACAAAGAATGCACCTTGGTACATGTGTTTGTGTTGCTTTTTACCGTTTCCGCAAACCAGACAACACCCGGTAGATTAAAATCGCCGTAGATTTGAACACGACACTTTTCGAAATTAATCTGCTTACTAATTGCATCAAAATACTCGATAAAAACTGTTTGGTCTGAAAGGGGCGGGAAGTAATAGGTACCTATTAGGTAACTGAAGCCATCACTGGCCTTAATTTCAACCCAAACACATTCAGAATAGGATTCGAGGTCAAATCTTCGATGCGAGACAAGGGAACATTCAACCGCCATAAGGACACCCCCGCCTAGCTTCTGTCCTGTACAGGAGTACTCTCTATCTCGGCGATATACATTGTACTTATGGCAAAAATAATTTTCATCTGGAATCCCGTTACAAAGCCACGTTTCAGACAGACAAATGATATCGTGATTGGAAACAATTAAATTCGACATGAACTCGTCGGCCTTCGTACGTAGGCCCCGTACGTTTTGATAAAACACTTTAACCTTGTTCACCATCTTCATTTCCAATCACGCTCACACATTTGCCACCCCTTAGGACCGAGTGCCTTGAAACTTCTTAAAATCTCTTATGACGAGAGAGACGAGAGGACATACTGGCACCACCAGTCGGGTAGCCATGGCATACTTGGCAATCGCAAAATTTCCTTTTTTTTTTTGCACAATTTTTCGGGGGTTTTGAAAAACTTTTGGCAATGTTATAAGTAGGGTTCCGCGTTTTCGGTTTTTATTTTATCGAAATTCGGCGTACTTTTTTCGGTGTTTATTTTAAAATTCAATTTTCGGTTTTTTTCGGCGTATATTTATTCCCAAAACAGTTTACCGGTTTCTTTCGGTGAATATAAAAAAAAGCACCATCGGCCCTTGTAGCTGTGATATTTGCTATTACTCAAAGAATAACGACACATACATACGTAGTCCTCGCTACAACTCCCGTCAGGACACACCTCAAAATCCCGGAATTCACGGGCATAATCTTCAGTGCGCTTATTTTTCCTTCCCACTCTGACGACGTGACCGTCTGAGGTGATGACCGTACAAAAACTAGCGGAATGTCAAAAAAAAAAAAAAAAAAAAAAAAATCCATGGTGTTTATGTTTTTAAGAACGGGGAGGTGTGAGAGAGTGTGTTAAGAAAGGTATTGACGGCTTTCCTCCATGTCCTTTGAAGTGCATGAAGCGAAAAACCTGATACTAGCCCACATCCGAACTTTTTTTTTTTTTTCGGGACCTGAAATTTGACACACTAAGCCCGATCACAGAAAAGACACAGATGTCCCGCGAAGGCCAATCCAAGACCTATTTGGTTGCATGTTGAACCTTGGAAGAGGGCAATCACGAAGACGTCACACAATGTCGAACCTCGCAAAGGTCTCTCTCTCTCTCTCCCTCCGCCAACCACCTCAGCGCGGCCCTAAAAAACGGAACTTTTTCGGTTAAAACCGAATTCTAGAAAACGGATTGGACGTACTTTTATCGGTTTAAACCGAAAACGCCGAATCTACAAACTGACCTTTTTCGGTTAAAACCGAATTTCCGAAAATGGATTCGGCGTACTTTTATCGGTGTTTATCGGTTTAAACCGAAAACTCCGAACCCTAGTTATAAGCAACTATTTCTCATAGGTATGTATGTAGACTTGACCTCGCAAATGGCACAAAACCTTTGTTCTATAGGGCCAGGGTAGAGCCACTAAATGAGCTAGAGTATCGGCACTCTGCTCCCCGGTATTGTTGTGGGTGCCGCCATCTTGGTGCTTAGTGCAGAGCAGACGCAAGTGCTGATCGTCGTGAATCAAAAGTGTGACTTCCTTGGCATTGGATTTGGTGTTGGGACGTTCACGTAATATTGCTTTGCTCTGTCGCGAACTGTTTAAACATTTCTGGAGGACGGCAAAGCGTTTTTCGTGATCTAAGATAAAGGTGCAGATAACTGGCAACCATGCTTTTAAGCCCCAAGATGGGTGAGTGTCGTTACTCTGAAGCGTAACTTATTTAGTGGCTCTAGTGCAGGGGTCTCCAAGCTTTTTTTGGCTAACGGGACGGATCGATCTATCGCGATCTCTAGGGCTGGAAAAGAGAGTAATTATAAAACAAAACTAAGTAAACCAACCTAGATAAACATTTCAACACAAAAATAAATGCTATAGAGACTATTAAAAAAAGCCTAAGGTGGATGAATACATGTACTTAAATTGAAATTTAATATTTAGCTAATTACGACATTACACGACAATTGGCCAAGAAAACACCCCAGACATGAAGCAAAGCGCATGGGATCTTTGGCACATTCGCGCAGGGCAAAAGTCTTATGAGAATGATAAAACTAATTCATCAATATGCGGCAGTTCTGACAGAGGACATGTACATGAGAGCACAATGGGATTTTAACATAATTACGCAGACATGAAGCCGGGGGCTAAGAATGGTAATGCTAGGGATGACAATGTTTGAGTAATAATATGGCGATAGGATCATGTTGCAATGCAATTTCTCTCGTTCTTTGTGGTATCTTAGCTTGCTCATTTAGAGCACATTGCGGCACCGTTTCTTTGCGTGCGCTTTTTGCACCGCTAGCACCGGGTCTGCTAGAAACGGGCCGAGAGCTGGGCTTCATTGGAAAGACCGCGGTTAGGCACGGGCTGGTTTAAAGACTTCCGCGGGCAAGATCTGACCCACGGGCCGGGGTTTGGACACCCGGCCCACGGTCCGAAGGAGTCGCAAGTTTGTGACCGGGCCTTAACATTTTACTGTAACGACCGGCTGCAACAGCCGGCTGTGACGGAAAACCGACACCGAAAAATGTTCCGCCCATGGGAAACCATATCAAGACTTCGGTTTCCGGCAGGATTTGAACTCACCACCCAAGCGCTATCAGTAAGGAATACCCCCTCGGGCAATTTAGCTATTCACTGCGATAGATGCCCTTGCACCCCAGAATTAGAAAAAAGCTAAATTCTGATAAAGCTAAGGAGCAAAATCTCGAGAGAGCTGTACGAGTCATTCAACATTAGATTGCAGGGGGATGACATACGCATAAGACCTTCGACAGTCCATCTAACGGAAAGGAGTTTGAATTCCTGTTTGAGAAGCCCGATTGGGTGTATAAATAGTGTGTATTGTTTCAATAAACATTTAGTTGAAAGTAGCGCTTCGAGTTATCTCCCTTACTCTGTCCCTGTCTTGCGGCGTATTTTGTCAAAAGAGATCATGTACCAACAGGCCCATCTGTCACTATTGATATTTCCTGCCTGCATGCCCTATAAATAGGATTTCGTAATTTCAGAGTTTATTTTTCACTGGAAATTCGAGGTTTATTAGAGTTTACTTTTGTTACATTCCCAATTCTCAAAAATGTGGGGCTTAATTTTACTCTGTTCTTTTTTTTTCTCTAAATAAAAATAATGTTTGGACAAAAATGTACACTAAATTAATAAAACAAGTCAATGGTCTCGAAAGATACTTCTGTGGCTGCATTCGGCATTGGTGCCCTTGCGATTGGCAATACTGTCCCATGACAAATCATAAAAACAAACACTTTGGCCCATTGTGCAAAATGGGCCTTGACGAGATAAATGGTAAACTCCCTTTTGTCAATAGTCCAAGATAAAAGAACTGAATTGGCCTTTTCCTAGAACTATCAGCTCTGTGCAATGAGAAACTTTATTCGTAAACTATTGTCTTTTTAGCTTTTTATTTTGCCATTGGGACCACAAAATTAAGTTTTCAGATAAATTCTAATTGTTTAAAATATTACTGGTGACTGTTTTTCAGAGTTTATCGAATTTATCCGAATACACGAGTCCATACCTACAAATTGTTAAAGCCGACTTCCCCTGCGTTTTCTCCTCCCATATCCCGCTCGTCCTCATATACAGGTATTTAGAGATTTAATGTACTCACCGTGTCTTCCATGTCTTTGGTCAAAATTGATTTTACTCAATACCTCTCTGCTCTCATACGATGAAGCGAAACATAGAAACTCTAACCAAAAATTTAATAAACATTTACCCGACGTTTCGGGACCAGTTCGGTCCCTTGTTCACGGGTGAGTGACCTCACCTAACCAGGCAGAGGGCTGCCGAACGTTTACCTTCAACTCTCAAACGATGGCCTGCACTCCCTTGTTCAAAGTATTCCCATACTTTACACTATCCTGCTATTCTGGCAATGCTCCTTTGTCCTACCTCTAAACTTGCCTGGACTTCAGAACTCATGCACAAGACTGCATTACCAAAGGTTAATCCTGGTACCCTTACCCCTTTCCATACACCCCTCACCACTTCATATCAACTAAAGTTCCATAGCACATTGTGTTTTATAATGTCCAAATTCATTTTACCTTTATGTATTCCTTCCCTCCATTAATCCACATTCCACATTCGTCTAAAGTTTCTACCATTCTACTTCTGACCCTGGACTTAGGGCCATTGAGCTTTAATAAAGTTTTCTCCTCCTTCTTCTCTATCTCAATGCTCTGTATTTTTAAAGGGTCCCTCTTGATGTTGTTAATTAACATGACCTCAATTTTTGTTCCACTGAACCTGAATCTGAGAACACACTCTTCCTCACCACGGATTCCAATCGATTTCTGCAACTCATCCCGGTCAGAGATACGGCTCTGATCCCGGTTATCTGCTAAGAGTAGAATGTCATCTACATGCACCAGACATGGTAGTTTCTGCCTCACTGTTGTCTCTCTCTCCATATATGAGACATTGAAACCTAATTCCCTCTGCTCTAGCCTCGGCAGCAGACAACCCTGCATAAGCACCTGCCTTATTGCTGCTGGCTGTGTGGTTTCAGCCTCCCATGTTATAGTTACTGTATTGTTCATGTACACTCCCTGTAAGAACTTCACCAATTTCACATTCAGACCCAATTTCTTTAGCTCTGCCTGAAGAATTTTGTGATTTACGTTGTCATACGCTCCCTGTATGTCCAAAAATGTCATCCACAACGGTTGTTGGCTTGTCTGCACTATTTCTATACATTTTGTGACTGTAAACTTTATCTAGTCTCCTTTTCTTAGGAAAACCATTCAGGAGCTCTCCCAACATTTCTTGTTTCTGCCAATTCTCCTAATCTATCCTTCACCACCTGCATAGCTGGTTTGTATAGGACAGAACTCAACATTAAGGCACAGTAGGACAAGCAGAGACGTAGCCGGGGGGGGGGGGGGGGGGGGGGGGGAGGGGGGGGGGGGGGCATAGAGCTCCCTTCTCCCTCCCTCCCTCTCTCCCCCCCCCCGAAACAAAATCCTGACTACGTGCCTGCGTACAAGTGAATAATTTTACAGGGTAGTGATAATGCAAACATACCTTCAGATGGTGCGATCCCAGCACCGGGTGCGTCGTCAGCGCAAAAGGTCCTATTGCCACTGCAGATTTCTTGTGCTTTCAGAAGCAATGCTGCAACATGTCGGCATCTCTGGCTTTTGCTGCATAGTGGAGAGAATACAATAATTTAAATAAATATATTTCTAGCAGTTTCACTTCTAACTGTTCACCATGTAACGCCCATTAAAATGTAAACAATTTTGAAAAAAAAAAAAAAATAAATATATATATATATCTTTTTTTTACAGCATTGTGTATGTGTTGCTGCAAAGTCGCTCACATTAAGATTCGACCGCATGACTCCGCAAAGATGAGACTCAATTAGACCTCATAATCTGAAAAAGTTGTATGCAGTGCTGTCAAATAGGGCACAAGTGCATAGCTTTATCACGGGTGGCTCTCGCTCATGATTAAGCTCCCGCGTGTTCAAGGGAGTGACGCACTATCAAAATGCACGCAGAAATAACACGGCCGATAGACACTGGTCAAATGCTGAGTGACTCACCCATCTTTGCACCCGCAATCGGCACCCTCCACCGAGCCGGTCCTCCAGTTGAACCACGCGGTCACGGTGTAGGGAATACCCTTATTCCAAGAAAGAACGATGGACCGAACAAGACACATGTTCGAGTCTGCTGGCCAGTTCCACATCACGTCCTTCACGTGCCCTGCATCTTTCATGGTCCATCCGAAATGCACTGGGCGCAACGACGCCTTGTCCCTCCGTAGGTAGGGCCACACATGGTCATGGCAAAGGTTCGCAACGTCGGGGGGACCTCGAAACCAGCGATCGGCCTCAAATGCGAACGGGATCTCCTCGTCACGAAACATCGCGACTCGAAAGCTTCGATATGCGGCGAATGAATGTATGCGCGAAAAGCTAATCGTACCGCTCAAACAAACGTTGTAAGCGCGTCGTTTTCAAGTCAAGAACTCTCGAACCCAGTGAGGAAACTGGATAGATGGATCGAATGGATATGGCTCTGGATATACGGCTCTGAAATGGATCACGGCTTTGGATTCTGGAATGGATCAGAGCAATGGATGGGCAGAGCTTCTGTGGGATGAGCGTAACGTCTATCCATTCGTAGAGGTAGTAAACGAAACTGAACGTGAGCAGAAAAGATAGGACGAGGATCATGCCGCCAACTTCCCTGTTGTGACTGTCGAAACGAAGTTATTAAATCAGTTACAAACATGAGCTCCCGGAAACGCGGTGCTGCCAAGAAGCTAGACGCCAGTGGGCCTGCGGTCGCGGCCACGAGCACCCAATTTGCGGATGAACCGTTTACGAAGACGCCGATCGTGTCCACGAGACGCATCGTGACCCGAGCTGCGCTGTCGCTGGCTCTGGTCGGCGTGCTGTACATCTCGGCCAAATGGAAACCTCAGTCCACGTCGGCGAGCTTGGCAGGCGTGGCAGAGAGCCTTACCCTGAGATCCCAAGCGGTGCCCTGTTCGGAGGACTACGTGGAAGAGCGAAAGCTTTTCAGCGGTAAGGAAGTTTATCCGTGTCTGCCGTTCATTTCTCAGCTGAGACTGCAGTGGAAACTACGTCCTCGTTGGACCAGTCACTGTGGGACCAGTTATACGCCTCTCTTCAGCCACGTCATCACACTCCCGGCCATACCCAGTGAACGGAGTACAATGACTCAGCATTTTCCTCTCGTCTCCCAGTCGGCTTGATAGCCCACTCGCAGCCACGCCTGAACAGCTGCATAATTGTGTTGCAAATAAGTTCAGCAAAATTACCAGGATTTTAGGAACATATATAATCCAAATTTCTCGAAAGTTTCATGCTTTTATTGTCAGTTGAATTGACCCTCACTGTTACTATAGATCAAAGTCCATTCACCCTTTAACTTGGCTGCTCAGAGCTTCTGAGTGTGAACGCGGTCATCCACACTATAGCGTATATGCCTATCCCCTTGAATGTTTCATGACCATTGTATACATTGTCCTATTCCAATTAAGTAAATTTCCGTTACTGGCATATTGGTTTTGGTTCTAACATTACAGTCATACACCGCCTACAAAATTTTGGTACAGTTCTCACACACACCTACTGCTTATAGAGCATCATACCAGGTGTCCAAAAAATGTTTTTCTCACAAAAAATAAAAGGCATTATTAAACTTCCAGTCTTTGTCCAAATGTAGTGCTAGCGAACGTCCATGTTTCAGAACCTGACCGTTATCTGATTAAAAAGTTATAAGCACATTTCGAAAATTTTTGCTGAGAAAACAGTAGCCCACGAAGTCCATGAATGAAGATTGTAGGCTTATAACTTCCTAATCAAATGGAAAGGTTTGAAATTGTGGCATCTACCGTAGTATCCCGAGAGATGTCCCACCCCCGAAAGATAACCCGCCCCTATTTTCAACTTGCTTTGCTATATTTCTTAAACACGGAAAGGTAGCTCGCTCTAGTAATCACAGTGTTTGAATCAATGATGGCTTTGACGTAAATGCGACTATTTAGCTATGGCGGGATATAAGCAAACGTTGCTGACTGGGAAGTCATCTTTGCTTCATTGCCCCTCACCATAATAACAAGTTTGGCAGATAGCGAGTTTGTTTTCCGGCACTCGTGCCCACGCGTGCCCACTTGCAGCGTAGAGCGGTTTCGTTTTTGGTCGGCACTCTATGAGCGGTTGCACTCTGAGTTTGTTTCAGTGCCACCACCCCACGCGTGCATGCACTCGCTGCACCGAAAAAAGAGAGCGTACCCCAAAATGCAATCCCGTCACGCCTCGTTCCAGCGAGGAGCGGGAGCAGACGACGAGGGTTCGTCTGCTACGATGTGTCATTCGTACAGCGGAACCAAAACGAAAAGAAAAAAAATATTTTCTGATGGAAATCGTGTCCCGCGGGTAACGAAATCAAACTCAAGCTTGAATTATGAGCGTCTACTATTTCATGAAGGAAGCAATTGACAACCCGTGCTTTATTTGCAAGATTTTAGTCGTTCTGTCGCTGTACAGACGCTGAAATATACCACTGTCTAAAGAAATGCTCAGAACATATGCATCAGCAACCCCCGAGATCTTTATCACCATCCGTGTGTGGGTGAAAAATTGGAACACTTGTCGACAAAGCTCTCTCAGCAGAAACCTGTGACTGCGCAATGCGCATCCGAGAAAGCTAAACATAGTTACTTTACCCGAGGCTTGGGCTACATCATCATGTTTAACATAATTACCTACGTCAGCTATATCGTGCGTAGTCGTATTTTGTTTGAGAATGCTCTTGTTCTCGACGCCCTCACCAAGGCTGAGATCTGATCCATCTGTTACGACGATCGAAATCGAAAGTCCCATGAAACATTTTTTTCCTGGATATTCCAACAGACTACGTTTTAAGCCGTACCCTTTCAGTGTTTAACGCATAACATCACATTCAAACGGATCAAGCTTCTGCGCGGACAGCATCATCAGTTTTCTCCAGTGTAAACGGTTATAAGAATTGAAAGATCGCAACCAGCTGCTTTGTAGTCAGCTGGTTGCAGAAATTTGCACTGTCTGTAAATATCTCTACAACAGCCGAGTTGCTTGAAGTCATCACAAATATACAATACAGGTTGCAGCGACCAACGTTTATAGATGAACGTTGACAGCGACTGCACTCTCGGATTCCCACCCATCACGTTGAACAGAAAGGCGCTAGTTTCGGTTTGAAGTCGGAAATCTTTCTACAACATAGATGGTGACAGCATCAGTCATGCACCATAGATTTATTATTATAATAACTCTATGATCTGCCCTCGGTGCATTTGGCAAGTTTGTTTGAGGCCAGTTCTCTGTGCGACACTCCGCGAGTGCGATGCATTCTAGAAGAGAACTCGAACGGTGCCAGTGCGTGTTAAACAAACTCGCTAAGAAACAGATAACCAAAAATTAGCATTTTTGTTTTTCAACTTTTCTTGGTCGCGATTTGAAATTCAGCCCTTGCCTTTTTTTAACCCGATTTGCTCTTTATTTGAGGTGGGCTATCTCTTGGAATATTACAATACTTTGGACCGCTATAGCACTACACTTAGGTGGAGGCTGAGCATTCGACGATGCATAGTTTAATTTTTCAGTGAAAAAAAAAAACATGACACTTTTTCTGAGCACCTAGTACTTTCGGGATGATTGAAACAGAGCCTTAACAGAGAAACATATGCGAGTTTAGATCACTCGCTGACTCATCTCATTGGCCAAGGTGCTTCGTCAGAATCTCAGGTTAGGTCTACTAAATGCTTGGAACTGGCTTCAGGTGTTGATAGAATAATGGAATCTGAGCTAAAACGGGAGGAATGTTTCTACCCTCTTTACCAATGCAGAATGTGCACCCAGGAAGTGCGGAAGGGTGGTTTCAGACAGCGTGGTGACAGCCAATGAAGTTCTTGTTCTCCTCAGGTAATAAAATCTTGTCCTCACTGGTCAAGTGGATGAACTCGTGGGACCTTTTTGATTCTTTGTGCTTTCTTTGTTCACATCAGGATTGCACAAAGGGGCCTTTCTCTGGGGCGATCCGACGGAGGTGCATCCATCTTGGATCTTCATTCTGGGTCTGTTTCGCGGGGAAAGAAATTTGCCAACGTTTATACGTATGTGTTGTTTGCTTCTTGTCCTCGACTAACTTTGCTGTGGTTAACGGAAACTTCCCTGCCGTTCTTATCCCGACTATAGTTTGCTACTTGTTGTATGCTACTTACCATATGCCATTGCCATATTCCTACTTTCCACATGCTTCGTACGCCACTTGTCATTTCCTAACCATGTGTTCCTTTTTGTTGGCTGCTATTTGTCTACCTTACTTACCATTGAGATGGCATGCTTTGTCAGAAGCAGTTTGCTTGTCTTGTGACTGACTCTGCTCATCTGATATGACTACAGCTGTCTGCTTCTTGTCTGCAGTGTATGCAACAATTAATTGTGTTGTGGCAGTGATGTCGTCTGCTAGCACTTGCTTTGAAGATTAATTCTGTCCACTGGCTTTGACTTTGCAACAACGTAGGTGCTGTCTCCTAGCTCAACTCTTGAAGCAAAAGCTGATTCTGCTGGAAAATTGACCTAGCCAATGCTTGCGGCAGTTATTTTGAGTCAGACCCACTGATTATCTGAACAGCCCTGGCCCACTTCCAGCTTTGGTCAAGCGACAAATGCAATTTTTTAGTTCCATCATCTGCCTCCATGGCCGCATGTGACTGCACCCAGCCTCGAAATGGCCTACTGTACTTTTAGTATACAGAATTTTTCTTTTTTTCTGCTAGCATTAAATTTAGTTAGCGTTATCACTGTTTCTTGTTAAATTACTTGAGCAGTGATGTCTTCACATACTTTTCGCTGTGCACACCAGCGCTGTAGCCATACATTTTTATTGGGGGGGTCAAAGTGCATCTTTATATTATAGGGTCGGCTGGATTTCGGTGGTGGGGCTGAAGCCCTATGAGCCTAGACGCTGGTTACGCCACTGGTACATGCTACTACACTGTTAATGTAAATGCCAAATCTCAACATCATTTACTTATACTCGTTATTTGGCATTGAATGCTAAAAGTTGTGATCCATTTACGAGTGTCGCAGAAACATAATTTGCTTCCCTAATATTTTTAGCAGTTACAGCTAAACAAGAACATTTAATACCTCACTGCCTGATTCACAGATTGCACGAGATCTTTTGCGGTCTCACAAGCAGTTAACCCGTACGCAGTAGCCTGGCTGGTTCAATATATAAAACAATAAATTGCTCAGAAAAGCCAGCAATAAACAGGACAAGCCTCAAGTGCAGGAGGCAATATTATATGAGGAATTGCTCCGCTTTAAAACATTGAACGCATAGTTTAAGTTACCATTCTATTTTCAGTCAGATGAGCCAAATGGAGCTAACAGGGAACTGCAAAATTGTGGAACTGACAGCATCTCTGGCAGCGTACAAGCTGCTGTAGCCCAGTCACTTTGTTTCTATAAATAAGCCATCAGGACAGCTTGGCAAACCTTGTTCTTTTAATGACTCCCCTTCCCCTAAAGGCTCCTCAAGCAGAAGGGCAAGTTACTGTTTACGGAGGAAGACATCAAGGTGTACAGGTGAGGTTTCATTCACAGAACTTTGCTTGTCAACCATGTCGCTCGAGAATTGAGAAAAAGAAAAATTTAAGTTGGCCTGAAATACTACCTGCAGCTTTTTCGCCTGTGGGATCTGCTGTCCCAGTTGACTGGATCCTGCCTGCTGAGAAATTCTCTCTTGCACTCTGCACAGGTTGTTTGGACTTGAGGAATCTTTGAACTGCCATGCTAATTAAAGTCTCATGAAACATGCTGATTTAAGTATATGCTACTCGTGAGAGAGCATGCCAGTGCAAGCCTGTTTTCATTATAAGTGGTTAATGAAAGAACAAAATGTTTGTGCAGGGAGGAGCCTCAGTTGAAAAATGTCTCTTGGGTTTCTGTACTTTCTTGCAGGCGTTGTTTTGCAGCTTCAAGGGTTTCCTCCCGATCATAACTGTTTTTAGTCATTTGTGGGCATTTGTAGATCCTTACATTTTTCAGGACTTATTATTCTTTGTACACTTCATGTATTCCTCACTTAAATGGCAAGCAGCACAGCAGCTATTCGTGTGTTTTTATAAATCGCCCTTTGTCACAGATTTTGAAACAATTATTTTGTGAAAAGGAAATCGCTCACTGTTTGATGGAACAAACTGTTTTACACGGTGCTTCCCCTATACCCAGCCTACACTGACCCATCGCCTATACGCTTCACAACAGTGTGGCCCGTTGTCTGTTAATGATTGTCCCCCCCCCCCCATCTTAACTGCCTAGGCGAGGTCAGTATGGCCTTGCCTAGCTTGCTGGCCAGTGGTCAGTATGTTGTCTGTTTTCATACTATCAACATACGAACAGCGAGAATCCGGTACTCCGGCCTTCGCTCCTTCAGAGAGGCGATGAGATGCTCAAGTGCTCTCTCGACGGTACAAACAGTATGGCACAAACGTTTGAGGGTATTCCTCCTTGTGTTGACACGACTGTACAACTCCGCTCGAGAAAAACTCAACCGTGGCAGCGCCTTGCATCCTTTGAACAATCTGCACTCGCTAAAGCGAAAGGGTGCAACGAAACGTCATCTTTATTTTTGAGACTTGAAAGTCTTTCGGTGCCGATCACGTCGGTGCCCCTCGAAGTCCACACATATCCGAGTTTACAGATGGTGGCGCATCCATGGTGTTTCTGCCTTGCAGGCAGGTGAAGATTAAGATCCGCAGCCTGATTGCGTTCCAGTTCGGAGCGACGCCCGAGAGCCTGCACCTGACGCATCCGACCTTCTTCTCCGAGATGACAGATCGTCCGGCCCTGACCGTTCATGACCAGTACTGGCACGTCCACGTCGACAAGGTAACCTCCCTCGCTCATTGAACACAAAGGTGTACGATAGACCAGACAGTTGCCCGCTGTACAATCTGTTTCACCTTACGATGGACTGCAGAAAATGCTACAGTTCATCCCAGCCAATCCACCACATTGACACAGGACTATGCTTCGCTGTGCCCCTCTCGAAGGTCATGTGACACTCACAGGGTATCACATGACCCTCTCTAAGATCACTTTACACTCACAGCATTGACTTCGACAGCTAGGAGAATCCTCTGCTGTCCCATAAGGTGAAATGAAGCCTCACTCCACTGTACCGGTTCCAAAAGAGGACACATTTCAGAATATTTGGGTATCCAGTCAGAGTGGCAAAAATTGCCACTCGCATTTGCTGGTACAGACCACACTACGAACCTGCTTATTTTTTGGCCTGTTCCAGAAAACATATGGGTCGTTCCATTACACGTCGTTGCTCTACCTGTCCGACTACGCTACGGACTTCGACGGCGGACGCCTGGTGTTTGTGGACGGAGCCTCCGGCAACGTCACCGTAGAACCGAAGAAAGGTGCTCCTGACTTCATATTCCAAGTCGGACCAGTACCTCGCTGTCTAAACATGCATGCAACAAATTTGGTATTGGTCTTTAAGGCCCGTTCACACTCTTGCGACCGAGTACGACTGAGAGAGACGAGATCTCTTACAATTTCTTAAATGTTTCTAGAATGAGGTGACCCACTGACATTGTGGCGCCATCTATGCGGTGACCCTAGAACTGCATTTCACAAAAGCGAAGGTTTTGCGGGATTTCCGAGGTCAAATGTGCGTAATACCCATAGAAAGGCTCGTTTATAACATTGACAAAAGTTTTTCGAGCCAAAAAAGAAAGGATATTGCGCGAGAAATAAAAAAAAATATGCCGGACCGCCGAGTTTACACTGCTTCCCAATAGATGGCGCCAGTGTGTTCTCTGGTTTAAGAAGTTTTAAGGAACCCAGGTTTAAGAGGTCGCAAGCAGTTGCAAGAGTGTGAACGGGCCTTTAGAGTGACAACTGCCATGGAGCATTGATCGGAGAGACAGATAGTCGGGAAGTGGCTCTTGTCTCGGGAACTAGACTGGAGGCAAGACACATGCAGTCTTTGCTTTGAGGAATTTTGTGGGAATGAGGGAAAAACATGTTTCCATCTTTATTAAAACGTGAAACACATAACAGAGGTGTCACGACGGTCTTGGAGAACGGGTTTAGGATCCTGACACCACCACTTTATGGTTTGACCGAGATGCTGGGCTCAGCACTTGACGACGAAGATTGTTTATGTCTTTAGGAAATGAAACAGCCATGGTTGTGTATTCTCTCAGGCTTGTTACTTCTTGCTTTTTCTAGGAATACGTTTAGAAAATAAAAATAAAATAATGTGTCCTAAATAAGACACGGCCATCATTACAGTGAAAAACGATGTGCACGTCGAGGTAACCTAACGCCACACTTTAAGCAACTCCGTGAGTGGTTAAGGCTGATTCACGCACTTGCACGAGTCCGGCCGAATGCGACTGCTACGATTGTATCGTTTTGCCATGTAGTGGTCAACGGAGTAGTTTAATTTGTCCTTCGAAATCTGAACCCCGAGACATGGAGACACATCTTGTCTGTTATTTTATTTCTTAGTGCCTTGGGGAGTACAATGTTTCCTAACCAGCTCTCGAGCATACTTTTGCTTCACTTAATTTGTTGTTTGCTTTTTCTTGTTCATTCCGCTACCCTCATCAGGTCGACTCTTGGCATTCACGTCTGGTTCCGAGAATCCCCACAGAGTGGAGCCAGTGGAGAGAGGTGTTCGGTACGCACTGACCGTGTCCTTCTCCTGTGATCCTTCAAAGGCCGTCGCCGACCCCGGAACGTCGTCAGCGGCACAGGCCCAAAATAAGCGACAGGAACTTTGATGCAAAAGGTTCCTCGAGGACTGTTCGTTGGCATCTTGCTGACGTTGTACTGTTTTTCAACTTTGCAATCGTATGTTTGCCGACGTGGAAGCCGGTAGTCCACTGTGGTGCTGGTGGTGTACCAGGGCACTCCAGATGTTACTGGGTGTCTCGTTCGGAAGAAAGCGACGGTTTGTTGAGCTATAAATTGTGTCGCGCGACGGAACATGCAGTAATTTTGTCAAAGTGTGCATCCTCTTGGTTGTCACAACATCCTAGGCTGGGAAAGAGCAGCTTGAAGGAAGCGTAAAGATAAGCTCAAAAGACTTCACCGATCTATGGATCGCTGGCACCAGAACAACATCATTAAAGTCCCCTAGGCTACAGCGCATAGGTTGTGCCGGGAGCTCACACGAAAACTGACAAACAAGTTCCTCTTGTGAGGGCAGAGTATTTTACAGAGAGTAATAATCAGTTCCGTTCATCCAGAATCTCCGTAACACAGATATGTACACTCAGCAATACTGTGATCAGGAACATGCCATCATCTATTTTTTCTTTTTTTTTATTAGTATTGAACGACTATCATCAAAACTACTATAGTGGTGGAAAGTGCTCGGTTAAAGTATTAACTGAAGTGGCAAGTTTTGATAGCCCCCAGTACCCTTTCAAAATAAAATGTGAAAAAAACGTCGAAGTCGTGTGCGCTAACAGTGCTATGCGGTGTACCTTTTTCATTGGCAGTTCAAATTCTCATTCTGCATCCTTTTACGGGCCAGGTATGCAAAAAAGTATAATGGTGGGGTCCCAATTTGGAAGTAGAAACTTAGCATACCTGTCACCAAGTGACGTAGCCAGGAATTGTTTTCAGGGGGAGCCGAGGTGGCTGGGATGTCCATGACGGGGGGTGCGGTGCGGGGGGGGGGGGGGGGGGTCAAATTGCACATTTTTTTATAGTCGGGTTGACTTCTGAAGGGGGCTGAAGGCCCCCCCCCCCCCCCCCAGAAATCCAGCAGACCCTATAAAAAGTTTAGTTTTAACCAAGGCAAAACTTCAGCCGTGACCAGACTTTGGCCGAAAAGGAACCGATGATGTGACTAACCAAATGGAAGTGTTGACCTGAACTGTGATACAACCAAAACTGCAGGCCCAACCGACCGGTGTGATATTTAAGCTGGGCTTAATCGGTCTGTTGAGAACTAGTCGGAATGGTGCTACTTATTCCCACCAGCCGTTGGGTTGTGGAAAAACAAATTTTTAAGATGAAGTCTAGCAAGTGATCAATGGGACCATATGCCTGCATTATTCTTTCTTTCAGCAACATATGTATTTACAACTCCTTCGACGGTATTATTCTAAATGTTGGGGGAGAAAGGCATCCTCACTATTGTCATGACCTCTGCACAAGTGTTGGTCGTACATTGTCACCACTCTACCTTTTGACTCGTGGCCTCTGCTTTTGACTTATTTTTGAAGCTTACCAAAGCCTGTACAAAATGTTGTGAACTGTTTTTTTTGGGGGGAATAAAGGTTTCTACTCGTTTTCAAAGTTTCCATTGCTTCTGAAATGGTTATTTAACTGAATGCCAGGTATCAACTTGCAAGGCATTGCCCGAGCATTTCATCCACGTTGATCCATGCGCTTCTCTGCATTTTGCATGCATACCCCAAAGAAACTCGCTTCTATATAAAATTGTGTGAATCCTGAAGATGAAGAAAAATGCAGCTGTGCACTACAAGGAGGCATATTCATAGCCACTCCCCTTATTTGTATTTGATGGGAACAAACTATATAGAGTATTTTCTGTCCATCAGCAAACGTTTGATTTCTAACTACCTATACAAATTGCAATATGTAGTGAAGATTGGGAGTGTTTATAAAAAGGTAATACAGTAAAACCTCGTTATAACAAAGTTGAAGGAGCGATCATAATTATTTCGTTATAACCATTAGTTTGTTATAGCTAGGGTTCCGCGTTTTCGGTTTCTATTTTTTCAAAATTCGGCGTACTTTTTTCGGTGTTTATTTTAATATACAATTTTCGTTTTTTTTCGGCGGATATTTATGCCCACAAAAGTTTATCGGCTTCTTTCGGTGAATATAAAATAAACACCAACGGACACCGGATCAGTTGATCCTTGTACGTAGCTCTGATGTTTGTGATCACTCAAAGAAGAACGGCACAGATACATTGAAAAAGAAATGGACACTTCGTTTGGCAAATATGTGCAACTGTAAAAGAAACAAGAAAAAAACCATAGAAGTACAAACAAGTCAGATATGAAGCCTATGCCCAATAAACATGGAACTTCACTTTCTGTACATCAGGATTACGCAATCTCATTATAGTACACACACATGTACTTGCCAAGGTTCTTCTCCTTAATCCGCACTATTTCTCTTTTTTTAATATGCCCCTGAGCTTCGAGAATGCCCTCTCAACGCTAACACCGGACACGGACAGGCTGAGGAGATGAAGCGCTGCCTGAGCCAGCATCGGCCCATCAACCAGTTGTGACCGCCGAAAAAGGCACGGTGCGACATTTTAAAGCACAACACAACATGCAGAGCTTGGATCACGTCAGTCTTCCTTACAACGAGTTTGAAAGCATGCTCGTACATGGCGAAGTCATGGGGCATTTCGGACTTCACGTTCCGATCAATGATGCGCACATTAAACCAAAACGTTGCGATGCCATTCGTGTATCCCATACTTTCTGACACGTTTCGATAGACACTGTCGTTCCACTTTTTTGCCACGGCTCTGTTGTACGACTGGAAGGTCAAAGTGACCTTTTCCGGTTAACACTGAATTTTAGAAAATGGACTGGACGAACTTTTATCGGTTTAAATCGAAAATGCCGAACCTAAAAACTGACCTTTTTCGGTTAAAACCGAATTTCCAAAAATGAATTCGGCATACTTTTATCGGTCTTTATCGGTTTAAACCGAAAACTCCGAACCCTAATTATAGCCAATGTCCATTTCTTCCCTAATAGCAAGCAAGGGGAATTATGATTGCTTTGTTATATCCATTAGTTTGTTATATCCCATTTTTTTATAACGAGGTTTTACTGTAATTGTAATTTTTTTTTTTTTTTTTCAGTTGGGATAGAAAAATGTAAAATAAGGAAACCACTAGCTTTTACATAGCATGTTTCCTAAAATATTCTCGAATATCAAAAAAAGTTATTGTAAAATCCATAACCTCATATTCTAAGTGGTTCACTCAGTTTCTACCCGACTCGTCTTCGAAGACCTCATATGGAATTTCAACTTCGTCAAAATAATAGCATTATGTCTCGACCCTGAGAAAGTCTAGGCATATAAAATATTTTCATACATATGCTCCGCCCTTCCTTGGGGTGGTTTGACAACAGATGTCTCGGTGCAAAGGCCGAGGAAATTGCTTTGTGGCAACAATACCAAAAAGCATTCTCATCATACCATAACAGGTGAAAGTAAATGTAAAAAAAAAAAAAGAACATGCACTTTTTTTTTCATACGCACTTTGTGTACAAAGAAAACCAATGCACCTAGGTTTCTTAGAGGGCCAGCATTAGTAATCAATTTTAACAAGGCTAAAATCCCATTTAGAAGCCTATGCTGAGTACCCATCAAATTATGATTTGAACCCATCAGCTGAACAGATCAATATTAAGAAAAACTTGAGGGACGCTGACGTATCACCCCCTAGCAACAAGCATGCGGGGAGAAAACATAGTTCGCTGGTTTTGGAGCGATAATTGCGGACTATGTTTCCCGCACCACAATCAGTTTGCGTTTTTCTCAAACTAATTTACAATAAGCTTAAAAAGTGTTGCAATAATAACGTTTGCATTCACCGCGAGATGCAGCATTTCCATTGGTCCAGTTTTAGCGATGGGCAGGGAATGGGGGATTGTCTTCCAAGAGAAAATAGTCCGGATATACTTCTGCCATCGGCTTAATAAACGGTTTTGTAATCTAAAACTTTGTATACATATTAACTTGCACCTACTACGCAATATAACAACATAAACAGACGATCGCAGAAAGCTCCGGAGGGCAATCCGACAGCATTATTGGGCCCCGCTCACATCGCCTTCCCATTCGCTGTGCAAGCGTGCCGAACGTGGGTTAGAATTCCACCTAAAATTCTCCATATTTTTCTTTAATTAAGGCAAACAAATTATTTTACAAAGCGAAATCATTTGAGACATGTGGCAACAATTAATTCACATTACATGTCATGTTCTTTTTTTAATTTTCTTTTCACGCGCGACGTCACGTTTCACGTGAGCATTGTTTGAAATTTCCGCGCGAGGTCATAGTGTGTGGCGTCGTGACCCTATCGACCAATGAGAATTCGTCACTGTAAAGCCACTAATGCCGGCTTTACAGCGACCAAGCTTATTAACGCTATCGCGTTAATAAGTTAATATGTGCCGCCCCCCATCAGGTCTGTTTTCCAACTTCCCGAAATCTGTACAGACACTGGACGGATGGCATAAATTGCATACTGTCGTTAACAGGACATGACCCAAAACAACAAGTACAGAGCAAGTAGTAAACTTTAATAATAATGAACATGGCAAACTGTGCCAACATCCACAATAAAAAGAAAGGCCAGCCCATCATTAGTCTCCAGCATGTGCACACTAATCAAGCAATAGTTTCCACCACCCCCGCTACAGCACTTAAAAATATAATGGATGCATACCAATCAACTGCAGAGTTGTCCACTTGGAACAAGGTTTCCACAAATGACCACTGAGAAAGTGCCCTCAAAGCAGACCACGCAACACAGTCACCTTCGTTTCACCAAGCAGCGAGCCAGTAGAAAGTAGTCGTATCAATCTCCATAATTTAGCGAAACTGCAATCACGGCTGGGTGATGATTCTCAGAACTACTTTTCTTTTCCTTTTGAATGATCTGCAGCAAAAGCTGGAAAAAAACCGGAGTTCGAAATATTCTTTGCCTGCAATGCTACCAAAGGAAACAACCAGCCTCAATAACATTGCACTTATCAATACGACCCAGCAGCTTTGGTCCTGGACCCAAATGGCGTTCCCAGTTTGACTCTTGGCATTATTACTTGCCACAAACAACTGCTATTCCATAAATAGTGACAAGAGCCATCATTGTTTTGAAGCCACTGCAACACCCTTTTACGTGGGACCAGACACCGTTGCAGACTGCCTCCAGTACTTTCTGCAACAATGTTCGGTAGAAATGTTTGCTAAAATTTTCTAAAACTGATTAGTGTTTGTGAAGAGCATATAGTGACAGATCCACCACAGGCCATCCGCAAACCAGAAGCCCGGCGGCAGACGACAGGCGGTCGTGGTATTTAGGCGTTTTTCGGGCGTTGTTGCACACTGATAGCATAAAAAAAAAAAGGAACAGCACAGCTTGCAAATGACTACGTTTTCACGAAAGACAGAACCACCGTTTAAAGAAAGGCTTCAAGAACACAAGGCCAATCGCCAAACAGCAGACGACAAAGCCTCCCTATCCATCGTATGCAGCGAAACGTCCTCTGGGCCCGTATGGCAGCAGCCTTTCAGCGTACTGTGGGCTAAAGCATGAAGCTGAAGGTCGGCTACGGATCGTCTGTGCGTCTGCTCCAAGTGGGCTGGAGTAGGTCACAGGCCAGGATCCAGACAAAGCACTTGAGTTTCCTCGAAGTCCATTGCAGGTTGGTCATCCCCTCAAATTGAACAGCATGCCGATAATCGCCCAGGAAGACTGCGGCCCTCTAATGCAGCAGCAACTAAATATCACTGACACGAGGGCATCAGACCGTCACCAAGTCGACCGGGTCAACCGCGCACTACTTCAGACTGGCTGGAAGTCGGCTCCAAAAAGGCAACCAACGCAAGTCCCAGGAAAAATCCAGTACTACATGCGGTGGTCACATTTAAGCCACCAGCAAATGGGCTCCAGGTCGGCCACACGATGGCACCAGACCGGTACCAAGCCGGCCCGGTGAACCACACACGGCATCAAACCGGCTGGAAGTCGGCTAAGAGGAGGCGACCAATGCAAGTCCAAGGAAAAATCCAGAGCCACATGCGGTGGTCAACTCTAGGCCACCACCAAGCTGACTGTAGGTCTGCTACATGTCAGGAGCAGGTCGGGGGGCCACTCTAAGTAAAGCACTGAGACTGTTTGCGGGGATCAGCTGGTCCACGATCCACACAAAACCCGGGTTCCATTGCTCGTGAAGGCTTGGAAGAATTCAATGCGGTAGGATCAGTCGAAACTGATGAGGGCAGCCTCCTGCACCGGTGGGGGCGCCACTGGCATTTGCTCGTGTGATGGCATGCTGGTGGGGACGTGGTGACCCTGCTGCTGTGGTGACGTCGGGTGTGCCATGTGGTTCGAATGGTGTTGCTGCATGCTCTGTGGCAGAGGTACTCCCAGGGGCATGGCTGCAAAGAATGAATCATACACTGCTTGTAGATAACATACAACTGACAAAAAGTGTTGACCACACCTGAAATTTATTATGTTAAAACCCCTGAAATTTCTTTTTATTCTGTTTCTTTTTTGAAAATTTCTAAATATAGAGGAAAGGCCGTTTAGAAATATCCGATTACTTGTGAAGTGAAAATATTGAATTTTGAGGTAGATTCTTATGCAAAGTTTGCATTGAGGTAGTACAGCTAGCATTTCCCAACTCTAATTTAAGCCAAGTTCCCTAACAAGAACAGCATTTCTTTTCACGATTCAATCATATTCTGCACATTGTGGAAGAATACTTACATAATAATCACTGAGACAGACAAACCAAAACAGAAAATTATTTAGGATTTGATTTTAAAGAATGAAACCAAATTTTTGTTTGGTACAGTCAAATCTCGCTAATTCAAACTCGAGGGGGACCGAAAATTTGTTTGAATAAAGCCAAGTTTAAATTACCGGGAGTTTCCTCCCATAGATATGCATAGGATGGGACCTGCATGTTAGTCTGAATTATCCGTATGTTTGAATGAAGAGAGTTTGAATTAATGAGGATCGACTGTACCAAGCCCAAACGAAAGAAAAAACTTGACCAGTAATGAATAAACAATAATTCAGCAACAAACCCACAAATAATAAGCGTACAGCTTGACACACTGCCTCCAAAGGCTATAGAAATCTGTAGGCTACACAGACCCCAGACAAGTGATGCCAACTGGACAAATAATTCGAGACTCCTGTCAAACTTCGCTGACCTCTTTTCAATGCTTCAGCTTTTCATCATCAGATGCTCTGAATTTCTGGGGAATGTTCCATGTGCTCCTCACTGGGCATTGTCTTAGCTTCATGGCAAAGCAAGATGATGTGACAATAAATACTGTCTAGGGCAGGTGTTCCCAAGCCTTCGAATCGTGAAGGCACCTGGCTATCATGTATCACAGCTGCAGCAACCCCTCCTACTTTCAGCATTGTTTGAATCAAGAGAGAGAAAGAGCCTGAACCATGGAAGTATATCACTTACACTGCAGGGCATATGCCTGAAACTCCATGGGATGTGGCAGCATGTGCGGCAGGGTCATGCTTCCGTACTGCGGCCCCCCGACCATGTTCTGGGGGGGCATCATGTACGGCATGCCTGCGGCATGTGTGGGAGACCGGTACGGTCCAGGTACGCCGGCCATGGAACCCATCTGCTGCGGCATCGGGCCTCGCTGCATCATGGGCCCTGGTTGTTGCTGTGGTGGTGGTGGTGCGTGTCCTTGCGGTAGGCGCATCCCTGCTGGAAGAGGTCCTTGATGCATCTGTCCTTGTTGAGGAAGCATTGTGCCAGGTGGCAGCCCTTGTCCTGGATGCACCACTTGTCCTGGCTGAGGATGCATGGTGCCTGGTTGCCCCGGATGAACCACTTGTCCATGCTGTGGATGCCCTGTTCCTTGCGGGACCTGGCCCGGTTGTGGCATTGGGACTTGGTGTGAATGTATCGTCAGTGGCGCTTGCTGGGGATGCACTTGTCCTTGCTGAGTATGCATCTGCCCTTGCTGAGGTGGCATCTGTCCTTGCTGAGGTGGCATCTGCCCTTGCTGGGGTGGCATCTGCCCTTGCTGGGGTGGCATCTGCCCTTGCTGAGGTGGCATCTGACCCGGCTGAGGTGGCATCTGACCCGGCTGAGGTGGCATCTGCCCCTGCTGAGGTGGCATCTGCCCCTGCTGAGGTGGCATATGTCCTTGTTGAGAAGGCATCTGCCCTTGCTGGGGGTGCATCTGAGGATGCACCTGTCCTGGTTGTGGAGGCACTGCTCCAGGATGATGTGGAATGGAATTTGGAGGCAGACTGCCTGGTTGGCCTGCCATGGAGACCATCTGGGGAGGCAGGCTTCCAGGCTGGCCTGGGAAGCCTGGTGTGGTGGTGTTAATGTGGTGGTACTGTAGCTGCTGCTTTTGCAGTTCATGCCGCATCTGCAGCTCCCTTTCTTGCTCTTGCATGCGTTGCAGTGCCAACTGGTGCTGGTACTGAAGATACTCCTGCGAGACATCAAGAGAATAAAATCTTGTCAGGACAACAACTACCATGCTGCATTAATGATCATGCTAATTAGCCCTATCTATTAGTCTTTCTGGATTGAATAATGTAGACAGTTATTAGAAAAAATGAATCAGCATGCAATAGACAAAAAATTCCAGTATCCAGTAACTACCATCCAAGGAATGGTGGTTACCACTAGATCCAAGGAATGACATGTAAACGACAAAGAGAAACACAAATACTGAATGGGCGGCATAACTTAGTGTTTGCTTTAAATCTAGTTTACAGGTATTGTAGTAAAAAGCAGAATGGAATGGCACAACACAAAAGCTGAATCCTAACATCCTCAATCCTCTCATTTCTTTTTTTTCTTCAAAGATGCAGTCTTAAAATTGGAACATCAAGCCCAACAGAGTGCCGAATGTAACGCCATTTTTCAATTGGTGTTTGCAATGAGGATAATCGTCAACTACAACGAGAGTCCGACAAGAAAACGGTTTGCTTTTACATTCTAGGCAGAATCTCATCTTGTCGTTGAAGCCCAGCTCTCAATACCCCAATTCTAGTTAAATCACATCTAACATAACCACAAGGATGTAACCTCACCAACATCCCTGTGACTTCGAACGATGCACATCACTTGCCACCGGTTGCAAGCGTTCAAACATTTGTGTGGGAGATGGCGGGCAGTGGTGGAACTACTGCAATCACTCAACTAATAGCCGCACTGTTTACAAGAACATCAGCAACCCTCAAAAAGTCCCAAACCCCCCCCCCCCCCCCCCCCCCTTTATTTCCGACTGAAAACGCGGGGCAATAAAGGCATTTAGACAGTGAACAAGAGTTCATTGCACAGACAGAATAAGGCAAAATGGAGGACTACAGACAGAATAAGAAGGCAGAGCTGTTAACTTGGGGCACAATGTAAAATATATATACATATTAGTGCGAAGGGTGAGGTTGCTTTGTCCGCAACACAAACTCAATCCATGGCTCAGTCCGTGGGAGGTTAAACTAGGAGGGGGCGGGGGGCACTGCAATTTCGTTGCTCGTTAAACCCATGCGACCAGCTCGCGAAACCCCTGTCTTTGCGGAACCCAGATTGGGAACCCCTCTTTAAAGCTACTATTTCTCATAATGCATAGATATGATCTTGCAAATACTGCAAAAATCCCCTCGTGACCAGGGTAAGTCACCCGAAATACGACGAATAGCTGCACGCGAGCTCTGCGGAAGAAACAAAACTGCACGGTGGACGAACGTTGACGGCTGTACCTTGTATAACGAGCGGTAGCTAGCGCCACCTGGCGCGCGCCCTGTTCGTGAACGGTAAGGCCGTCGCTCGAGCAAGCGCAGCAAAGTGTCCCACCTGCTTCTTCTGCCGCATGATGTGCAGCTTCTGGGCCATCTGGATCTGGCGCTGCCGCTCGGCCTCCTCGGCGTCCCTCCGGAGCTGTTCGCGGTGCTCCTCCCGGAGGGCGTCCAGGGCGCCACGCGCGTCCCGAATCTGCGCCAGCTTGTCCTGCAGGCCCTCGTAGTACTCTGCCCGAGAAATGGAGACCCAACAAAACGTCGGCACACATTCTCCTCGGCGGCGGCGCCCAAGAAGGCTACGGTAATTCGCTCCCGGAACGCGACAAGTCGTCAAAAACGTTGGGCAACTCCGGCTCCAAAGTCCCCTGTTTTTCGGACCACACGGGTAGAAATGGAGGGGAAGGAGTCGAAAGTGCGCAGACGTAAGTGCGCCGAGCTCTGGTTTGGAAGATGCAAAGCTGGCAGCCCTTGTCTCTACTCGCTGTTCGAACAGAAACGCCAAACGCTGCTGGCATTCAAACGCATTTGAATGGTGAGTAGAGAGAAAGGCAGTAAGTTCTGTGTCTACCCACCGGTCGCTCCAACCAAAGCCTTCCCCGCACGCTCTCATCTCCTCTCCCGCACTTTCTACCTGTGCACATGTACAGTGCTCAGCAAACTTATCTGGAACACATGCTAAGCCTACTCTTGGCTTGTTCTATTTTATTTGTTTTTTCATGCGAGCGTGCATAGCTGGCGCTAGCCCTAAGCTATTTCTCTTTGTGTCCCACTATGTCCGTAGCATACCTTCAGTTCACGTAAATATGCACAGTTCTCTCATATTTTATCTTTTTTCTGCATTCAATATTCCACAAGTGTTCCGTATAAGTTTGACAACTGTACATCGCAAGTTTGGTGCAATGGCGTACATATCGACCTCTCCTGTAATGGCCTTCGAAAAAAAAAAAAAACTGACAGTATTGATAAAAACAAATTTTTTTTTTATATTATACAAATTTAATTTTTTGCCGGTGCGGACTTCTATTTACAGGTGCAGACTACGGAAGAATTTGCTTTCCTAGCTAGTTCATTATGACGAGTTGCGACGAATTTCGTGAATAACAAAATATGTCAATGATGATTTATGTATAATACAAGCTTCTTTGTCAGGTAATAAAGCAGGCATTTGTTAAGTTCTCTGTATGTTCATTTTATATGTGCAGAGTAGGCAGCTCATGCGTACTGTGCACGGACTGTGCCGAGGGAGAGGGCTGCCACCGATGCAACAAAACACCGGATTCACAGAGACAGCTGAAACGGCAGCCACCACTCTTCATTCAAAGGGGAAAACGTTGAGGCTGTGTGCATCCAGCCGTTCTAACTGAGCAAAAGCTGTCAGCTTTTAGATCATTAGATATTCGCGAAGTAAGATGTGTTCCCTAGTGAAGTGCTTGGTAGAGACAAACAGACTAGAAGGAGACGGTAGAGAGAGAGAGAGAAAGAATTGAGAGAAGGCAGAGAGAGAGTTGAGGGAGAGGGAAGTGGAGAGAGTAGAAAGAAAAGGTAGAGGGAGAGTTGAGAGAGGGTAGAGTGAGAAGGTAGAGTCGAAGAGGAGAAAGAAAAAGTAAATAGGGTTGAGATATAGTAAAGTGGAGAGAGAGATTCATTAAATGCGGAAGGAAAGTTCGTCTGCTTTTTGCGCAGGGGGTAGTGGTGACGTCGGAACGCCGAGCCCTGATTGGCTGATCGCGACCCTCTATCTGAGCGTCGTCTGCTCCTTTGCAACGTCGTCTGCGTCTGTCTTACCTTTCCTACGACTTTCGGAAGCGCAGGTCTTTACAAGCGAGCTTGACTTCGCCTTTTCGAGAGGGCAGATGAAATAACTCGAGAGGTACGATGCATTTTTGTCTAACAACTAGCAGACGCGCACCAAGGAGAAATGTCAACAGACTCAATGGCGAGGTGTGCCGAGGCTTGTTTGCTAAGAATGGAGAGTGAGGGTGGCTAGCGTCCGCAAGTTCCCTCCCAAATACCTTTTCCCTCCTTTCGTGTGCGGCAAGACTCCTGCCTCTTTAACGGCGTTGGCGGGTTGGCACGGTTGGCACAGTTAACGTCGTCTGCTTTACGTCTGCTAGTCAAAGCGATGGCTGCTTTACCTTTCCTGCGTCTGTCGGAGATTCACCGCTCTCTGAAAGGCGAAGTCAAGCTCGCTCGTAAAGACCTGCACTTCCGGAAGTCGCAGGAAAGGTAAAACAGACGCAGAAGACGTTGCAAAGCAGCGGACGACGCTCAGATAGGGGGTCGCGATAAGCCAACCAGGGCTCGGCGTTCCGACATCACCGCTACCTCATGCGCAAAAAGCAGACGAAGTTGCCCTCCGCATAGGTAGAAAAAGTGAAGAGAGTCGAGAGAGAAAGTAGAGAATAGGGAGAAGATAATCGAGAAAGGGAGAAATTAAAAAGTAGAGAGAAGGTAGAGAGAGAGCTATAATCAGGGTGTCCAGCAAATTATTTTTTTTTAAATTCCCCGACTTTTCCAGGTTTTCCCTGACCACTCTAGAGGCGGTTAAATATATAAGACCATTACAACACAAGGCATTGAGCATTGAGAACAGCGAGGATTGTTTTGCACGGGCCTAATCTAACTTGCATATTCCGAAATATTTGGGTTTATCCAGTCCGAATTAAACAAACCCTTTCTCGCCGCTGACGTCGTCAGTGAAGAGGCCACTTCCGGAAACATGATGAAAACACGACGCTCAACCACACACGTCAATAACCAAATGGCAATATGGCCGCCAGATGCACTTTCGGATACTTTCGGCTTGGATTGGAGTCTGCGGCTTTCCCACTTGTTACTAAATCTAGTAGTTCTAACTGGATCTAGTTTAGTGTTGCACTCTCAATCCAATCCAATCCAAAGCTTGGACTGGATTTTTCGGCTGTTCCCTTTGCATCGAGTAGCACACTCTATATTGGGTGAGCAGAGCCCACAGTCTGCTCTAGGCAGAACTTATTGCATACATTTCTGCCCCTAAGTCCTCAAGTCTTTGCTCAGGGCACTCGGTGGCATTTCCGGCTCATTTTCTCCGACTGCGATCACTTTTCGACAATATCCCTGATAATTCCCCGATTTCTCCCGGTCATTAAAATTTCCCTGACAATTCCTGGTTTTCCCAGTCGCTAGACACCCTGTATAATAGAGGGAATGTAAAGAGAGTAGAAAGAGGGTAAAGTCGAGAAAGAGAGAGAGAAATCAAAGAGAGTAGTGCGAGAATGTAGACGAAGAGTCAAGAGAGAGAAAGTAAGGAGAGTCGAGAGAGGGAGAGAAATAAATTGGAGAGTTCAAAGAGAAGGTAGAAGAGTCGATAGAGATAGTAAAGGTAGTCGGGGGAGAGGATGTAAAGAGAGTAGAGAGAAGGTAGTCGAAAAACGGAGATCAAAAAGAATAGAAAGAAAAGGTGGCGGAAGAGTTGAAAGAGAAAAAGAGAGAAATTAAAGTACAGTGAGAAGGTAGAGGAAGAGTCAGTAGAGATAGAGAAATAAAGAGAGTCGAAAAAAAGAAAGTAAAGAAAGTAGAGAGAAGGCACAGTCGAAAAAAAAAGAAATTGGAGAGCAGAGAAACAAAGTAGAGGAACAGTCGATAGAGACAGAGAAAGGTAAGGGAGTAGAAAGAAGGTAGTCGAGAAACAAGAGAAAATAAAGTAGAGAGAAAAGGTTGAGGGAGAGTTGATAGAGAGAAAGCAAAGAGAGTAGAGAGACGTGTTAAAGAGAGTAGAGAGAGAGAGAGAGAGAGAGACATTAAACAGAGTAGAGAAGATAGAGGGAGAGTTGAGAGAGAGAAAAAGTAAAGAGAGTATATAGAGGGGGTGCACCCACCCCTGAGGTCCTCCTGGTGCTGGAGGTGCTGCACCAGCTGGGTGTGCATGCTGCTCACTGAGAGGAACAGGTTCTGCACATGCGAGTCATTGGCCACGGGGCGGCCCCGGGCCGCGTTGCTCTGCAGCCGGTTCACAAACACCTCCAGCGTCGTGCGCAGCTGGGCCACAAACTCCTCCAGCTGCGAGTCGGACTCCGTCGCCGAACCCAAGGACACGGACACCGTGACACCGCCGCTGTCTGCTTTCTGTGAGAACGACGTGGCGTTTTTCAGGCGGGGAGCGGCGAGGGTGTAACAATCTTAGTGATGTGGCTGGAAGCGTGTCCCACTACAGAGGGTAGTGCTTGAAGTCAGGGGGGTCTCGGACCCTTCACAGACTTGGATGAGGGGTGCGAGACGCTCGCACCCTAGCTTCAGCGTAACTGCGGCAAATGACACAGAAACGTGTTGTCTACACACATTTTTCCCTGGCGGACGATGAAAAAGCATGCCATCGTCCACACAAATGACACAGAAATGTGTAGTTGTCTACACACATTTTCTCCCGGCGGGCGAATCAAGAATGTGCCGTTGTCTGCACACCGTCATCCGCACGAACATTTCTGCAACATACGACAGAAATGTGTCGTTTGCACAAAAATTTCGATGGCAGATGGCGCGCAAGTACACTGCCCTGCACTTTTCTGCACCGTGCTACGCTTTGTGAACCGGTGTAGGCTAGGGCAGGTAAATCGAATGATCCCAGTGCATGCCACTACTGAAGCCGGTGGTTACCCCTCCAGGATTTTTACAAGAGTTCTGAAGCACCCTCGCCATAGCTCCAGCATAGCCGCGGCAGACGATGCAGAAATGTGCAGTCGTTCGCACACTTTTCCTCGGGAAGACGACACCCAAAAGGGACGTCAGCTGAACAAACATCTCTGTGGCAGACGATTTGGAAATACTCCATTGCCAGCCCAAACCTTTCTGTTGCAGACAGTGCAGGAATGAGCAATCATCTGCAAGCAGCTTTCTTCGGCAGACATGCCGTCATCTGCACAAACATTTTCATGGCAGACAACAAAAAAATGCGCCGTTGCCTACACAAACATTTCTGATTCAGACGAAGCGTAAATGCGCCGTCGTCTCCAGAAACATTTTTGTGGCAGATGACGCAGAAATGTGCCACTACACGCATCTTTTCTCGGCAGACGACACAACAGGTATGTCCCATGGCCCGCACCAACATTTCAGCGGCAGACAACGGCGCACTTGCCTCGATCGCCTTGACAGTGGAATAGGGCGACCCGGCCGACGTGGGTGCACTGGGGACAGGGCTGAGCCTCGAGGCCAGAGAAGGGTCCCCGTTCTGATCCGTCTGCTGCTGCTGCTGCCGCTGCTCCCAATAGGCGCGGTTCAGGTACCGCGCCAGCTCGGGGTCGCCGTCTGCCAAGTCCTTCTTGCGTGCTTTGTCCGAGCCGCTCTTGTCCAATGCCTGCATCATAGGCAACACAAGATATGCATGCAAGGTGCATTTTGACAGAACGCGTAGGCTGGTTTGCACGTTTGCGTTTGAATGTGATCCTACGACAAGAGAACCCCCGTGCGCCGAGGGACGGCGTTTGCAATACGATCCGCGAGGGGGCGATGAAAGCATTGGCTGTCTGCGAGTCTCCGATCCCCCGCCCGCTTTTCTACTCGTCCCTAGATGACGCATTGCACGTGCAACCAATTGGAGCAGGGCCCAGCCGGCATTAAATTCAAACGCTCTTTACGGTTTGTCAATCTCTAGAGAACACACTGGCCGTGCCTACTGGGATCTCTAGAGAACATTGATGCCATGTACCGGTAGCCTGGAAACGTTTCCGATCTTCAGTTTGACTGAAGGTTTCGTGGTATTTGTGAGAGTGCACTATCTACGAGAAATGGTGCCAATAACATTGGGAAAATCATTTTAAGCCCACGTGATAGGAACGATGAGCAAAAATGTTAAAAAATATAAACGCGGAATTGGATCGGTTACAGTGATACCGTGTAGATGGTGCCAGCGCATTCTCTCGTCGCGAGCAGTTGCAAGAGAGCACAAGACGCACAATCACACCAAACAAAAATCTTCAAAGAGCAGTTCCTCATTTTTCTTTTAGATGAGACAAGTAAAAAAGAGAAGTCTGCACTAAAGTGTCTACGGCTACGGCGTTCAAGAGTGTAGGATGAGGTACCATACTCGGGAACAGGTGGCAAAAGCGTGAAATTGATCGTCTAGACATGCAGACAAAAAAATGGGAAAAAAAAAAAAAAAAAGTAATAGACCCCAAAACAATATTGGGTTAGAATTATAGTAATTGCAGGTTGTCTAGTGGGACAAAACAGATCAAGCTCATAAGGACAAGAGAAACGAAATTTCTGCTGCAAAATTCTTACCATGTAAGCGGACTACTTTTTTTCTCTCCGTCAGAAAAGCTTGCTGACTTTATCCTGATTGGCTCATTTCCCTACGTTGCTGGGTGCGCCGCGGTTGAAGGTGAGTATTTGACTTTTGCTTGGCAACAATTAATCCGTCGGTTTCGAGTTTGGGACCAACTAGTGCAATAACAGAGATGGCCAATCCGTAATGATGCCCTGAGCAGAGCACCTGCTGTGAACATTGCTAAGCCAGGCATGAGGCTGAGATGAACATTAGTGGCATGGGCCAGTTTGACTACGAGTTGAGGAAGACAACGCTTCTCAATTTCAGTGATGTGATTGGCCTAAGCCGTTTTGGAGCACCTTTTGGAGCAGCCAAAAGAGTGTTTTGGAGCAGCAAAAGTGGCCTTTGGAGCAGCCGAAACAGTGTTTTGGAGCAGCAAAAGTGGCTTTTGGAGCAGCCAAAACAGTGTTTCGGAGCAGCAAAAAGTGGCTTTTGGAGCAGAGTTTTTTTATAAAAATAAAAGATATTTGTTTTAAGTGCTGGACAAAGGAAGGGCACTTTGCTCGCCACAATAAACAAATTATGGTCAAGTTAGACGACCTGGGAGTCTTTCAATTTGTTAACTGAAATGCCAATGACACAACATATTTTGCAATACTTCAGTTAAATGACATATATATATGTACCCACTATAGATAAATAAGAACCAAATTGCACATATTAAATTTATTTGGAAATGACCAGCTTAGCAGTAAATATGAAAACATAAACTTCACTAGTTATATAATATAATAAATTGAAGCAGTATCCAACTGATGAAACACGTAACTACTGCAATGCAATACGAAACTGTACACATGAAAAAGGTGCAGTATGACTGGTGGGCGCTTTTCCTCTTGCCTGTTAAAACTTTCTGCAAGGCTGTTGCAAGCCTCGCTTAGCTTTCGGCAAGTAATGAATGTCCACTTTCAATGTCTCCAAAGAGACGTTGAGACATCCCACAAGTGTATAGTGCTGTAGGCGTTGCCTAGCAATTCCAAAACGTCTCCCACTGTTTTACTGGTTCCCGACATGCCAGATTTTCGTCAGAAGCAAGCAAATGTAAAGCAATGGATTGCAAGCGTCCCGGCTGGTACCTCTGTCATGCAATCATGTTTGCATGCACGTGAGGGCAACTTCGGCAGCTTGCAGTTGCACGCGCTTTGTTATGCGAGCGGAGACGACTGTTCGATCAAAACCGAAACTCTGTCACTCTGCTCCGTCGCCATCTGGTCCCCAAAATTGAATGCAAAATGTAACAATCTAGCATAAAAAAAAACAGTACAGCGGCGCGTGCTTGCCAGGCCAGTATGCGAGGCACAAGCTAATTTAAAAGGTTAAAAAAAGCAAACAAAAAAAGGACAATATAGCTAATAAAAAAAAAAGAACCTGAGCGCATCAATGCAAGACATCGCGAGTCAGGGTCAAAAAGTTCTTGGAGCGCTTTGTGCAACAACTGAACTCAAGATAAACAAGCGCGCTGTGCGGGTTCAGCATGCAGACATTGTCTTTTTTTGCTTTAGCTAACTTGTCTTAAACTTTCGATTGCGACAGACTTTTCACGTACCGGGGTCCCTCTCAAAAGAAATCCCACCGAGAGAAACCTAGGTAAACAGTACTTCGACACAACAGTCTTTGAGCTAGAGGTATTTTTGTAGTAGCGTTTAATTTAAACAAGGACAGGATTGCTGATTACCCTGCAGCGGTCCTTACAATTCATTTTAAAAAGTGCCATATCTGCAGCAATGTGTGGACGGGAACACCCGACGTCATGACCACAATGACTGGTAGGCGGGACCAAAAATAGTTTTGCCACGGCCGTTTCTTTCAGAAGCGAGTGCTTCAGATCACAAGTAACTCCCAATGCGCAAAGACGTGGTTTCGTTTTACAACATGACGACATGGCTGGTACCCGGCAAGAAATATTTTCAAGAGGATGCGAGACGAGACCCACGAGAGCGTGAAATGAGGAACGGCGGGAATGATTGATGGATGGTTGATGCAGCATACTTTCTGTCGGGCGGTTGCTTGCGCCACCTAGCTCACGCATGCTCAATTACGATACTCAGTTTAGTTTCGGTTTTGAAAGGAGACCGAAACTGCTCTTTTGGCGCAGGCTCGGCGCAGATTACCTATATTTCGGCGAAATGTAGCAGGATGTAGCAGGGTTAGCCCCTTGGCACAGTTTGGCACAATTGGCGCAGCAATCACATCACTGCAATTCACTACGGTGTTTTCTCCAACAGTTAGTGCATGAAGCTAAAAACAAAGACCTACATTTTATTAACACTAGCAATTGCATCTAAGCAGCATATAGAGAAGTCAAGAAAGACATGAGGTCACAGAAGAGGCAAACAGGATTTTGAAAGCAAGGACGCGGTAAAGAAGATCCACGACTTTACCGTCGCATCCTTTCTTCCAGAGTCCTACAGCCAAACACGCCTTCTGGCATGTTTTGGCTATGCGTGCAACCAAGTGTTAACAAAGGCAGAAAACTCGTGTCCACCCGTAAGCGACACAAACATGCCGTGGAAAGAGATTTCGTGCACCAACTCACATCTCCCGATGTCGCGTTTGGAACGGTGGCGACCGCGCTGGGTACCGTGCTGGCGGGCTGCCACGTCCTCTGCATGCAACCGGAAAAAAAGAAAAAGAAAATATATAATGAGGAAGCAAATTTAGACCTAAAGCCTTATTAATTCCTCATATTTAACTTTAAAGGGGCCCGCAAGCACTTTTTTGCTGGTTTTTAATTTGAACCGAACCTGAGCACACTGACCGTAGCAACTTAATGTAACTTTTCTTTTCTCGAATTTCGCTTTATTTTAAAAGTTATAGGCAAATTAAAATTACAAAAACAAGCAAAAAATAACCTCCCTCATGACGTCCTTGGTTGCTTGAGTGGCTGTGAACTAGAGGAGGGATAGTGAGCTCAGCGAGCGCTCAAGGCTGCCGCACTCCGTGTCGACGGCGCGAGGGGGCGCCACTAAAGCCTGTTCTGGATAGGCTGTATACAGCGGGCAGCCAGAGCGACTCTCCTTGCATTTGCCGTGCGATTAAACACTAATTCGGTATGGCACTTCATTGGCCACAAACAACAGCTAACACGGGGTAAATATCAGTTCAGAATGGGAGTCACTTCGCACTGCAGTACCGCGAAATGGCCAAAATGCAAGACAAAGCTACTCGCTGAAGGCCTTCGGAACGCTCGTAGCCGGTCGGATCCTCCAGTCCGTAACGACCGCAGCGCCGTCGCGTACATCTGGGACCTTTCCGTGTCGGCACCTGATCCCATTACTCTTTTCTAGTATGCGCCGCCTTTTCCACCGCTTGGTGGCGGGTAAGTCGACGGGTCATTTCTTGTTTCCGTACTTTATAAACAGCATTTCTTTTCTGATCTAAAATACTGAACAAGAACTACTTTCATAAATAACTGAAACGGTTCGCGCCACTTATATTTTGTATTTCGACTAAAAAGAAGCTTTTAGCAGCTCTGACCAGCAGTAAGCCCAGGACCAAAGACGTCACATTTTGCGCGCTTTCGGTACCACGGGTTGCCCCCATTGGTGGAGGAGGTTTCCGCGTCGTCCGGTTAAAATATGATGCACTGATATTTAGTTACTCTCTCCGTGCCTGCTGGCTTGCCCGAACCCCAAGAGACGTGGAAACCGCAAAAAAGGTAGACGCTTAAATATGATTGCAGGGCCCCTTTAAGTAAAGAAGTCTAACTAGAGTAGATGGCACAAGTCACCACCTAACTCCTAAGAGTTCAATATTCACCCGTTCATCCGTTCGAACGTCGAGCCAAGAAAATGTCAGGTATCTACAAAAAGTACCTCCTCTAAATTTCCTAATGTTACCGAGTTTATTTGCACGAGCGTCTTAGTGAGACGGCCCAATTCGTCAGGTGGAACAAAGACATGCAGAAGTGTCAATGACAACAAGAATGGAGTTTCTTGAACACCGATGTCGAGTGCTTCGGAGCTTGCTCGAATAAATTTTGCCTCGCGTTTGTATCGCCCAATGTTCTTTGTATGGGATTGTACACCTTTCTAAGGCAGCCCCCAAATTTTTAAAAAGCAGAGGCTAGATTCTTTGCATGTTTGTGTCTGAAAAAACATCTGCCAGGAGGTCACTGTGGAACCCTCAATTTTCGCAAGCTACCAGTTTTCGTAGAAGGCCAAAACAATTTCAATAAAAAAGAGCCTGTTGAGCGAAAAAGGTGGCTGTCTCGACTTCAACACGGATGAGCAACACATTGTGTAGACGTCTCCGGCAAGGTGTCTCGACTGAGCTGGTATGTCGCTGCTTACGAGTAATTGCTTGAATCTAGTGAAAGCTACAGACGAGCACAGATACAGTGAGCAGACGACTGACAGTGAGCAGACGACGGCGCACTTACAGAAGCTCGCTGATTGGTCTCCACCTCGCTCTTGGAGAGAGCAATGGCCAGCTGAAGCTCCTCCTCTTCCTGAAGCTCTTGCTCCGACTTGCCGCCAGAGGGCTGCGCAAGCAAACCACTCCCCCATAAGGTCATGTAACCCCCTTGCTAGCTTGTGGCGAGTCCAAGACTGATCGCCTGTGATCAGTTCCTGGCCCGGCGCTCGGGCAAACGAGTTTAAATTAAGTTCTACACGGGTCTGCGTGAGAGCCCAACTGGTGTATTTGCACCTGTATGAGTTTGCATACAAAGTAATACAAACTCTTGAGCTTACACAGAGTTTTGTATGACTGCACACCAATTCCTGAGTTCACAATGGTTTTTACATAGGCTTACTGACATAAACTCACGAGTTTGCATGAGTCTTGTGTAAGATCGCTGGTGATCAGCCCCCTGCCCGGCCCCCTGCCCCGAGAGCTTGAAATTGCATTAGAACTTACTGTCAATTTTCGGAAGATCGCTCGTGAAAAGTGTCTTTCCATTTAATTTAAGGCCTTGCAATTTTTGAGACGGTGATTGCGTCTTCCCAATGGCTTTAATGTGCACTCGTTTGTAGAAACATTTTGTGGCGGATCACTCGTGGACAGCAAATTTTCTGATCCTTTGACATGTGAAACAATTAACAGAGAGCCATTGTAAGAAGCCACTTATGGTAAATGCCCTTTCAGAGATTTGCAGGAGAGCCGTTTCTAAGTGAGTGCTTTTAAGTCTCATAAGTAGTCGGGTCACATAATGAGCTATAGTAAACTGAACTTTAGGACCATCATTTGTGACATCTTATTAGATCTGCTCTAGCACTTTGATAGAATATGCCTCGATAGAGGCATACTTTCCTCTTTTCATACTGACATCACGAAACAAAAGAGTAACATCACAATTTCCAACAAACCTCACATTACCATAATTTCCCACGAAGCTTGGGAATATGTTCATCCCAACTCGCTCATAACTGTAACTTGACCTCCTAGTTACAGATTGAGAGTCCCTGCCACACGACTTTGTGACAGACGAGTTTTTAACCGACAGCCAGCTACTGCCTCGGCCACTCTTGCAGATACATACTTGCAAGTGCTCGAAACAACATGCTTTTCGTTACACGGCTCGAATTTCAAAGTTTGTCATTTAGCTGCGAGTCTTTCGGCTATTTGAACAGGAAGGGAATGAATGAAAATCGAAAAAGTTCTCACGGCAGACGATGACGTTTGGCTTGGCGAAGAGTGCTCAGATCCGCTCCCCTTCTGTGCCGCCTTTGCCGGCGCAGCCTTGGCTGCCCTGCGTCCGAACAAAGCTCCATTATTGCACACATCCTCTTCGGAGCTTGTACTACGATAAGAACACAGAAAATTGAGCCGTCCTGTATTACCCCGAGGTAGAGTCACGGCAACAGTTCTGAGAAGTCGCGGCAAAGTCATTGGTCATCGGCGTCGCGTTCGCGCACCGTGGAGCATGTGAACAAAAGTGTTAGAAACAAAAATAGACATCTGACCATTTTGTTCCAAACGTTTCTGTTTCTCTCGTGCTCCGGAGCACGTGAAAGTGTGTTTCCTGGCACGAGCTCTTGGCACTGACAGCGCCACAACGGCATTTTGCTGTCGGTTATTTATTTTTTTTCCAGAGAGCTTGTGCAGTGGGCGTGGGGTAGCAGAAAAATTCTAAGTATAAAGCGGATTGTTAACGCTGTGGCGCAGCCCTGTGGTAATGGCTCCACTTTGTACACAGCGGACCCAGGTTCGATTCCCGCAGGCGGTCGGCCATGCCCTTTTAAGGATTGGGCAATGTCGACAAAGGACACCCTACTATACCAGCTACGTCACCGACAACAACGGACATCATTTCCTGTAGGGAGAAGACCTCGTAGCCAGCTACCACCGTAAAAGAAACATCCATCCAAACTAAAGAAGGCATACCCCAAAATCTTATAATGACAGTAATGCTTAGCCAATATACTTGGTGTCTTTTGCATTGATTATCTTGGTGAAACGTCGGCTAGACGTCAGGCCACCGACCTGCTGCGTTGGGCTAGGTACAGTGCTCGTCAAACTTATACGGATCACTTGTGGAATATTGAACGCACAAAAAAGATAAAATATGAGAGAACTGCACATATTTATGTGAACTGAAGGTATGCTACGGACATAGTGGGACACAAAAAGAAATAGCTTGAGGCAAGCGCCAGCTATGCACGCACGCATTGAAAAAAATAAAATAGAACAAGCCAAGAGTAGGCTTAGCATGTGTTCCAGATAAGTTTGCTGAGCACTGTACATCGGCCAAACTTTGGCTGCCATTCTGAGTTTTCCCAGGAGGTTTCTTTCAGAGCTCCTCCTATCAGATTGTGCAACATTCCTGCTTCCTCAACCAAGCTGAAGTGGAACAGTAAGAATGTTGGCCCAGTAATCCCACAAGAGCAACAAGAAGAGCAACAAAATAACAAGAAGGCTGAGGAACGGGAGATGAACTAGTACTGCCATCTTTCAAGGACATGACATGATTGCGCGACGTTGTATTTCAATACATGCTAAAATGCCTCAATATGCACGCCCCTCATGCCAAGCGTGGTTCTTGTAGCAATACAGCATGCTAGAAGTAGCGTAGTATTTACTCGAGTTATAATGTACAGTTTATAAACTTAATAGGTGTCTCCTCGTTCTTGGAGAAATATGATCTTTACGGGGAACATTTTCGCACGTAATTGTTTTTTCTGTCCTAGAAGTCGCTGGGACAGAAACCCTCTCTCGGTCAACCGCAATGGTTCGCTATCCGCGCCTCTAGGCAAAAGCGGATGCACTTGGTTTGTTCATTACCAGTGCGTCCATCACTAGAGCAAATGCGACGGGGACAAACTTGCATCAGTAAGGTTTGCGAGGAGTACTTTTACAAGATGGACATTCTAGTACTTCGTCTGCTTCATGTGGTGTTGTAGGCCCTCCCCCTAAAATAATTCTTACAGGCAGTGAGGGGCTGCCAACGTTACTACAACAGATCAGTTGGGATAGTGCCAAAGAGCCTGCTTCGAAAAAGTGGCCTCGATCCATACTCGAGAACCAAACTAAAGGCGATTGCAATGCCGCCATTTCTCGCGCAGCGGTTACTCCAGGAACTGCAAGTCTGCACGTATCGGTTGAAGTTGAGTCATGCAAGGGTCGGTGGTGCCATCTCGTAGTGCCATTTCGCAGTAGCAATATAAATGAACTTTTATGTTTTGACTCGTTGCTGAAAAGCGGCGCTGTTATCATATTTTGTTTGGTCTTGGTGAACGCGAGCAGTCCGGGTTTCAAAGGTGAGTTTCCCAACTGAGCGTTTTAGTAACGTTGGGGGCTACCGTAATAAATAAATAAATGTATAAAGTGAGTCGACACCTCGTAGACCCTGAGATAGGGAACAATAAAAAAAATGGACGAAGATAACAAAATCTCCAACGCAGCTGAAATTTATTGATTTGAGCACCCCAATAAATAGACTTCCAAATACATGGAAAAAGAGAAAGAAGGAACTCAAACGCATAAACAAGACGATCAACGAGTTCTACCCAGACAGCATAAGCCACTCCTCGGTTCCACACTATTGGAAAAGGAACCGCCACCCGAACAACAACAACCCCAAGGTCCAACACACAAGGTGACCTCCCAAACCGCTAAAGCCTAAGTTCAATTTCCTACTTCCAAGCAACCGCTTCCCGTTCCCCCCCCCCTCAAGTTTACAAGCCCCCATCACACAAGCAAAAACTCTTTCATGCAATCACTGACTGTCTTACGGAACGCAAAAGAAGTGTAAAGAATAAGGTGCAGAGTTCTGAATTGGCAAATCACGTTGGTTCGTGTAATTTTTGTTCCCCTCTTTGGGATGAAACTTCCGTTCTGCGTAATGGAAAAGATTTGTTTAGAAGGCTGATTAAGGAGACCTTGTGCGTCCGTGAGCGGGGGAATCGTGTAAGCGAGCCGTCTTTGGTTATCAGTGATCGGATGAAAGAATTCTTGCTTGTGTGAGGGGGGCTTGTAGACTTTGGCGGGGGGGGGGGGAGGAAAATGAAAAGTGGTTGCTTGGAAGTGGGAAATTGAGCTTAGGCTTTAGTGGTTTGGAGGTCGCCTTGTGTGTTGGACCTTGGGGTTGTTGTTGTTCGGGTGGCGGCTCCTTTTCCAAAAGTGTGGAGCCAGGGAGTGGCTTAAGCTGTTTGGGTAGAACTCGTTGATTGTCTTGTTTATGCGTTCGAGTTCCTTCTTTCTCTTTTTCCATGTATTTGGAAGACTATTTATTGGGGTACTCAAATCAATAAATTTAGCTGCGTTTGAGGTTTTGTTGTCTTCGTTGATTTTTTTATTGTTCCACATCTCAGGGCCTACAAGATGTTGATTCATTACCAGCTCGCCTGCACTCTATCACCGCTTATGAAGTGGGGTTGGCTGAAGTGCACAATTAAAATGCCACTAAAGAAAAGGATCCGCAAAACTCACGCTGCTGAGAGCTTCTCGTAGCAGGCTTCACAGACACGCACTTCCTTCTCAATGCCGAAGCGGGGAATGGGTGCCATCTGAGATGAGCATTTCTGGCAGAAGATCTGCCCGCAATTCCTGCAGTGGTGCTGCAACGGGAAACAAGACAAAAGCAAACACTTATTATCACACTTGTGGAAGTCGTCCTCTCTTACAGTAACAATGTGCAAGACACACAACATGTGAAATGCAACATCTGAAAGTTGCAGCCTCATAGAGTGCATCTTTGTTTCTCATGACTTTAAGATGGTCACAACCTTGTGAGAGCTACCTTATGCTGATCACAATCTCGTAATGGACTAAACATTATAACATGTAAGGCTCATGGCCTTATGAGAGCCACAACCTTGTGGGGGTCACGTTATGCTGAATGCCACGTTGTGATGGTCACAACCTCACAACCTGTAAAGCCCATGGCTTTATGAGGGTCACGGCCTTGTGAAGGTCACCTTATGCTGATCATGATTTCGTCAGTGTCAACCTCATAACCTGTGAGGCTTACGGTTTTATTATGACCACAACCTCGTATGGGCAACTTCATGAAGATCGCAATCTCGTGAATATCACCCTCTGCAGGTGAAAACCTTGTGAGGGTCGACTTACACTGGCCAGACCCTGTGATGATCACACCCTTGTAACCTGCGAGGCTCAACTTCTAATGCATGCTGCCAATGTAACAAATCGCACCGTCGATAGCTGCTATGCGACGCCTTTCCAACACCTTGCTGGTTCTTATTTGTAAATTAAATGCTCACCTTTCGCTGCACGAGGGTGAACTGGACCCGACAGCGATGGCAGCACTCGCCGTCTGCCCAGTCGGGTGCCTGGTCTGCCGAGAACATGGCGTCGCTTTCTTTAAGTTGCGGGAATTTGTGTCCTAAAAGAGACGTAAAAAAAGTTCAACAATGTCCTATTCAAAGAATATTGCCTCTGCGCACAATCGACATGGCAGAGTCAACTCCTCTTTTCTACAAAGCATTGCAAGTCAAGTAACACGTGCTAAAGGCGACTTGCTGGGCATCATTCTCTGCCTTCATCTACTAAGACGGACTCGTCTGCTGGCATTTGTCCGATCTTCATCTACTCGCTGTCACCAAAAACATAGCCTGCAGGGCATTACTAAGTATAAACTCATTATACCAGACTTTGATAGCGATGAAGATTTTCGTCTGTTGTGAAAAAACTATATGCGGAATGCAGATACTCTTACTACAGACTTTGACATGTATGATGACTAAAGTCTGCTCTAACCAGCGAGGCTGGTGAAGTGTGAATGGATATTAGAAAAGAATCAAAGTCGAGCTATGTGAGAAAAATGACTGCTGTCAAAAGGTCCGCTATAATGAAATGGTACACTACGGGGTCCGGTCGAAAAAGGTGAACCCGGCTTTTTAGCCTGCATAAACAAAACATGCTTCGCAGAAAGCTGTAAGTTCACCAGAATGTGACGTCAGCGGTGGTGATAAAATGGGAAAGTTTGAGCACACGACGTTACCTGGATCAAAGGTACTAAAAAAAAAATCAAATTTCTCTGCGAGCCGAAGTCCACGTACAGTAAAATACCGCAGAAGCGACCACTTTGTTCGAGGGGAAATGAAGCAAAGATGACTGTACTTCACAATCAGCTTAATATCATGCCATAGCTAACTAGCTGCATTTATGCCAAGGTCATCATTGATTCAAACATTATGATTATTAGGAGTGGGCTTATCTTTCGGTGTCCAAAAGAAAATAGCAAATCAAACCAAAAATGGGGGTGGGTTATTTTCGGGGGTGGGGCATTTTTGGGATATTGCAGTAAGCTTAAGTAGATGTCAGCTCATCAAAAAAATTTTTTTTTTGTATATTTCAATTTAGGCAACGTCATGTGCTCAAACTTGCACATTTTATTGCCACCGCTAGCATCACATTCTCACGAAGTCTCAGCTTTCTCCAATGCCGGGCTCACCTTTCTCGATCGAACCCTATACTTTCAAACTTCCTAATATAGTCCATTACATCCAAATGTATGTTTTAACAGGGCCTGTAGGAAGCAAAGTATGCTCAATACCATAGTTAGAAAGACCGAATCAAACTTCACAAATCGGTATGTTATAACCGAATGTCTGCTGAAACCAGACCTGTTGTAACGAGGTTATACTGTACTACCATTGCCCCCCTCTGCCAAGGGCTCTCAACTGACAGTTCCAGAGATCAGCTTAAAGGGACCATGAAGGCAGTTTCGAAGTTTTATTCAACGATTGAAATGAATGTCAGGCATGTCTCGGACACTGTTGACCAAGTTCTAGCCCGAACAAAAGTTTGAGTGCCGCACCAATCGAGCAAACAGGCGCGGTAATAATAGCGCCGGGAACGATGCCTGAGACCCCACCGAGGCGGCGGCAGCAGAAAGGTGAACTAAAGTGCGCCGAAGCGTGACGACAACGGGCTCCTCGTCTGGCGATTGGTTCAAATGATTGACGTGCTCTTGGTTTCGATTTCGGTGGTGAGCTGTGATGAAAAAAGTTTATTTGAACGTTGGATAATATTTTGAAGTTGTAGTTGGGAACTAATAGGTTTCATACCGTGTATAAAAGCATAATCTGAAGCGATCCCTCCGTTTGTCACTGGTTTAACAGTTTAACGCATCCCACACTGCTACCTCGGGCGCGTAACAAGCATCGAGGAACCATGGACAAAAAAAAGGAAATGAGGTACGAGCGCCGGGGGTGGCGGACTTTTGGTTTTCGTTTCGTGCGTCGTCTCGTGTTCGCTTTGCGAACTGGTGTCTCACCAATCATGCCGCGTTTATGTGCAGTAGTAGGTTGCGCGAAAGGTCGGCTAAAGACGTGCGGTCGATCGGGCGACGTTAGTTTGCATAAACTGCCGACCGATGCAGCAATGCGCAGCATTGCTGCATCGGTCGCCAATCTAGAGTTCTGCATCCTTAGCAGCATCTCCCGTTCAGTCGGCGTGAGGTCCCTGAACGGGAGCTCGAACTCGTTGCGAGCGCGGCGTTGTCGTCCATTTCTTCCAGGTTTTCTTCACAGACCGCCGTGCACTAGAGCGAACCACGGGAACCACGCTGAGTGTGTACTAAATCCTACCGATGCCGACAGTGCTCCCTGACGTCACTTCTCTTTCCAGAGGCGAAAAAGGAAAGAAATCTGAATGTTCGTTTCGGTTTCACAAATTTATTTGCAGGTACAGAAATAAGAGTCACAACGTTTTAGAAAAAATTGTGTGGCATGCCAGGACCCCAATGCTTTCGAAAACACCTTCTTTTTAAAAAAAAAATTAAATTGCTTTCATGGTCCCTTTAACAATGCCTGCTGACCTAATCTCTCAAGCTACATTAGCTGAGCATAGTCTGACGTCTTTACCCGCCGACGTTTGGTTGTTGAACACCCTTTACTAAGCATACATCACATCGTTTGTTGGGCATCATCTAGCAGAATTTCTATTTCTTGAGACGTCGCATTACAATGCCTTTCAAATCTGCAAATTTTCAATCTGTGCAACGCCTCTGTCGGTCTGTTCTCTGCCCCCGACGAAAGTTCATTTTTATGACCAGGGGGCTGTAGACACCTTTCAACCTTGTCGACGTCGTTCTTGCATTGCTTCCCTTCACCGTACGTGGATAGAATCACCTTGATCGTGAAGTTGTAAATTCACCCGTGTTCTTTCCAGTTTTACAGGATGCTGGTCCACACACCTGCAATCGCTTATGACCATGTGCCTTGAAACCTCTTAAAAACACTGTTGCCACCCACCGGGTAGCCGTGGAATACATAACATTTTTGTATATTTTCTATTTTTTCAGTGCATCATTCCTTTTTATTGGCTCGAAAATCTTTTAACAATGTTACAAATGACCATATCTCGGACGGTATTTACACTTGATCTCGCAAAACCTTCACTCCAGCGAAATGCAGTTCAAAGGCCACATTATAGATGATGCAGGCTCGCCGCAAGAGATCATGAGATATCGGTCACAAGCAAACAAACGCAAGTGTGTGAATAAGCCTTTCAATCTACTGTGATACTTTTTTTGGCCGTATACTGTTTATTTTTTGTATAACGTCTATTCACTTCATGTAGCTTCCCTACAAGAATGCCCTCAAGGCAATGTAGGTATATCCGAATAAATAAAATAAATAAAAAACAAGGATAAGCCCGAAGCGGCAGACACGTGTGCGGGCGAAACGGCCGCCGCAAGCGCATTTGTTGCTTTGGGCGTTGGGACCTTCGGCGGCTGGTCCACTTTCGGGAATGGTGGGTGCCCTCCACTCACCCTCCACTTTCATGAGGTTCAGGGTGTCCTGCACCGCCCTGTAGTTGGGGTCGTTGCGGAACGCGTGGGCCCAGGCCTGGACCAGCTCCAACACCTTGTCACGCACTGCTTCGTTCGTATTTGCCTGCACACGGCAAGAGAAGACCAAAAGGAGGGTGTGAAGGCCCTGTTCGCAGAGAAGCTCATCGGGTGTGGTGAACAGGATCCCCCTTCCGTGTTGAAGGACAGACCGTAATATCCCAAAAGGACGCACACCTTTTCGCGGAAAATAATCAGAAAAGAAAGGCGGGTGGGCGAATCTCAAAGATTCCCCAACCCGCCTTTTCGAAAGGATGTTTTGCCGTCGCTACACCCGTTGCTTGCATACATGCAACGAACACTGCCGATTGGCATATGGCGAGAATGCTTGTTCCATGAAAGCATGTTTCTAAAGCCACCATGTTCCCTCCGTTAGGTTCCTTGCTGATCTGTAAGTTCAAAAATAAATAGGGTAAAAAAACAAAAGAAGTGGCCAGAAAGGAGAAACATTTAACCGGTGCAACGAGCGAGTGAGGAAGCTGGCGGAGGAGGCGAGAAAGAGCAATGCTGGGGAAGCGGGAAAGCTGACGATTTGGTCTGCAAATACTTCGGTGTCGAGCCAAGTCGGGTGGATTGTCAATCACAAGAGCAGGCTCTTGTGTAGCTTTTTTGTTTGGTGCTTACATGCGTGCCTCCGGGGACTTTTAAAAAGAAAAGTCTACGCAGGCGTCCCCAGTTCTTGTGAATTGTTATTTTTGGAGGATGGGTGATAGATTGGGATTTTTTTTTCTTTTTCAGATGTATACTTTGACATAAAAGAGGGGGTGGGCACAAATTTGAGTGGGTGTGCGTTCAGGGTACTACGGTATGTAGGGCAAACAGGGAGCCTTATTAATGACAGGCTTCATAAACATAACCTATCCCTCCAGCCCACAGTCGGGGATCACTTGCCCTTACGCTGCCAAGTGTGTTCCTGCAAGCCAACCCTGGCTAATACAACTATTATTGGTAGATATAGGGACACATCACGAGGGAGATCTATGAAGCCTCTATTATATTAGGTTGGGGAAACGCTATGCGAGTTAACTATCGGCACAATTATCCGAAAAGGTTTTAAATTTAAACATATACAAAATAGTGCTTGCACTTGGCTGTTTTGCGGGCGCCATGCGCCTCTTGTGACATGGACATCTCCCTTTTGATTTTTCCGTCATCTTGCTTCCTTTCATCTGCGTTCTGTGTTATGTGCTTCTTGTGTCATGGACATGTCGCCCTTAAATTTTTATAATCTTTCTTCCTCTCTTTTGTGTTCTATATCTGCAAATAACCACTTGTCCTGCCGGTTTTCTTCCACTGCGTCTGTCTCTTGGGCACTGTTTATCACTGTGTTCACTTTATTGCAAACTGAATTTTAACCTCGTAGCTTTGCACGAACCAAGATATTTAGCGAGCTCTCCTGCATCACCGCCAGGACTGGAATGTTAGGCGCAAATTTAGCAGTTTTCCGGGTTGTCTAGCGGGAGAAATGGCCGTTTGGGGAGCAAAGTTTTTTTTCTAGCGGTTTTCAAGTCACAACAGTCAACTCGAAATCGATTTCTCATCTCGATTTGCGAGTGCAAGAAGCATTCTTGCCAGGGACACGTGACGAGACGCTGCCTGGAGAGCGGTTCTCCTATTGGTTGGCATCCCGTCGCCTACCTTTACCAAGTCTCTCAGCTCCTCCATGAAGGGCTTCGTGGCCACTTCATTGTGAACCAGGGTGCCGCAGTTCTTCACGCAAGACTCCAGCACCTGCGGACACCAAGAGAATTCTCAGTTCCCCGCTTCCTACAAGAACACGATTCGCAGCAGCTCACACAAAATTGCATGCACCAAGCCGTACTACGAGAAGCTGCGAGCAGTAAAGTATGGGCCTCTAAACGACGATGCACGAGAGCACTAGTGCCTATGGCGCATCGGTTCTCAGACTGCGTTCCTAGAAACCCAGATCCAGGGTACCACTGCTAACACATAGCACAACAGACCATTTGCAGACGCCGTCCGAAGTGCGTCTCTTCCTCGTGGGATGGTCCTGTCACAATGGTTACATAAAAACTGTCTGCACAAGTGTTCAAAGCATACAATTGCATGAACCAAACGTGCTGCCCTGGGTGGCGTTCTGCCCGCTCACATGCCGTGTCGGGAAACCTGAGCCATCCATCGATGCATGTGTGCCAAACACCTCCACGTTAGGCGATATTTAACGAGCTCTCCTGCATCACTGCCAGGACCGGAAGGGGTTCCTCTGCTGCCGTTCGAGAGAAGTGGGCGGTCCTCGAGATTCGAAAGCTCGAGAAACCCCTGCTGTCGTGACACTTGGTGTACGTATTCATATTTTAGCGTGACAACAGAACAACCAGCTGCATCTTTGTCGGGAGCAACTTGGCAACATTCTTTTCCCTGCGCCGAAGGAGGAAGGGCTGCTGGCAATAATTGGCAAAGCTAACACTGCTCTCATTGGAACACAAGAGACAGCAGTGATGAGAAACTGAAAAACGTTTTTTTTTTAATGTGCCTTTTTTTTTTTTTTTTTTTATTAAAACACCACAGGTAACGTAACTGCCATCGTTTCGTGGAGCTCGACGAGAAACAGACCACCGCTTCGCAAGTTGACCCTCGTGATGCACAGTCCTTGATGATAATTTATATCGACGGGACTGCGGGATGACGTTTCCGGCCGACACTTTGGCCTTGCCTTATGAAGATGATCGCAAGCTTTTGTACTTTGAAAGCTTGTCGTACACACAACAAAGTGGCACCAGGGATCGTCCAATCACAAGGGGCCAGCTATTTATCCACTGACAAGAAACCGAATCCAGTTGTGTCGCACTACGGGAGCTCAGCTTGGGTAATGCAAGGTGCTCATCTCAACGGGAGCATGCAGCCGCTATGCAACCACCTGTGTTATGTTTCTTTGAATTGGTGGCACCAGGAACAGCCAACATTGATAGCTAAATAAAATTAATAAAAAATATGAACCAAATGTCCAGTATGCAGTTTAGTAAAACATGCAAAAAAAAAGGCAAAAATAAACTACCCAGATGCATTTTGGGTTAAACTCTTCTGACAGAAAGGCCGCATTAGAGCAAAGTTTCCTGAAAACTGATTAATTATGCGGCAGCTTGTGAGTCCCTGTGAATATCCCCAAACGTTGCTAAAAGCAAAGTCCGAATATGCCTGTTTTCACCAACTCGTCATAAAAAAGCTTCACGTGAAATTATGACCCTGCCCCAGTTAGGCTCAATTCTAAAAAAAAAGAATTAAAAAATAAACAAAAAAGAAAAAACAACCGCATCTCCACGTGGTGAATGATGTCGATTGGGGCGAAGTTCTGGTGGTGCTTGTCTGCGTAGACGCTGAGCCACAGCATGCCGAGCCTTTCGTTCGTTTTCATCCATGTCAAGCTGCAATCAAATGCTCAAATGCATATGTAACCATGTTCCATACCACACATTCTCTTTCTGACATGGATGAAAACGAACGAAAAGCTCGGCATGCTGCGGCTCACCGTCCACGCAGACAAGCACCACCAGAACTTCGCCCCAATCGACATCATTCACCACGTGGAGATGCGGTTGTTTGTTTTTTCCCTATACGAGCACAAGAGTACGTGCTCATGTGCTCGTTAGCATGTGTGCTCACGAGCAGGAGCGCGTGCACCCGACGGCAGACGGACATACGGACATGGTAGCCCCTAAGGAGCTTCGCCCCTAAAACAGCCCAGAGTTTTTTCGCTTTGAAAGAGATGTCCCATAGCCAGAAACAGCACACAACGAAATGACACCTCTCCCCAGTGTTGCTTATTTAGCGGTTTTTCTGCTGAATTTAGCAATTTTCCGGGTTGTCTAGCGGGAGAAATGGCCGTTAGGAGGGAGGTGTTTTTTTTTCTAGCGGTTTCACATTAGCATTTTTTCTGGCGGTCTTAAATGTTCTAGAACTTGCGTTTGTGCATCGTAAATAACTTGGTTTCTCTGGCAAGTTAGAGTCATGAGGTCATCATTTTTGCTTACTGGCAACAAAATTGTTGTCAGTGATAATTGAAATTCAACTACCAACAGTCAAGTGCTGGTGCAGAGCAGCCTACCTCAGTGAAAAAAAGAAGTAAAAGAAGCCGAGAGAAAGATATGGGAGGAATGAATGCAGGGAAAATCAGCTATAACTATGTATAGGGGACGAAAACAGAAAATAAGGAAGGAATATTGGTACGATAATTTACGGGGGAGCTCGTTGTTATTTGACGCTAGAACAAGAGTATTCAGGACTAGGACATATAGGAAGAAGTATGAGGAAATGGATACGTGCTGTGCCGTATGCCAAGGGGAAGACGAGACAATACCCGTTTGCAAGTCTGGCTTCAGGGCGCTGCCAACTTGCTCGCTGAGGTGCGCTTGGACGCATCCTGATCCGATTACGAAGCCTTGCTAAGGTGTCATAATCGGATTATGGCCGCGCCCAAGCGCACCCCACTGGGCAAGATGGCGGCGCCCTGAGACCGCAATTGCAAACGTGTATAGAATTCGCGACTCCAGCGACCTATAGGGGGCGCCACCACCAATCAAACATGGCGGCTGAGTCCAGGTCGCGTCGGCTCGGCCGGGCCGCCTGAACAGGTGGCGCGTTCAGTTTAACAGATTTTCTTTTGTTTAATGCCCAATTTTATAGGTATTTGAACTGAGACGGTTAAGTGTAGCCGGTGCATATAAACTTGCAGAGCATAGTTTTGTTTTCCAAGTGTGCTTTTCGTTCTTTTCATGTCAAACTTTCATTTCGGAGATTTCGTTCGAAACCGAAACTATGGGCTCTAGAGAAACGGCAATGTGCTAATCAGTTTTGATCATCTAAGGAAAGCGGCAATGACTGCAGAATTCTCCCACCGACAGTAATTTTCAGCCAACTCGCATGCCTCGACCACGAGACTTATCTGTCCGCGAAATCGAGCTTTTGTTCGTATCCGCGTTTAACAGCTTCAGTCGTCTGCTCGGTCAACAACACAGGCTGCAGGAAAATTACGAAAATTAAGCAAGCGCTTCTTGAGCCAAGGAGCATGTTAACCCGCCGGCACCCCACTAAGCAGCTGATACTCGTATTTCAATTCAGGTTTTAGTAGCAATCGAGAAGTCATTTTGACGAGCGGGTTATGTATTATATTACGTACTATGTCCCACTAAAGCGATATTAGTATATTCTTTGGTTTGATATATGAGCTTAGTCAACTAGCTATTAGGTGAACTGCTGAATAAAAGTATATTTGACAGACAGAGAGATACTAAGTTAAACTTAGCCAAATGGTTCTAGCCGGTAGCACGGAGACGAATGCGGACAAACTGAAGAGAGTCTGCATTGGAGATTCACGCAGAACCTCTCTGCATTGAACATGACTTCGAATCCTCAACGAAAAAAAATGAGTATTCTTGTGGCCGGTCAACCTAAGCAATGTAGACGTATATTGCTGTTGGCTTAATTCGACGGGGGTATAATATAAATATTGGAGGCGCGATAGATCATAATGCCGTGACAGCTTCTAACGTTGCGAGACACGTCCCCCACTTTTTGGAAACAGATAATTTCCTTCATTCATCATGTGCAGCGAGCAGGGTTTCCTGAATCAAGTAATTGCGAAACCAACCCAACTCCTTCAGAGTGATCCAGAGGATTTTTCGGCGAAAAGCAGCCAAGACAAATAGCCAAAGCACCGACCGGCGTGGGTGGCTCAAACCTAAAGCTAATCGAACACAAACAAACTCAAGAAAAGCAGCTATCGAACCTTCCCATTCACTTGACTGCAGCATTGGTGTGCCCTCCAGTGAAATGCCTCGTCTGTCGTCCTCCCACTGTTCTACATCCTTATAAAGAAACCCCTTATCAGTTACCAAGTAGTCGTCACTTTGAATGTGATTCGAGACAGACAAGAAATCAAAACGTTTTTCCGGGATTCCTCCCCATCCAAGAAATCGAAAAACTTGATGGAAGGAAACAATCTACTGAGGCTTCGCCACACTAATGAACACTCAGGCAAACTTAAGAAATTCTCGGACCTTCGTGAAATTACACTGTTCGCCATCGCGCCGACAACACGTGTCCGCGAAAGCTACCAGAGATGCGGAGGGGCGCAGAGCGACCTGGACCGGCTGGTTCCCGGTTTTCCCGCTTGGTGGCGTCTGTTTTGCTGGAGTCGCGAATATCTGGTGTTGAGGTGCACGGGGCTTGCCCCAGCCCTCCCGGAGGGGGCGACAGATTTAGCCGGACCGCTGGGGTTTGCAGACGAGAATGGAAGAATGGATGATAAGTGCATTTTAATAACAAAGACGAAATTGGAAGACTGGTGGAAATTATCTAGGAAGAATTGGATGACATACAACTAACTGACATAGCTGGGGACAGGTGGGACAGAGGAAAATTGGAGTTCCCTCCCGCGTGGCGCTGGCCCAAAGTCTCCCCTCTTTCGATTCACTTGCGCTCAACCGATTTTCATAAACTCTAAAATTTTCTTTGGAATGAACTGGACAGCAAGCTAAAGCTACTTTTATTGTGATATTTAGGTATATAGAACTGGCATTTCATTATTAGACATTCTTATAGCCTCTATTATATGACTGCTGTTCACTTTAATTTTTTTACATGATTATATTGTGCTAAAGAAATAAAAATAGCTTTAGCTTGTATGGCATTTCTTTAGGAAGAAAGTGATACCTTTTTTTGCATTAAAATTTTAATAAGGTTTTTTTTAAACCCATGCTCAAATTAGCTAATTAATATTTTATATTGTTGATAACTTTTGACAAAGAAGAAATATCTGAAATCTAATTACAGTTATGGAATCAGCATAGTAAACTGCGTGCCTATGCAAAAAATTACAGACATACCAATAAACAAAAAATATTTTTGGATAATCCAGTGTGACTTTATCAACATTTCACTAATTCTTTACTTTTTTCATATTTTCTTTTCTAATGTTCCCATAAATGGATTACTTAATTTTTTATGTCAAGTTGTTCAGGAAATCTTACACTACACCTTGATGGCAATTATTGTTTATCATTCTTCACACAATTTTCTATGTTCAGTGTCAAAACTTTAACTTCGATTTTCTATTCTTCGTGTTTTTTGTCAACATGCTTAGCCTTACGGGGGTTTTCATGAGGTTTTTATCGTAGCATTCTGGAAACTTTGGTACAGTTTTATTCAGAAAGGACTGGACAACGGAGTAAAGCTATTTTTTTACAATCTAGAGTTCCAAAAAAAAAAAATGATAAATAATGTGACCTTATTAATGTCATAATTGGCTAATTAGCCAATTTTTATATAATATTGTCATTTTGTGAAAATTTAAATAGCTTTATAATGCATGGCAGACCTTTAGCTATGCATCTACATTAATAAAAAAAAATATATTTTGTTGGAAATGGCCTTAACGATTCGTAAGAAATTACGAAATTAGGCAACGCTATTTTTTTATAACTTGAGATATTTTAAAACTGACTTCATATTTAAATTGAGGAACAAGAAGCCCATATACAGAGTGATTTTCATTAGAATAGCTGCCAAAATAAAATAGTCAATTTTAGAACCAGTGTCTCGCCTTAAAATGTCATATCTGGAAAAAAAAAAAAAAAAGTCGGCATTGAGTTGGATAGGTGTCGCAGTCTAAAAGGAGATTTGGCTACTGCTCACCTGCAGTGCAAACAGGGTCACGTGGGGGTTCCTGGTGTACAGTCGCTTCTTGATGGAGCTCACTGCATACTTAGGCCTGCAAAGCAGAGCACAAGCAATCTGTTTTGTCCCTCCACTACGCACACTTAGTGACTCTGTCATATTACCACCTTCCAATATCTAATAGAGCTTTTACAAGGGACACGTGCTGCACGCACTCGCCCTGTCAGTGCCAAAGATTCTAAGTAAATTAGTCGAAAGAATGCATTGACAAAGGTACATGCAAAGGTCACGCTTTTTAAGGTTTTGCTTTAGGACTGTTACTGCTGCAGATGCCAGCACATTGAGTGCATGTAACTATCTTACAGTACGCTCCTTGGTACTCAAGCAATAAAGCAAAATGTCTTAAGAAAACAAGGCCCCGGCTGCTGATCAATGCCTTACAAGAAAAAACACCCTGGCCCTTCCCAAACTCTTATCGCCACTCTACTCGCTCAGGACTATTATGACTCATCAGGGTATCAATGTATATAATTCTAAGCCTTAATAAACATGACGATAGATCAGGGTCAACGACAACACTGTCTGCACATTGTATGTTCCGACAGCTATGGAGGTCACACTGCCAGCGTAGGGTAAAGGATCAAGCTGCTACAGCAGCTGTTTTACAAAATGATAGCACCATTAAAACCAGGTATAAGGCTAGACCTAGTGAATGAGGTCAGATAGGACTAGAGGATGCTCTGCCAGTAAAGAGAGCAAGATAGAATAAAATTTGATGTAGCGAAAAAATTTGGAAAGGTGAGTACGACGTTCAGCTTCAAGTCCTGAACAGAGCCAGAGAATGTGCAAGATGCTAAGCTCCTCCCCACAGTGTACACAAGTGGCAGCTCACAGCCTCGGCTGGCAAATTTCTGTCACATATGCAAAACTTCGGCTTTCTTTATGTACAGGGTGCTGCTGAGCACTATGTGGCCATAAAAATATTTGTATAAACCAATTAACTGAGAGCAATTAAACTTCTCACAAAGGTGTTCTTTAGGTAGTACATTTATCATGCTCAAACTTCATGAGTCAGGGTTTTATAAAAGAAATGTAAGCCTAAAAAAACCCTTGCACTTCTGCTTTACCTTTCTTACTTTCTTCACTAAATGCCAGTTGTGAGTCAGCGCTTGTCTGTATGTTCCTCTACTTGTCTGCATCTCTTGTGCCAATTTTTTTTTTTTTTGTGTAATGTATCACTAACTAGTCCTTCATATGATTTTACTACCAAAATGTCTGTCAAAGTATTGTAAAAAAATGTCCCAATTTGATTACTCATGATTATCATTATTGTTTATTTGTCAATACTGTTCACCTGGTTCTGGGTGGTTACAGGAGTGAAAAGAAAAACAAAAAAACAAGCACGTTTCACATGTTTTATATGCAAAAAATAAAGCACAACCATGCAAGTATTAGTTGTCACATTGGACTAGGCACACAATCTGAGTGTGTTAAAAGAAAAAAAATCGATCACAAGATAACAAATCAATAACAATGTAAACTCGCCTCTCCAGCCTTTCTCGAAGGCGGCAACATTTCCTAACATTTTTAATGTTCACGATATCACCCGCCATTCTTTTACAGTTCTAACAAAAACAAGAGTACTACTCATAAGTGTCACTGTTTACACGTTGGATTTCGTTGGGTGCAGTCCATATTAGGTTTGTATTAACACAATGCCCAGAAATACATTTTTTATGTACCGCCTGGAAACAAATAAAAGTGTATAAAACACTCACTGGACATCTCCTTGACGGATGCAATCACATATCTGCAGGATGGCAGGCCAGTCAGGTTCCAGAAGCAAGTGACTGGTTGCTTTGTCTGGAACGAAAACGCCAACAATTAGTCTTTTTCACGCAGCAAAAAAAAACAACCTAGGTCATATCACAATGGCACCTGGAACAGGTCTTCGGCCGGTGTTCAGCAAAAGAGGTCCCAATGTGGCAACGAGTTACGTCGCACGACGCGGTGTGTCACGTTGTCAAACGTTAAAATCCCCGTGGTTGGTCATAGAAGTTGTGGGCAGCGTAGAAGTTTGCCGGTGTGTGCGGCTACCTCTCCCGGTGGCTAAAATACCTGCAAGGGGGACTTTCTGGTCACGCGACAGAGGGCAGGAAATACCTAGCATTGCAGCCGATTCTCCTCGGCAGACGCAAAACTTGCCCGTCGTTTTCTTTTCATTCTCGCTTAACGCCAACTTTCCCAGAAATAACTTTACATGCCGATCCTAAAGTACACAAATTCGGTTCATCTCGCACGTATCTCAACCTGTTCACTCTCTTGTGAGTGCAAAAGCGGACCCAAATAATCGAAGTAAGGACCGATTTACGGCATCCATTTGCCTGTCTCGGCATCAACTATTTTGTACTGCCTAGTCAAGGCCGACGCAGCTTCCACGGTGCTCCGATGCCGTAAAAGCTACTTCCTCGAGCACGTCGCTTCGTTTGGCATTTCTTTCACACGAGTGCACGTGCAAATGAGGTGCGAGATGAAGTCACGCGCTCTCGCAGCAGTGCTGAGCTGAAAATCTGTAGAAGCTACGATAGCCTTGACAATGTAGAAGACGGTAGTTTACGCCAAGATTTTTTTACGTGTAACTTGTGCTCATGAAGCCGATCGTGTGACCTAAAAATCCCCCTCGTGGGGTTTTTAGCCAACGGTGGAGATACCCACATTCACTAGCAAACTGCCCCTGCCTGCTGAAGCTTTTATGAATTGTCAAGCTGGGGGAGCACCTACTGCGTCTGCCACATACACCCCCACTGTTGTGACACTGCCAGGATTCTGGCAGGCAAGAGCATGACACGAGTGTGGCATCATCAGGCAGAAATCGAGGAATCACGAATGAGGGTATGGTAGACACATCAGTCAGAGATGCATTTCAGGAAACACTCATTGTAATCGGTTCTGTCCATTAGCAAAAGCAAGGCCCTACAGCCCTACCTTGACACTGACACCCCCCCTTCCCCCCCCTCAAGTTTGTTAAAATTTTTTGCTAGGCAATTTAATGTGGTGTTGAAAGACTACCCTATCGATATTTTGCTAGAGTCACATATATTTTTAATAAAGTAAATAAAAAAATGCAACTGCTTGAAACAGAAACGGGGCTGGGGAGGATGAAGAAATATAGAGGAGAGCGTTGCCAAAAAACACGTGGCTGTGCAATTTTTTTTTTCTTTTTTCAATTGACATATTTGTGTATTTTTAGAAGCCACAAAAAATGGGTATCATATTCCTTTTTACATTTTTTGTGATTCTGTCTAAATCAAAGACAACGGCACGTGACCAGAGAGAAGAGAGTGAGCGAGACTTAAACCGGCCAGTTCTCAATCGGCGGTTTACGGGCGGAAAGAAAATGAATTTCAAGCAGCAAATTGTGTTCTGGGTATGTGGGTTTTCATGTGTCATGTACAAATAAAAACCTTTGCAAGCAGAAATACCCCGTCAGTGTACCTTTAAGACAACTTTGTTTTTTTTGCGAGGATGACGATCCTTCAGCATCCTCATCTCCCAAACTGCTAGGGCCCTGAAGCAGCGGAAAGAAGGACAAGACTCGTCATGCCAAAGTAGGGTAAATGTGGCAAATTTACCCGATTTCTGGCAGTTAAAGGTTTAATGTCAAAATATTAGGTGACAAACAGTATAGACCCGACATGCTTCAAGGGGGATCGGTGACCAAGTGGGCTAGCGCACACCAGCTCGGAGCACGTGAAGCGAAAGCTCGCGCTGCAGAACCCAAGGATCTTGGGTTCAATCCCCACATATGTCCGTTTCGATTTGGATGAGCATCGTATTGGCGTGCGGCCGTGTATCATTACTGCGTAGTGCGCGTTAAAGACCCCAGGCTAGTGGTTGTACTGCACTTGCTAAATTGTTCATCTAGAGTTGAGAGACAAATCGCTCGTTGAAGGCAGACTAACTTCAAGGCGGAATCAACATACCCACAACCAAATCTTCACGGTGTTGGATATCTGAGACTACTTTAAACCGTTTATCATAAAATGTCTGTCTAGCATTCTAATAAAACAAATTATTGGAGAAACCGAAAAAAAAAAAAAAAAAAATGGTTTTTTGGAACATGGAATTGGTAACCGAAACCGTAAAAATTAAAACCATAGAAAACAAGAATGAATCCGATATCAACAGGAAACGGTAACCAAAACATATTTTTCGGTCCGAGTCCCTGCTTTGGACATGCATTTGCCAATGCCTTGTTTTGGTTATTTATTTTGAACAATTTATACAAATAAGGCAAACAGATGTGCAACCCTTGGTGACAAAAGCTGAAATGCGTCAGCGGCAACCAGACAGAAAAGACTATGCAGTCTAACGGGCAGTGGCTGAAGCTTCGGTGGCAGCTGCTCAAATTTGTAAACGCATCCCCTGTGAATGATACCTCCCGCCCTCTTCTGCGTGTATGATAGCATCTATCATGTGTCCCCAAATAAGAACACTGCCACTGTCGCTTATGCTTCGCTTGCTGCCTGCTGGTTTGCATGGCCTGTACTGCCTTGTCAACATTCGTGCATTCCAGCCCAAATGGCCAGTGACTGTACCTGCGTTCCTGGCATTCTCCTTGGTGCGTAAGCAACTTCGCAAAAGGTTTATTGAATAAGGCATGCCACTAAGAAAAAAATGTAGAACAGATGAAGGGCGGAGATGGGCATCTACGCACACTTCCATCATTCCACCTACATCACAGATCTGCAACAATGAACAGAAACTCCCAACTCACAAAGAGGAAGAAAGAAAACGCGCTTCGGTCGACCTTCGGCTAAACAGCCTCGGAAGCAAGAAATTGGGGGGGGGGGGGGGGGGGGGGGGGGGGGGGGAGTAGTCACTGCTTCACATGAATGCTGGCGATCTGACCTTGTACACTATCAGCTGCAGCTTTATCAACCAGGAATATCCACTTCCAAAACACACCAGGTCGCTATCAACAACACTTAGATGCATGTAACAGCTGTGGACAAGGCCTGACAAACAACATTTTGTCAAGAAACTCTGCTTCATTGATCTGAGGACGTGTTTTTTTTTCTGTTTTTGTTACAAAACAGATTGTTTATGGCTGTAGGTGAATGAACCAGCAGCATGTGCTTATCTATGCAGAGCTAACAGATAACCCTCCAGCCGTGCGACGTCAAACTACGTATGTACCACATTGAAGGCTGTGCATTCCTTTTTCCCCGAGCCTTTTAGTCTGCCAGCGCCACCAGGATCAACGAAGTTACTACCATGGACGAAGCTTGAGTAGTTCCGCTTCGACCGAGCAATCAGAGGACGCTGACTCACAGCTCTCAGACAAACGACGTGCTGTTTACCCAAGTTTGTTAGTCGCAATCACCCGCAGACGCTCTAAAGGGCAATCAACCAGCCCAAAACACACAAGACGAGACATCCAAATCAGGCACGTCAGAACGGGTGCAATACGTCTACGCAATGATGTAACGTTCGATTACCAGCCTTCGTAAGTCCATTTTTTAGGCGGTTCGTAGATAAGAGGGCAATGCGGGTTCGGGGGTGACTCATCGTCTGATGAGAGAAAGCAGACTTTGGGGGTGCTCGAACGGGGTTTGAAGGAGTACGTACCGAGCAGTTTATCGAATGCAGCGGTCGACCAGCTAAACATGGCCGATTTGGGGCTGCCCGTGGCTTGGGCGCTCGGGGCTCAACGCGACGTCGGCGTCACCGAGTTTGCGGACACCTCACTGGTAGAGGGCTCGCCTCCCGACGACAGTGTAGCGGCTACCACCCAGTAAATCGTCGTCACGGTTGCTTGTTGCACTTGTATTTTGTTTTCTTTTCACTGCTTCCTCGACGCACAGGAGGCTCAGCGCAATCAGGTGACAATGCGGAGGGCGGGGGGGACCCCAGAGAATATTCTCCCCCGCACCGCACCCTCCTCCTCCTCTGTTTGCGATCGCAGCGACTCTGAGCGACTCTATGACGCTTTCTAGTCATGTTCTAGTCAAAATGTATTTCATACTATAAATGTAGATATATTTTTGCGCGTGCGTTTAAGTCCTATGATTCAAACTAAAGCGACTAATATTAAAAATATTACTTTTGTGTTAGTTTTCGCGGCTTACCTTTAAATCAAGTACGCTTTAGGAGTGCATTTTTTTATGCGTACACGTATGTGACTACAGTGTACGTGACGGTCAATCAATGATAAAAGTCAATTTAAATAGACGCTGATTTGACGCTTCGTAACTTTTTTTTTTTAGTGAATTCTTATTATGACGTTTAAGATGGCGCAAGTCACCTCCCAACACTAAACCTCAACACAACGGTTTATCTATTCGTTCACTGTTATTGTTTTTGTTTTCTGACGCACGTGCTCAATGTCACGTTTGAAAGGTTTCTCACACTGCTGTTTCTCGTTTTCATTTCGCTTCCTCCCTTTTTATTTACAGTGCTTCGATTCAAGCTTAGCATGGACCATGTCAAAAGCGCGAGCGATTTGCTTTGGAGCCTTGGCAGCTTCTGCAGCCGCCAAGGCTACAGAAGGCAGCCACCAAGGCTGCGCTTCTGCAGCCTTGGCGGTGCAAAAGCGCTCGTGCAGCGAGTGCTCCTGTGAAAGGGTCTCAGGGCAGTCGAGGTCAAGGCAGGCCAAGGACGATGCAACGGCTCACGCTTGCAGAGCCTACGCAGTTACTATGCTGAGGCAGTGCTGAGGTGAGACGAGGTATAACTGATCTAGCTGCTAGATGGTCGGCCTTTGTCACTTTTGCTTTATTTTATTTGATATACCGCTAAAGAAAGGCCTGAACGGCTCTGCCGGACGGATTAGAGCATTATAATAATAATACAGCATCGTCCACACCGATAGGAATGGCATCCATGGCTGTTCTTCGACGCCAATCCTCGGGACCTGTGGGCTGGATTCGGAAACTGCGCGGGGTTTACGGACCCAGTCGCTGCCGTCGTCTGCACAACAGTCTGCAGCAGTCTCTCTTGTGAGTCAACGCGCTTTCGCTCTCACCTTACTGAAAGTCCGATCGGGTTGCGACATAATTATGAAATAAAAAAAAAAAAATGTAAGAGAGACAAACGTATGTTGGTCGTGATCGCGTGCATTGACTAATCGTGATTTGCAGAAATGGCACTGCGGAAGGTTACTGGAAAGTTCTGGCTGATCCACCGACCAGGTTCAATTTCCCTCGTGACGTCATCGACTTTTGGTCTACTCAAGAAAGGGTAAACGCATTTTGTGTATCCGTGACTGGGCAGCATGCTGAACATTACTCAGTCTATTCAGCTCAAGCAAAAAAAAAAAAAAAAAAGCCACCTTTATTTTTTTTTTTTTGCTGTTTTTAACGTTATATGATTACCTCAGTTACAGAACTGCTCATAGACACTGCTTGCACGAGCAGTATTCCCTTGCACTCACCACGACTCTCCTCCTGCCGTTCGACGCACCGAACGGCTGCAATAGAAAGTGCAGTGTATTCTACGGAATATGTTTTGAGGCATAGCGTCTAGAGGCGTTCCACCAAAATTTGAAACACCCAGTTTTGAAACGAAAATCTTGACGGCGCTTTAAACTACGGGCGGACTTCATACATCATGCTTTATTGCACTTGAAAAAAAAAAAAAGAATGGGATTACGACAGGCATGCTAGTTCGGTGGAAAGGGGGGGGCCCATGCATCTCGTGTGCCCACCGAACTAACCTATCATAGGCCTAAAGAAAAGAAAAAAAAGCAATTTCGCGGAAGGGGGGTAGCCTCTTCTGCAAGAGTTCCGCAGCTGAGGTAATCTGTAGCATTGGCTGTCTCACACACTCACTCACAACATGGCACTCTGCTCCAAACAAACCTTCGCTAGGGCCGTTGTTATGAACAAATGCGTAAGAACTCGATGTGAGGTTAGAAATTGTCTGATAAAAAAAGTAAATAATTTTTTGTAAGCATTGCGTCTCCTCAATATCTAATCATGAAGACTTTTTCAATTGTCCGTACCATAAAGCGATGACAAAAGCCCGTAATAAACTTTCACAACCAGTTTTGCCTTGCTAGCAGACGACTCAATGGCTTCGCGGGTTCTGTGGTTCTTTCTGACGAAGTACAAGACCACGTTGAATGAGGTTGGTGACGATTGACAAATCTTCTGTTCTCGGGGTCAACTTTCTGTGGGATTTCGGAAGTCAAGAGTGCGTGAGCTTGCGAATGCCTTCCCGTGGAGCTTACTTTCATAATATTTGAAAAGGTGAAAACACTGTGAAGCCGAATGATGTATGACGACGACGTGAAGTGTATCAAGTTCTAAGTGCAGGCCAGCACACATTTCAAGGATTTCTGACAGCAAAGCTGCTTCACTGCACATCTGTGTGTTCAAACGAACTGTACGTCTGTAACAGATACTGTAAACGACTTAATTTTCGCGAATCGGGCCAAAGCTGTAAATTTTAAATTATTTGCGAGTTCTAATTTTTGCGAATCGAGTGTAGCTTCCGTAGCGTTCACATATTGCCCGAATTGTTCGTGGGACGTAATTTTCGTGAATTGTAGGCGATTTGCGAAAATTAGGTCCTTGCGAAAATTTTGTCGTTTACAGTAGATATATATATTGTTGCAGATGGAAACAGATTGACAAGCATAAAACAGAAAATAAAGATTTAATCGGCGAAGTTGTGCCTATAAACAAAAGAAAGGATGAGCGTCAACGGCGCCAGCAGTGAGCAACAATGCGTCGGCGTGACAGCTGGCTGTGGGTCGACAAGGCTGCGTTCGGCTCCTTATTTGTATACACTCTGTGTCTTGAGCATTTGACCAAGTATGCTCGTTAGTGAGCTAGGACGAGACTGACTAGGCAAGGTCACTCTGACCTCCTTATTTTTTACACTCGGTTTAAGGGTAAACTCAAATCTTCTAGAGGCACGGAGAAGCATTCCTTCTCAGTCATGCACGCTTGGGGTTTATGTTAAAGCAGAAGAATCAGTAGGATTTTTTCTTAGTTTGATGATTATAAGGCAGGGACAAAACACACACCCGTATTGCGAGCCTGAGGAATGAAGTTAGGGGTCTCGAACCACTAGTATGTTTCTTTGACTACAGTGCATGTTAACTGCAAAATCGGAAAGAGCTGCTTTGATACTGCTTTGATATCATGTTCTGAACAGATGCTTTTCTCGCTATATTTTTAGCAGTTCTCCGTACGTGTAACGATTTCCGTCGCACAGTATTCCTTGTCACACGCGAATACAACTCGTTTTTACAAACCTGATTAGTTTTCTCAATAAATCAATTCCAAATAAATACAAAATCAAAATTGTATCATTGTGCAAACGATTCAAGCTGTTGTAGACGGCATACTTCAGCCATTCCGTCTGTGTTTGTCATCCATTCTTCATCTGCAACAGGCATCTCAAAATGTCTTGAGGACCTGAAGTTGTCGTAGCAAATATTCTCGGCAAACTTCTGTCATGGTAAGTGTGAAATCGAGGCTTCCCTTATCTATTATTTTAGACGCTTAAATTCCATGTGCGACTTTTGACTGATAATTTTTTCGGAGATTGATCTAGTCTTATGTATTCATTCATTACAGCGCCCCTAGCAACAGTTTGTTTTGGAGTGGTGACGTCACACTTACGGGGTCGATTTGCTGAATCATGTATCCCCGCTTGGTGGCTGCAGCTAAGTTCGGCCACTGGACGGCCATCTTGCATGTACTACAATCGTCCTTTTGGAGCATTGCAGAGGCTGGACGGCAGCGTGCCGAAGACACGTTTTCTGCTCGCTTGTCGTCATTTGTTGAAGAAGTTTTCTAAAACTTTGTGAAGACGGTCATAGTTGCCTTTGAGAACACAAAAAATGTTTTATAAAAGCGCAGCACCTTAGGAAAAAGTGCTGCGTCTCTGCGCCATCGCACTCTTGGATACATATCGAGAATCGACGCTGTGTGGATCTGTTTTGCAAGTGCAACGTGCGTGAAGATTTATGGGCCTCTGGAACAGCGTTTTCATTTACTCTGGCGGCTGCATTTGTAACTTGCGACACTCGCAGTCCCAAAACGAGCTTGATCCAGTAGTGACGGAAAAGGGGTTACGGAAAGGGCGACAGATTGCACACGACCATACGGGCCGCGTTTCAAAAAATGTTCGATCTCACCGTTTTATACTTTTTTTGCATTCGAAAACATATTTTGCTCCAGAGCATTGCTCAATTTCTGCTGCCATGTGATCCATTCAAGTAGATTTAGAACATAGCCATGGTTAATAGTGCATATCAGCAACCACTTATTTTTTTTTCCTTTATTGATAGCAACTCACCGGAACAGTAGGACGATCTAGGACTCCGTGGTGGATATATGATGCAAAGACATCTATGCTCGACAATCCTTCAAAACTTTGCCACGGCATCGATTCTTGATCGGTATCCAAGCATGCAAAAGCAGACGCACAACTCTTCGGTGTGCTGGCAAGCTTTGTGTTCAACGAGTTGTGTCTTTTTCCTGCGGTGCTGCACTTTCATTAAAATTTCCACGTGTTCTCAAAGGCAACTACAACATTTATTCGAGGTTTTAAAAACATCTCCAGCGAATGATGGCGAACAAGCGCAAGACATGTCTTCAGCACAGTGCCGCCCAGGCTCTCCAATGCTCCAAATGGTAGACTTTGGTACATGCAAGATGGCCGTCCGATGGCCGACTCCGCGGAGCGGGGAAGTGCGATCCAGCAACTGTCGTAGAGAACAGTGGTCTCACATATGTTCACACAGTTTTCCTTTCCTTACTTGTACCATCTTTGCCCTTTCCCTCACCATCTTGCCTGTTTTGTCTCGTCTGCTACAACCGGTTCTGCACCTACCGTTCCCGACATTCACTGCTTGTTGGAAAGGGTAAAGTTTCCATTTTTCCATTTCCACCTGTAGCTCTCTGTGCAGTTGAGATAGGTACGAGATGGCAGTTAAGTATTGCAGCATCCCCCCCCCCCCCCGTTTTAAAAAAAACAAACAGAAAAACTTCTTTTGTTGCAAAAATAAATTGCCAAATGCTCATTCTCCATCCAAGTGTAGCGCTAGCGGTTTGAACCAGGTGCCAGTTTCTGAACTAACCTTTATCGTATTCAAAAGTTATATACTGTATTTTACAGACTATAAGTCGCACCCTTGTATAAGTCGCACATCAATATAGTCAGCCGTTTTCGCAAAAACATTGGTATTTAAATCGCACCTCTTTCACGGTTGACGTGATGAGTTTTTTGTTTTACATGTATTTTTATCGCAAAATCTGAGTTTTGCGCAATCGGCTAGATTGCATGTACCATTTGACGTGCACCTTTGACGTTTTAACTCTCGAAAAATGCCCATAGCATGGCACTCCCTGGCGAAAGCAATCAAGTTTTGTTTTGCAAGAAACGGATGTGAAATGTGCAAAATGAGAAGGCTGTCTGCTTTATTCGAGCATACACATGCCAAGCGGACGAATGTTTAACATGTCAGACTTTCATGAACCAAACTTTGGACCACTAGGCCTAGCCTTGGCCAAGTCACGGAGACGACACGAGCATCGATGCTCAGGCAGATAAATTAATCTCGACACACTTCTTTGGATATCGCTGGAAAAATTGGCTGGGCACAATCCTTTTAAATGTAGCAGCACGGCTGGAGCATGGCAGATAAAAACTGCTCATCAAACGGCAACTAAGAATGATGCGAGAAAACTTTCTGCAATACGTGCATACCAGCCTACTTACCTTTCAATGTAACTGGACTGAAGCAAAAAAATAAAGAACCATGGCTGAATTAGGCAACATCGATCACATGCTGTGTAAATTTTATTGTCACTGTCTTGCTTGTCCACATTGAGCAGCTTTGGAGAAACCTAAAATTTCTCGCTTTCCGTTTCGGTTACAAAAAGTGTAGAAGAGTGCGACTGCAGCAGTGTTTCCTGGAAGGGGCAACACCACCTATGGCTACGTGGTTGCAATGCTCTACAATAGATGGCGCGAGGAGCATAAAAAAATTGCTTCGCAGTGAATTAAAAAAAGCAAACAATGCATATATGTTGCAATGTTATGTCAAACGCACCAAGAAAAATATTCTGAAAAAAATGCGACTTATACACCGAAAAATATGGTATGTGACTTCTTTAACAATTCAATGAAAAAACGGGACCCATTTTTCAAAAGGAAACGGGAAGCCCCATTCGGCCTCTGGTTTCCCTTTGAAATTGTCAGCAAATCGTGTAACTTTTGAAGATGATAACGTTTTGTTATGATACTTTGGCATCTTGTTCGGAATGCTAGCACTACATTTGGGCGGAGAATGAGCGTTCAACCATGCATCGTGTATTTTTTCGGTAGAGAAAAAACAACAAAAAATACTGTACATTTATGGGGGGGACACACTGTAACACATAAATTTACATGTCGTTGCAGGGTGCCAGCCTGAGCAATCCTGCATTTTGCTTTGCGGTGGAAGATAATCCTAAGGCAGACGTGAACTTCTCTTACACGGAACTGTCGTCCCTTTCAAAAAGGCAAGGCATTTTTTGCACCCAGAACACTCTGTCAATATTTCTCAAAAACGTTTGGTGGGCTGTCCACAATTTTTCTGACAGCCAGTCATTGTTCATCACTTTGTATCTGTACCATCAGTAGAAGCAGGAATTAATTCCAAATAATGGTTTTATGATTAGGGTTAGCGGTGTTCTTAAGGATCAGCTGGGCCTCAGCAAAGGAGACAGGCTCATGGTCATCCTCCCAAAGACACCAGAATTTTGGCTTATCAAACTGGCGGCACTTCGATGTGGTGAGAACAATAATTTGTTTTCTTTGCTTATAACGTTCTGTTATACCTGTTACAAAAAAAGTTTACAGACTAAAATGGCTTGCAAAATCAGCAACTCGATGTATCAAGCAGTAAGTTTTCTCGAACATGTCTTTTATTGGTCTAATCGATTAACGTCTTAAACCTAAAAAAATCTTAACTCGGTACAAAAATATAAATAAAGAATAATATTTTCAATGGCAGAGTGACAGTTCTAGGGAAGAGATAGAATGACGGCCATGTTTGTTAACGTTGTATACATAGATGGCACCACTAATGCCAACAAACATGCATTTTCATGGGCAATATTTGTCAGGAAGAAGTTCCCAGTAAGAATTTTTATTTTATACACTTTTGAAACATATATTGAACCAGCAGTATATTCATTCGAGAAAGAGTTGTCCGGCCTGATATGCCAAGTTGACGATTGTTTTGGGCCATCTTAGTGCGTAAAGATTTCTTGGGGACATGATGCACAATGCACGACACAGTGCAAACATGCGATTAATATTTACTATATGTTTTTCACATTTTATTTGTGTATCTCATTGTTGGATAGGAAACTATGCTGCCTAAGCTGGTATCCTACCGCACTAGTAGTTTTCATTGCAGCAATTCAGCTGTGAAAGAGAACCAAAAAAACGTTGGAGATTGCTTGTTTGCTAAGCGCGCATGGCACTCCACGAGGTTTGGTGATAAAAGCACTCATGTTTGGTACAGTGCAATCCACTTATGACGATACCACATATAATGACATACTCCTTTTAACTATCAGTTTCTAGCAGACCATGCGATTTTGCGTGGGGTAGCCTGTCCAGATACAACGATAATCGGTTATAACGACTGCATTTTCGGGTTTTGTCATTATCGTTATAAGTGAATTGCAGTGTATATATAGGTCACAAAACCCGATTCCCATACAGCGAGTGCATTGTTCTGTAAGTGGACGAAGCAATCAATATGTGGTATTTTGCACAGTATTCTGATTGGGGAAGAGCGCTATTGAATCATTATCTGTGTCAGAGACTAATTTTTAGTGAGGCCTAACATATAATAACATAGCCGCAGGAAAGAGTGACGACGCTGAAACAAGGGCCGACTAGTTAACCTTTTTTACGATTTTGTGTTTTGTTTTTAGGCCAATTCTTGCAGCTTCTTTATGCACTCCACTTGTGAGAAATTAAAGCTTCACAACGCTGCTGCCATAGTCGCGTATCGCCATTTCATGCCTCCATTTATCTACTCTTGTCGGTGCGCACCGAACCTTGTTGAGAGTGCGACCGCTTAGTTCGTCGGCTTTAGGAGGTTGAATGCATCCCATCAAATACATTGAGTTTATTCTGGGAGATTTTGTGTCTGCATAATCAAAGAAAATCTTAAAGAAACTTCCAATGCAGTTTAAACTGCCCACAAAATAATTACAGGGTGAAACAAGGAGACGCCAGGCTCTTTAAATCGACCGGAAAATTTGGTTTCTTAACCTATTACGCTACGACTTTGTGCAGCGTTGCCCACAGATGGTGCATTTTTTTTTTGTAAAATTTGCAAAGAGCGAACTTACCTGAGGAAAAAGTAAAGAAAGAAAAAGGCTTAGCTCCTATGGAAACGCATTGACGCCTCCAGTCTGCAAACAACACGGTGCCGTTTCGCACGGGAGACAAGAGATGGTGCAAGCGGTCGCGACGCCAACTGCTGCCAACGAACGAGCAGACGATGCCACGAGCCGGCCCTTTTGCAGACAAGGAACTGCAGTTCCTTGCTGTTACTGTGCCTGTCTTTTTTGTTTCTGCGACTGTCGCCACCTGCGGAATGCGCACCGCTTTTGAGTCGAAAAGATTGTCTGCTAAAAAGGCCTGCTCTCGGCGCCGTATGCTCGTTCGTTGGCGGCGTTTGTTGCGCCTCCAACGCCGCCAACTGTCCGGTGACCGTGCTCACATCGATTGCCATCCCATCTGTCTTCTTAAAGAAAGAAAAAATGTTTGCGCAGTCGACAGGATTCAAACCTGTGCGGGGAGACCCCAATGGATTTCTAGTCCATCCCCTTAACCACTCAGCCACGACTGCAAGACGAGTAGGGGGCTCTGAGATGTGGTAGTAACTGAAGAGCCGGTGATGTCATGGATGAAGCGTTGCATGTAGCCGCTCAACGTCTATACAGGAGAGGGCGCTGCGGTCAAATGCTTATATAATCGCGTTAAACTTTGCATGCATTGGCTCAACGTTTATAGACGAGAGGGTGCTGAGGTCATGTGCTCAAAAAATCAGTATCATCAGCACCACCAGAGCTTCGCCCCAATCAACATCATTCACCACGTGGAGATGCGGTCATTTTTTTATAAAGTTTTGCTGTGGCATCCCCAAAGATAGCCCACCCCATGTTTTTCATCATTTATCTCTTCATTTTCGGTGGGCGTCCTTACGGGATTTTACGGTACATAGGAATACTATACTATTGACAAAACACTTCATAATAAATAAATGTATAGTGCATATTTCTATACCAGCTGTTCTTTTTTTTTTTTTTTGTTGACTCGTGCCAAATCTGCATGCTTACGTGTATAATGAGCTAAAATATAATTAGGAGTGAGTATCTAATTCCGAAAACGACATCATGCCGCAGGCATCATTCTGACGGCCTGCACGACAATGCTGACGTCCAAGGACATTGGGCTTCGGCTGACGAAATTTGCACCACACTGCGTGGTGGCAGGGGAAGGACAGGCGGACGCAGTGGACCAGGTCTGTGGAACCCGCCGATGCTCCGGTAAACTTTTGCGTGCTATAGTCGCCGACAGGGCGAAAGCGGCAAGTAAGAGCTTCAGTTGTACCGCCTCCAGTGCGAGCTTCCCGCCTTCGACAACGCTTAGGTGTCTCGCACACCTCAAACACGTGCGCGCAGCCAAAACACGGCAGAAGGTACGAAGCACGCTTTTGAAACCGGCAGACATGCCTTGACGTTCTCGCTCTGTTGGTGGCTCTACAGTGACACCATTTGCAGGGTTGGGCAGTATTGCAATACAAATGTATCGTGGTAGTATTTTAGAAATACTTTAAGTATTTATATTTCTGCATGCAACTTTTCAATCAGTATCTGTATTTCAGTATCGGAATACATTTTTGGTGTATTCCTCATATGGCAACACAATCCGGGGCCAATGTATCTCGTTACAATATTCAAGAAATCGGTGACCCCCATGCAGAGGGTCAAGAGACTGGTTCTCTTCTTCTTTTGTACTTAGAGGAATAGAAGGTACAGTAAATGGGACCTTGAGGCTTTGTTATCAAGCAGACCGAGGTTTGTTTCGAACATTATGGCCCCGACATTGGTGCCTATCTTCACTGTTTCCTAAAGATATAATATGTCTTTCGGAGTAATTCAGTTGAGCAACTTTTTGTGTAAATTTAAAACGTTGAAGGCACTGTCAGTACAAGCTTTACAACTGTACATTGCTCTCCCAGCCCCATTTACTAGGGCGAGCATACATTTTCTTCCTTCTGATCATCAAGTCAAAGAACATCATTTCATTTCAATGCTACATCTTGAAGTGACCATGGAAAAGGTACCGACATGGGGCTAGAAGATGCTGACCTTTCAGGGACGTTTGGGTAGATATGAAAGGAATTTAGAGGTTCATGTGATATTGCTTCGAAGGCGCACAATATATCTAAAGAAGAACTTTACCACATTATGGACGGAAAGTATTTCCAACCTACTGAAAACTCACTTAGTTCTTACAGCATTGCATTAACAGGAAAATGGCAGTTCCATGATAAAATAATTTTGGGCTCGAGAACACTTATGTTTAACTTTAACCTTTACCTCACAGTTAGTATGAGGCTTGGTTTTCACTGGAGGGTTCATTTCTCGTCTAGAAGTACAAACCCTGTCGACGAAGCCTACCTATTATTACCTCCAAGCGTGGACTTCGTATATAATGAAAGCTAAAAAATATATATATTTGCTTGGTTTAAAGCTTTCCCAGTGTGAAAGTGGTCTTAGTTAGTTTTAATATGAGCACATTTTTTTTTTACATTTGTGGAACGCTTAATCTTGTTCACTAACAGGCCTCTTTGCCCAAATTAGCAGCAGCTGATCGACAAGATATTTAAAAAGCTACTTCTCATCATATAAAAAAAAAAATATGTCGCACAAAGTTGTTTCATTTCTGTTCTATAAATAGTAACTTTTTGCTTGTTATTTAAAAGTTCACATCACAAAAAAGCTTTTTTTTTTTTGCGGAAAATGTATGAGTGTTAGTGCCCCGGCAAAGTGTATTCCTGTATTTTGTATTTTTAAATACTTTTTTTATTATTTTTCAAATGTAATTTCTGATAGGTATTGGATACTTTTGTACGGATGTATTTGAGTATGACTATTCTAGCTGTATTTGTCACGTATCCCAATATTTGTGTTACAAATACATTTTAGAGTAGCTCTGCCCAATTCTGTCGCTCTGTCCATGATTATAGGGTGGTGCCATTTTCACTCTGCCAGTGACTATAGATTGATGCTGTCCTCACTCTGTCTTTCACTATAGAGTAAGGCTGCTCATACTGTGTTAGTGACTGTAGAGTGACACCATTCTCACTTTGTCCGTGACTATAAAGTGCCCTTCTCACTACCAGTGACTATAGATTGATGCCAGTCTATGTCTGCAAGTGTGGAGTGAGAACTTTTTCATTCTGTTAGTGACTATAGAGTGACACCATTCTCACTCTGTCTATGATTATAGAGTAGTGCCATTCTCACTCTGCCAGTGACTAAATTGATGCCATTTTGCTGACCATAAAGTGAGGCTGTTTTCACTCTATTGGTGAGTATAAAGTGACACTGTTTTCACTTTGTTGGTAACTGTAGAGTGATTCTCTCACTTTGTCGGTGACTATAGGACCGAAGCGCTCAAGTTTCGCCGCCGACTACAGCGCCATTCCAGCCCCTGGCGGGACGCCCGAGTCCGAGTGGCTCGTTGGTTTTCGCCTCGCTTCTCCGTCGTAGGCGGTCGGACATAACATTCATTGCGATAGAGACGATATAAAAGCCCGGCTAGCACGAATATTTCGTCGTTGATCGCAGCAACCATCTCCGATGTTGTTGTAGTCGATCCTTAAAATTCTACCGCTTCCCTGAAAAGCCGTGCGAGACTCGAACGGCGCCAAGCCTGGACCACGTCGGTGCTCCGACAAAAGTAAGTTTCTCGTTCGTTGGAAGATCAGTTTTGCTAAATACGCGGGAAAAACTAAATAGAATTGGTGTCAGAATAGAAGCAGAATCACTACCGAACGCGGGAAAGTCAGTTGGCAGTGCCTGCGTGACGGAATATCTGATTTTTGTGCGCGTCTGTCGCTTCCCTCGAGGTGTTTGACGGGGCTTCGGTCGCGATGTTGGATCCCTTTGGCACGAATATTTCAACTACAATCACTGGCAGGGTGAGAACGGCAGGGAGAAGCTTCAGTTCCTCCAGCACTAGCTTCCAACCGTCGACAGGGTTTCTATCTCGCGACCGTCGCGCGTTCACGTGCAGCCACATCGCAACGAAGGGCAACGAAGACGTGCTGGAGATCGGCCGTTCACAAGAGACGCCCTGCCTGCCGTTCTGACTTTGTCAGAACACTTCTAGCTAGGGGAGGGGCTTTTGGGGGTTGCGATTGCAGCTTTCTTCTGCCGTGTGTGTTTCTTAATCGCTGTTCCCGTTTTTTTTAGCTGTTTATGGCCATCATGTACGACGCTATAATATACACATGCATCCCCCCCCCCCCCCTCCCAAACAACACACACAAGGAATGCACTTCCAAACAGCCTCAACCAGCCAGCCCCCCCCCCCCCCCCCCTTTCCTTTTTAAAACAAAAAGAAAGCCTGATTATGTTTACATAATCGTAATCATAATAATTTACAATAACAGTTTCTATTATTTCGTGTCGATTTTCTGCTGATCACACCAGAGATCTTATATTATTGACTTATTTTTCAGTGGGGGCGGTTCAGTTTTGATTCCGCCAACGTCAGCGAGGATCTGCAGCGTGCACTTCGTGAACACCTGCAAGGACAACGATGAGGCTCATCCTGCAACAAGTCACTAGACGAGATGCCAGCTGAGGTGTTTAATAAAGACTAATTGCAGGAAACCTACCAACTCTGTAATTGCTCGTGAAAGATTCTTAGTTAATTTAAATTAATTTTCACTCCCTCGCTCGAAGATGCAGGTGACCTTTCCTCATCTATGTTGCATTATCTATGTGTGCCCGGTTCTTAGCCAGTTAAAAGTATTGTTAGTTCATTGGCAACTTCTGTAGTCTCTTTCGTCTTCGAGTTGCACGTTTTGGTTTAGTCTGTACCCCAAGATTCAATATAGCTTGGCTAAAGATGGATAAGCTTAGATGACTACTGCTTTCTCACGAACTGGGAGACATCTTTCGTGAGATCTGGAATATCTTGAACAGCTGATCTGCCGTGCAAGATCTCTGAAATAGTCGGGGTTCTCGGCCCTACAATTTCTTGGACAGTCCTTGCTTCTCGAGATGTGTACATCATCTGCAAGTGTCCTGCCAGCCATACTTCGAGTCTGCGCCAATGTCACCGTGTTAAGAGCACGAGAAGAATTTTTATATTGTCCCAAGGTTGTGTGTTTACCTACTCGTGGTTGTGACAAAACTCAATAAAAATCGTTTTCACTGTCAACAAAACATTTCTGAAAGTGATGCATTATGCTGCTGTACCATATTTTTCAGACTATAGTCCACAGGGGCAAATTTGGGGTAAAAAAAAGATTTTGCTTACATTGTACACATACAGTGCATCGTCTGCACCTGGTGCTTAGTTGTCACGAATATCATCTCATAGACAGCACACCTTGAGAAATGTCTGCTTTCTTAGCGCAAAAAGAAGCTGGTATTTTACATAAATTATCATTAACATACCCTTTCATTCACAAAATCCGTCTCGTCATAATCAACGATATTGAAAAACAAAAATCCCGCATAGTCCGCACAGCCTAAAATTTTCATTTTTAAAAGCATAGCCCGGAAAATACGGTACATTCCTGGAAACGCTTGAAAACATGCCAACATGCCACAAAAGAAACTTTATTCAGTGAAGCAGCAATGAAACACTGACAGGCATGGATTATTTTTCCAGAAAATAAAAATTGTTCTACTAATGACAACCTATCATGTGTCACTGGTGTTTTCTTTGCTACACAACATTTTCCTCCTAAAATGTCCCACACAGTAAAGTATGAATCAAGCCCCCACCCAATATTTGAAAATCTTGCATGTGGACTGGACAACTTGAACCTGAAAGAGAAATTAAGTTTTTTTTATAAATCCATCCAACTGAACATTGTCATGAAAATTCGACTAAAATTATGTGCAGTCATATGCATAGCAGACATTTATGCTGGAGATTTAGTCTAGGCTAGCCTCTTTTCGTTTTCAACTGTTTTGCCCCCCTTTCTAACAGAATCTCGCGGCACATTATTGTTCAAACTCGCAGAAAAAGTACCATTAATCAGCAGGAGCAGGTCCCCAGTAACTGCAACCTACTGCCTCAGTGAAGTGGGACAAGAAAACCTGGTAATAAATCTACGAGGCCTTTGTTCAGGTCGTGCCCTGGCGTTTTAGTTCCCTACTGCTGAGGCAGGCTGATGAGGACGCGTGTTCAACAATACTAATAAAATTACGAGCGTCGGCACAATGCTCGCACCGGTCCGCGACTCCAGCCCAGCGAGGACCTGCAGTCTCAACTGTACGCGAGGGACTTATCTCTTCCCGGAATTATCACCCTATGCCCGCACGATCCCCGACACGTTAATATTTCTTCGACGTGGGCGAGCCCGAAAAGCTATCCCACTCGTAGCCTCTAGTGCGAGAACGTAGTCTGCCGGTGGTTCAGCGACCGAAAAATAGTATCCCGACGTCGTCTAACAGGACTCACGAGAACAGTGGTTCATTGTGATCAGTAATCTTTAAGGCACAATGTTATTACAGCGCAAAATTTAAACAAGTGCCGCTCACCTGTAAAGTTATCTCGTAGACGCCGCACGGCCGGCACGGCCGTACTTGCGATGCGGACCCGACTCGTTGGCGGGGAAATCAACCGCTTTCTCGGTGGAAGATGCGTGTTATTGAAGCTTTTCTATCGTTTCTTGACTCACCATGAGAAACATTTCTCGCACGCTTTCTATCCTTCTCAAAATTTTCACCGTACGCTCGAAATACCTGCGACGCCAAAGCAACGCTACGAGCACGACCGGCGCGACACGACCATGTGTTGTACTGCGGTGGCGCTACCGTCGCAATTTCGAAGCGCCCCCTGGTTGGGCGAATCGATTCTATAGTGTTGGTGATCTCACTTTGTTGATGACTATAGAGTGACACCATTCTTACTCTGTGACTAGAGTGGTGTCATTTTGATTCTACCTGTAACTATACACCGACACGCGGGCTTGACGTCTCGGAGCTGCGGCGGCGCTGCGATCGCGCCGGAGCCGGGGGGTGTGGGCAAAAGCGCGCACATTTCGCATGGGTGTCATAGCATTTCAGCATGCCGCGAAGCTGTGTTGCCGTTAATTGCACCGAAATGTACAAGAAAAGCAGCGGGGTGAGTTTCCACAAGTTCCCGGCAGACTATGAAAGGCATAAAAGGCGGATAATATCCGTGGATCGAAAAGAATGGTCGCCTCGCGCGAACGACCGTTTGTGCGGCAAACACTTTCTTGAAGGCAAGTGCGGCTTTCATTTCAATCTCCGTCCCGAGGCTTGCTTATGCGCAGGAAAACCGTCGTCTGATCGAGACCACCCGGATTTTGTTCCCATGATTTTCTCGCACAAAGCACCTTCCAAGCGCTCGTCGGAGGCTCGTTACGCACGCGCTACCCAGCAGGAGGGGATCGGCGACAGAACGGCAGTGTTGTAGGCGTTACCGAAAAAAAGTAACGAAATACGTTACTCGTTACTTGCAAATAGAAGGTACGCGTTACTGAGCTGCATTACTTCTTTAAATTATGATTTAACACATTTTATGGTTTTGAAGGTACAGCTCATATATCAAGAAACATTATGTTCATACAGAGACTGAACATAATTACTTTATCTTTTTTACGGCTTCACCTAAATACTTACGAGAAAAAACGCAAAGAAAAACATGGCTTGACGCCTAAAACACGGAAAAAATTGAAGTGTAATTTCTTTAAGACTTGTGAAGTAGTAATGAGTAACGTAACTATGTTACTTGAAATAGTAACATAGGTATGTTACCCGTTACTGTGTCGAAAACGTAACGGGTGGGTTACTACGTTACTGAAAAAGTAACGCGTTACCAACAACGCCGTTACTTGTAACCTGTTACCGCCAAGACTGCAGAACGGACAAAGCGTTACTGCTTGTCATGCCTTGTGGTCATGAGGGAAGGAAAAATATCGCACCTTGACTTGAAGACGCTGTGTATATTTAATCAATTAATGAATACACACACTTCCGCAGACCCACAGTCTGCTGATCCCGCCGGCAGTGCGGAAACCGACTCGAAGTAATCGTAGACCCCGAGAGACTTGTACGCCTGCACCGTGTCGGCCGTGAACTAGCTTGGCGAAAAAACTAAATAAACAACGACGTGAGTTGTCGACTTCCGTGGCAGCAACTTTACTTCGAAAGTCCAGCAGGCCTTGTTTACGGCGTAAGAATCCTCGCAGGCCACGCCGTCCACTTACAGTTTGTTTCGATACCGCTGCCGTTCTGGCTCGGGCAACGAGCTCAAATAGTCGGGCATAGCATACGACATACGTTGTGAGGAAATACGACGCACAAATAAAGCTAAAAGCGTTCCTACAACGTCAACAACGAGCGCACGCCATAGAACGCAATGGCGAAAACACGGAGAGCCGGTATGCTTTCGCCCACGTAGCTACCGCACATGCGCGGCCGTCCGGCCGTGTTGGTAAACAAAGCCGCTCCGCGCGTCGGTCTATAGATTGATGTCATTCTCACTTTGACACTAGAGTTATGCTGTTCTAAATTGGTTGTCAACTTTAGATTGATTCCATTCTTACTCTGCCAGTGACAATAGATTGATGCCATTCTCACTCTGTCAGTCACTATAGAGTGACACCATTCTCACTTTGTTGGTCACTATAGAGTGAGACCATTCTCACTTTGTTGGTCACTATAGAGTGAAACCAATCTCACTTTGTTGGTCACTATATAGTGAGTCAATTCTCACTTTGTCGGTGACTAAAGAGAGATGTTCTCACTATGTAGGGGACTGTAGAGTGACAGCCCTTTCATGCTGTCAGTGACCATAGTGTCACTGATCTCACTCTGTTGGGGACTAGAGTGACACCATTCTTCCTTTGTAATATAGAATGGTACCATTCTCACTCTACTGGTAACTATAGATTAATGCCATTCTCACTGTTTGTTACTATAGAGGAAGGCTGTTCTTCCTCTGTTGGTAACTATAAAGTTGCACTATTCTCACTGTCATAACTAAAGTGGTATGATTCTGACTCTGCTAGTGACTAGATTGATGCTGTTCTCACTCTGTCTGTAAGTATAGACTGATATTGTTATTTCTGTCGGGGACTATCGAGTGACACTGTTTTTACTCTGTCAGTGACTATTGAGACCATTCTCACTTTGTCAGTGGCTAGAATGATGTTACTATCAGTGACTATAGAGTAACACCAGTTCTCACTCTTTTTGCAACGATAAAGTGTTGCTGATGTCACTCTGTTGGTGACTATAGAGTGACACCATTTTCACTCTATGACTATAGGGTGGTGCCATTCTTGCTCTATGGGTCGATATAGATTGATGCAGTTCCTACTCTGTTGGTGACTGTAAATAATGTTGTTCTCACTTTGTTGGCAAATATATTGTGAGGCCGTTATTACTCTGTTCGTGATAATAGAGTGGTGCCATTCTCACTCTACTGGTGACTATATAGATTGATGATGCTCCCACTCTGCAATTATAGAAAGAGGCCATTCTCACTCTTTCTATGACTATAGCTTGGTCCCATTCTAACTCTACCCCATTCTCACTCTGTTGGTGACTAGAGTGGTGCCATTCTCACTCTACTGGTGACTACAGAGTGGTGTCATTCTCACTCTACTGGTGACTATAGATTTATGCCATTTTCACTTTTCTGGTGACAATAGATTGATGCCCTTTTCACTCTGTCGGTGAGTATACCGTGACTATGGAGTCATGCCACTCTCTCTACCGGTGACGATAGATTGATGCTGTTTGCACTCTGTTGGCAACTATAGAGTGATGCCGTTTTCACTCTGTTGGTGACTATAGACATCATTCTCACTACGATTGTGACTATAGAATGGTGCCATTCTCTCTCTACCAGTGATGATAGATTGATGCTGTTTGCAGTCTGTTGACTACTATAGAGTAATGCCGTTCTTACTCTGTCGGTGACTATAAAGTGACACAAGAAATAGGAGACTTCAGAAGTCGTATTGATCATTGCAGCACACATACCACTAAATGCCGAGCATTTGCACGTCACAATAAGCATACACCAGCTACTTTTAAAAAGTTAAAAATAAATTGGCAGCAGCATTTATCTCCAAAGTTCCATGATGCATGAAATGCTGTATCTAAGGTACAATCATTTAAAATTATTTAGATGGCATTAAACCTTTGTTTCGGGGAGTGAAGAACCTGTGTTACATGGTGTCGATTTCCCTGCAGACTCCCGCGGGGTAACTAAAGGTGTATAGGTCATGTGACCTCGATTTCTTTGCCAAATTTAGTGGGAAAACTGAATTGGTGTCTAGGTCCCATGACATCAGGCCATATAACGTCAATTTTTCTGTCAATTTATTTGGGGAACTAAATTGGTATGTAGGTCTTTTGACATCAGGTCACCTGACATCAAATTTCCCGCTAAAATTTGCAGTGAAAGGGAATTGCTGTACGTCATGCGACATCAGTTTCCCCACCGACTTTGCCGGGGAAACTTTGGTATATAGATCACATGATGTCAAGTCACTTGACATCAATTAACATCACATGTAACCTAAACACCAGTCCAGTTTCCTAGCTAAACTTAGTGAGAAATGCACGTACGGACAAACTTTTGGGATTGGGGGTTTCGTTACAAAGCATTTAATGCTTTAATAAGCAAAGAACCTCTCAGACACCCAACCCATACATCTGAGCATGCCTGGATAATGGAGATGCTCCTAAGTGTCAGCCGCTGCTCCAACACGCCAGTGCAATGCAGTGAAGTTTGACGTTAACACACTCGTTGTAGGTGGTAAAGCCCACCCTACCTTGTACCATTTCTGCATTTGTCCTCTTGGATCTTAACAACTGCCCATCCTCCAATTTTTCAAAGATTTGTCTCCTAGGGTGGGTACTTGCTCGGTATGATATAGTAATAGCAAAAATTGTGAGCTATTCGAGGTTTCGAGTATTCCTAAATTTCTACCTATAGTACATACAAAGGATTTTTTTCTAGGGGGGGGGGGGGGGGGAAGAAGTGGGTTGGGGGTTATATTAGCAGTCATGCCACGTTGTACTATGCTGTAGCTTAGGAGCTATTTATGCTGTGAAAAACTTATTTTTTGTTATCTCGTTAAGCACATGGTGAATGATATGTTCCAGCGTACTCCCTGGTTGACTTCTATCTTGGCAGGTGATTGGAGAATTTCCAGGGGTAAGGAACAAGGTGGTGGTCTCAAGCTCTTCTGGAAGGTAAGATTTCACTTTCATTGGTCCCTTCTTTACCTAATAAATGCTGCTGCTGTTGATGATGGATGATTTAAAAGTAGTGCAAAAGCAATGGCCGTGTGCCATACAGATGTCATTTGCATTTGAATGACAACATTTGTATACATGTATACATGTGCACACATGTACATTTGAACCCAGATATATTGAATTCAAAGGGGATCGTAAAATAGTTTGATATATGAATAATTTGATATACATAAATAGGTTAAATTAAGTTCAAGTTGAAATTTTCTGGCATCTCTGTTAATATTGAAGGTCGCGAAGAACGGAAGCTTACCGAATAGAACATCCAAAGGCCGCTAAAGACAGTAGAGCTTAGTTGGCGGAGACCGCAAACACCTGCGGAGACCGCAAACACCTGCCCGGAGACCACAAACATCGGCGCGCTTACATGCTCCTGGCCGGGACCTCCGCAGAGCATAAGCGACATAACACAAAAAAAAACAAAAAAAACCCGGGAAAAGCAAGACACGCAAAAAATATCTTTTGCTCTATTATAGAAAAACCTTAAGCAAACAACAAAAAAGAAAACTCACTAAATTTAAGCAGCAAAAAAAAAAAAGAAGCAAAAAGCAAAAAACGAACAAGCAAGCAATAAAGGCAAAGCAAAAAGGTAAACAAAGATAAAGCGTTCAAAGTGCGATTGCACAACCGATGTTGTCAACACACGCGACTTGCCGAAGACTTTTTTGCGCTTATTTTGGGACTAGGGAGTCATGCAGCATCAGCAGTGTTTGGGGAAAGGGCGCAGGCTACTGTTCCAACACTCCCTACTCTCCCTACGTGCGTGCACGCCTGTGCTGTTCCCCTTGCATTTGCCATCCTCCACTTCTTTTTAATTTTTTTTTACTGTTTATTTATTTTTTTTTTTACAACTGCTTTTTTGCTGCGTATCTTTTCGCGTGCAAACTGGCTTGGCGTACTGCCAGCCACACTATGGAAGCGATGTGCTCTCCACCAGCGCAATCGCGCAATCGGATCGGGAAGAGCAACGGGTGGCCCGGGCTTCTATATCGCTATATCGAGTGTCCCCGCTATGGGAGTTGGATACAAAAAGACAATGCTCCTATATAATTACATGTGATTTTCAAGGGGGTGTTTGTACTGTTTGATATATACAATAATTAGAAATACCCAAGTGTGATATAATCGGGCTTGACTGTGTACATGTGTGTATGTATGTCTATTGTATAGACACATAGGCAAAAAGTTCTCAACTTCCCGGGGGTCCCACGACCCCCCGGGAAATCTTAGGGACTTCTCTTGAAAAAGACGTCCCAAATGTGTGGAATCCCCTGGATATCATAGGATATGCATGCTGATGGCATGATACCTAAACAAATGTCTGCTTTTCTGACACTATAATTGAGCTGTCATTGCAGTTGTGATCAGTGAATTCCGTGGTTCAAGCACACTGACCGTAATGAATTGTTTCAACGTTTGGGAAAACAAAATGGGGCTTACAAAACATATTATGTTGGCTACTTCCATTGGCTGCATGTTTGCTAGAGGTGCCACTGTCGTCATTCGCGACTACTTCCAATGGCATTTGAAGAAATTTCCGGCACTAACCTTTATTGTATTTCTGATTCTACGTAGGGTTTTCGAACAGGACTCAGCGAATACAGTGAAACCCGTTTAGAACGAACCCACGTACAGCGAATTATTGTCGATATCGAACTCACAGAAAATGTGTATGAAAATGCGTGTAAAAAGTACTTTTTATAACAAACAACATATTGGTTATATCAAACTTTTTCCCCTTGCGAAGGCTTCCGAAAACGTGCAAACAATCGACTTTTAGCCTGTCCCTTCCCCTCAAAAAGAAGTACATAGGAAATAAAGAAAATTCCAAAAACTCAAGTTGTGAACAAAATTTAGCGAAGAGAAGCGATTCAGAAGGGGAGAGAGCTAAGAAAATACAATCTGCACACATGCACAGAAAAACGCACACCTTTTATCCCAAAGCATTTGCCGACGAAGAGAAGCGATTCAGAAAAGGAGATAAAATAAAAAAACAAAAGCAAAAAAACTCTGCACGCATGCAAAAAAAAAAAAAATCTTTTCAGCGCATTGTTTTAAGGCTAAAGTGTAGAGATGAGAAAGAAAGAGAAGCTTTCGCCATACAACTAACGCAACGCGGAAGTTCATTGCAAATGTTTTTTGCTATATCGAACTACTTGCTATATCGAACTGATCGTAGAGTTTCCTGCTGTTCGTTATAAACGGGTTTGACTGTAGTTAGAAAAATTTATCCACTCACCAGCTCTGGTCATTTAGTGACCAGAGCTGGTGAGTGGATAAATTTTTATTTGTCCACTGGGCACCGGCTATCGATATGTGCGGGCACCAGGGCGCACAGATGAGATTAATAAGGTGTATCCAGAGGTTCCGAAGGCGATGGTATTCGCTTTTTTGAAGAGCTTGGGAGAGGGGGGGAGTGCGACATCGCCGGTGGGGGGGCTCCCCCCCCCTTCCCCCCCCCCCCCCTCCCCCCCCCTCTGTAGTCGACGACTAAGTATAGACATGTATGTATATGGCCGTGTACATGGTCGGAAAGCTACTCCATACTTCTAGAAGACTTGCATTTACCGTATTTACTCGCATAATGAATGCACTTGCATAATGAATGTACCCCCCACAACAAGCATCAATATTTGGACTTTTTCTTTTGCCTCGCGTTATGAATGCATTTCTAATTTTCGGTTCCATGAGTCTTGAACTGGCATCCAACCAATACCACCTAGAAGACAAGGCCTGCTCATGACGTTTCGTTTGTAGATCCCCGACCCGCCCCAAACGGCTGAAGCTTGACGAGAGTAGGGGCTGCGTCGCAACTACGTCGCATTCACTGGCGGCCACAGCTGTGTGCGCGAGTGCTGAGCGCGAGCTTCCGAAGTTCATTTGCAACGTGCATGCGAGCACTCCCTCGGCCAGGAGTGTGAGCCAGCACACGCTCCTGGCTTTGAGACGTGCATTTCTAGCGCACGCGCTCGTTCTGCGGAAGTACCCTTCAAAGCAGCAACCTGGAGTACAAACAGCACCCTTAAATATGGCGTCCAGTGCCAGTGTCCAGCAAAGGGCTTTGCAGCCCTTCGCACAGTAGTAAGACATTTTCATTCATGCATTTGACGCTCCACGTGAACGTCTAACTTCATTCTATGCTATAGCAACAGACATTCGGCGTGAGCATCCGTTTCATTATCTGCTACACAGACAACTGAAGCAGGCGATGGAGCAAACAATGTCGCAGACGACGTAGCAGACGATGATGCTTATCAAGGCTAGCTAGGGGGCGCTGAGGGGATCTACTAGTGATGACGTTTAGAAGAGAAAATTCGCAGGCCTTGTGTTCTAAATGGTGTTGGTCCAACACAGCTAGCCACCGAGCCGATTTTCTTTTACCGCCAAGCGGCCAGGACAAGTCAAGCCAAGCCAATCTGCTCTCGTAATGGCTGCACGTGCATAGTTGCGGCAGTGATTAACCGTGAAACCGAGCAGCATGCACATCTAACGAAGCTGGGGTCGAGGAATTGCCCAGCCCCGGACATGCTTCGCCCAACAGGTGCATTGATGTCAACAAACACGCTGTCGTCTGTGGTCCGCTTTCAGACAGTGAAATCGTGAAAGTGGTTAGGCCTAAGAACGGTCGCTTCTCTCTTCGTGCTGAGTGAGCTTCATAGGTCGCTTTTCCTTCCGTTAAAGGTTAGCAATTTAGAGAGCATGGTTACTGTGGCACGCTTACAGTCACTTGCGGTTGTGCCTTTGTCAGTGGAGACGTGCCACAGTACGCTGCCATCTCATATTGGTACCTAAAATAACATTTGTGCAAAGTATGTAAATGCAAAAATTTTACCCCTTGCAATGAGCGCACCTTAAACATGTGTTGAACTTTTTGGGAAAAAAAGTATGTTCATTACGCGAGTAAATACGGTACTCTTACCCCAAATGTTTGACGCTCTAACATTCTAGGTCAAGATACCGAGCGTAATAGGCAAGGAGGCCAACACGGCTTTGCCAAGTCAGTCTCGCCCTAGCACGACGCTTGAAACATTTCAGGTCATATGTTCGAGATACCAAGGGTAGTGGATAAGGTGCCCAGCGTGGCCTTGCCGACTGACTCTTGCATTAGCCAGCTGTCATGCCGACACCTCGACGCTCGCTGCTGCTGCTGTCGACACTCGCCGCTGTTTTTTTTTTTATGCTCGTTCTTTCTTTTGTTTGTGGCACAAGTTCACCAATTAAGCATTTATTTTCAGTTTTACACTTGTCAATCCTTTTCTGTCTGCAACAATGTGTATACATAGTATATATTTTTATGTATGTATCTACATGCACACATGTATACATAAATGTATGTGTGCACATATACATGTATCTGTGTTCACACATACATGCGCACATATATGTGTACATGTCTACCTACATCGATACACACGCATGTATACACATGCCGACATCCCCACATATGTATGGCACATGGCACACATGCCGTTAAGGGTCATTTACATTTGTTCCATGTTATTTTAATACTGGAGGCAGATATTATGACAGCTCTCAATTTGATTGTGATCATGTTACGGATGTTAATCTAGGGAAAAAAGAAAACTAAGAGCTAAACTTATGCATTTGTTTTTTTCTTCCAAAAAGGACCAGGCTCCAATGTCTCGGTGAGCATTATTCATGGTCTTCACCCTGGGTTGCTTTGAGATTAAAACAAACTTAATTTCTGGCACATCTTTTTTTCTCAGCACCTGGTGTTATGATTTAAAGATTCATTGTCACATGAGCTCGAAAAAGCATAAGATAAGCTTGTGAGATATGCTCTAATAGAAAGCTAAATGAAAGCTGCATGATTGCTTCGATGGCAGTTTGTATCTGAGTGTCAGAGCATAAAACTGAGCGTGTGCAGTGATACCCATTTATAATTAACTGTGCAGCTATTTGTAAATCTTTCATTTTTAAGGGGACACACTCCCTTGGAGGGTCTACTTTCTAAGTATTGGTGCTAATTCAATGAAATTGGCAGGGTATACTAGGCATGCAATCTTGGAGTGCTATACCACCTTTCAGCTGCAAAGGTCAATTTTGTGCAAAGTTACAGCCTCATATGTCAAATACATTATACAACTAGTAGTGCCGAGAGAAAACAAAAACTCGTTTCAAAACAGTACCGAAATGTCACAGTTTGTTTGCTTGGATATAAGGAAATGTGACTAGACTAATCGGTAGTGGGTTTGAAATAATTTTCAAGTGCCATATTTAGCGTTAAAGTAAACTTAGAAAAAGGGGTAAATTTCATTCCTTTTTTACTGTTGCAAAAGTCGACATTTTCTCGCTAAAGAAATAACAATCTTGATAAAGTAAGCACTTAGTTGAGTTTCCAGTAAATTTCACTTCAGAAAAACTGCACAGCAGTTACGAAGGTACTTCAGTCCTTGAACGATAGTTTTTGAGCAATGAAAAAATGGTAAAAAAACATGAAGCTGAGAAAACCGCATTTGAAAATTCATGGCACTTGCCACTGGACCTAAAATGCTCCAGGAGTGCACGTCAGTCTCTCCTCTGCATTGTCCTTCTGTGCTTTGGCCAGAGCTTCCATCTTTTGTCTCTTGCGCAATGCCTCGGAGGACTCAAGTGCGTTCACTTGAGCCTTTGCAATCTTTGTCCGAGTGACCTTCCCGGCCTGTGATATCTGGTGGCTCCCTGGCTCAATGCCCATCTCCAGAAGAACTTTCTCAAAGCCTTGAGGACCCAGGTTGAAGACTGCGAGAGCCACGGCACACTCGACATTACTTAGAGAAGCGAATTTTGAGTACCTCTTCCAAATCAAGGCAATGAAAGAATCATTTGCGTTCTGGGTTTTCATCTGGGAACATCTTTCAAGCGAATCCCTCCGTGACAGGCGGTTGTACAAGCACACTAGCTTTTCCACTAACCCCTTGGAGAAGGCTGGCTTATGTGGCAGGGATGCTGGTGATTCTCCTGCGTCCTCGAGGACCTTGCTTCGATTCAAGTGGCACCAGGAGTCCATCCCAGTGGAACAAGCGATATGAACTGGCCCCTCGTCGGTGGGGTATGAAAGCAGGAGACTGGCATGGAGTATGGGGTCGCGTGGCAGGTTTGAGCGAATCAGAGTTCCTTCTTCACCAGTGTGGCCAATAAGAGAGCGTGCAGTGCTGTTTTCTATGGGGTTTCATGTTTGGTGCGCACAATGTCTCGCAAGGAGCTCTATACCGAAAGAAGGAGGGTTAAGCACTCTTTCCAATGAGTGGTGCCTGTCTGTGCTAAGCCTAATGAGTGCGGAGCGAGCGCGCTTTGGGAATGAAAATTTGTGCGACCGCAAGTGTTTTTATGAAGCGTGCTCAGCCGCCGGTACGTCAAAAATAATTTATTTCGGAGTAAATACTTCACCTACAGGAATAAAACATTTTGACACCATTCTTCAGGAGTTATACAAGCTAATAGGACTATTTTTCAAAAACATAACTTTTTAAAAAGAATGTGATTTTAAAGGACACATGCAAAGGAAAAAAACTTTTTTTTAGACAGCTTAGATGGAAAAAAGATGTCATAAAACGATTTTACAATGAAGAAAAACAATTTTTAGAGCTATATTTACGGCGCTATACAAATTTGTAGTTGGCGCTCGGGGAGCCGCCGCTGGTCACATGGTAGGCCCGCGCGCCGCTGCGCTGCGTCGCTGCCGCACGCTGAGCGTTGTGCGAACGCCGCTTCAACGCGTTTCTCCACGCCGCCGTCGCCGCCGCCGCACAAGTCCGTCTGCTTCGGGGCGCCGCCGCCGCCGTCTGACCGGCGCACAGGTCTACCACGTCTGCTTGCGCTTTTTCAGGAGTTTCCTTTGGGCTCTAAAAGTTACTTATTCATCTTAGTTTTTTGTTATACTTCAAACAAAGATGAATAAGTTACTTTTAGAGGCCATAGGAAGCTTCCGAAAGAACGCAAGCACCACGTGATAAATAAGGACCAGTCACGTGATAAATACGGACCACTTTTCCGCGGGGCCCGCGGGCGCCAACTAAAATTCGTTTTGCGCCGTAAATATAGCTCTAAAATTTTTTTCCTTCGTTGTAAAATTGTTTTATGGCGTCCTTTTTCCATCTAAGCCATTTAAAAAAAATGTTTTTTTCCTTTGCATGTGTCCTTTAAGGCCGTGCCCCCCTTAACACCTTTTGACAGAATTTTTGATTTTCTTACAACCTAGACTGCGCATAAATGTTGATTCAAAACTGTTATATGACATAAAAAAAAAAAATTTTTTTTCTAGGCCGAACGCGGTACTGCAGAAGAGGTTATTACTTTTGTTAATGATACCCTTTTTTTAGGAGATTTTTTTCAACCGACTTTTTAATTGACATCTCTGGAAGTGGGCTAAAGTTCTTGTAATTTCTAGAATTGCTTATTGCTAATTTTTTCTTGCTTTGTCTTCTAGGAGCGGCTGGAAAAGCTTCTGTGACCTTTTGAAAGGTGCTCAAGAATTTGAGGTGCGTTTCACAATCTCGGATGATTTCACTCGCTTGTCAGCAGATAATAAAGTCTGTCCCTTTTAAGGTTTGGATATACCTTCATATCTCGCTAATGTGGACAACCCACTGTAGTGGAACCTCGATTACGCGTCCCCGGTTCAGGCGACATCCCACATTTTAAGACGAGTTTTCCCGGTCCCGACGAACTCCCCGTAGAAATAACGTATTGAAGGTTTGGTTTGCACGACGTGTGATTCCACGCATCCCGTGTCGTATGACGTCGAATTCGTTGCGCGGGAAGCGCGCAAATTTGACAGCTGCAGGAGGGGGGTGGCGGCGCAGCAACGTGGAAGAGTTCCACGCGCCGTTTTAGGGTAATAAGACAAGGCGCCGGCAACCCAAGACAGCCACAGCGCCGGTAGGGAACAGGAAACAGCGCTTTCCCTTCTCCTCCCTGGGTTGCGAAATGCCTCGGCGTTTTCGCATTGCGTCTTTGTTCCGCTCATCCCATCGTTCTCTCGCCTCTTGTTTACCCTCACTCTTCTCTGCATGCCACATTCTCCAACTTGTTGCTTCTCTCAGGACTGAGCACGCTTCCGCTGGTTCCCGCCTTTCCCGCTTTCGGAAAGCATGAAAAGCAACAAGGATCCCATCGTTACAATTGTGCACGCTGGCGAACGATGTCTCACAAACGGACAGGAGAAAAGCGTCAATGTTCTGCTTCCAGCTTGCGGCCTTCGAAAGGAAGCTGATTTTGCACGTCCGAAAGGAAGTTTAGCAGGCGATTACTAATTTCTTTTGAGGGGAGAATGAAGTTACTCACGCCTTCACCGCACAAATCTACGGCTTTGTTTCAATTTGTTTCGACGGATTTTTCTTCATTAAAGTACAGCAGTTTATTAGCTTAGACATCGATGAAAACCTCCACTTGTCTTTTTCATGCGAGACTGATCACTGCACCCATAATTATTGTTTTCTCGGATCATATGACTCATGGATTATGCAGTGATTTCGCACAGTCCCGCAAAAGTCGTATATAATCGGGGTTCTACTGTATATATAGACAAAATTTTCATAAACCAATTTATCCCCGTACAATTCAGTCTGCCTCGTTAATGTAGATACCCGCAGTCCGGACTATGGACAGCTAGTTTGAGAACGAACTGTGTAAATACTGCATGCTTTTTTGTCTCATTATTATGGTTTCAATGCTTTCAAATAACTCATTTGTTTGTTTGCTAAACAAATGTGATTAATTCTTTTTTTCTGTTACGACTTGTCTTTCCCTGATAGGTAGTCGAGTTTATGAATGCTTGTATATTTTTGTGTATAATGCATATTGGTATATCTGTACCTCTACCACTTTTGTGCAGTAATGCTCTTGAGGCACTGGAGGTTAAACAAGATAAAAAAATACTAATAGTGGTGCTTGCACTAACATATGTATTTCACAAGCCTATTCCTGAAATGCTCAATGATATCGTTGCATATCCAAGCCTACATATTTATTCAGGCTTATTTAGTTTATAAATGTTTATTTAGTGTTATATGTTTGATATCTTAACTATTACTACTGCTTTTCTTTTGTTTTCACGTGGTCAATAAAAACACTCTTGGAAATTTTTATTTAAGCGTTTACTTCGCCTACAAGGGCACGCCTAAGAGCGCCATAAAAAAAAAGTTTGAATGCACAGCTTCTTTATCCTTATCAAAACGGACCAACCAAGAGACAGCAATGATGGTGTCTTTACCAGGGCGTGGAAACACTGAGGGACGACCCTGCATTTGTCTTCTTCACGAGTGGCACCACGGGACCTCCCAAGATGGTGGAGCACAGCCAGGGCTATTGTCTGGCACACCTCGCCACAGCCACGTAAGAATATGTATAATGTTTATTGCACTGGTGGAGTTGTATTCCAGTAGAAACTTTCCAACTGGGATCGAACTGTTCTTAGTTAACTTGTTTATCACCCACATCCCTAGCTGGTCCTAATTGCCGTGGTTTCCAGTTGTAGCTGGGAATGCCAGTCGAGTCCAAATGTCTTGTTTTCTAACACGCGAGATATTTATTCAGGCAGGGATCCCAAATTAGGCCAATAAGCCAGGTAAACTGGGACCAATTATAATTGGTCCCAGTTGTAAAAAGGACCAGATGCGGCTGGTTCCAGCTGTAGCCAGAACACCCAACACAACAAAGAAGTTTTATCAGCCTTTATTACCCTAAAAAAGAAATGAAAGAAAGTGTAGTGCAGTTCTGTGACGAATGCTTCAGCTGTCTCATTCGCCTCTTGCTTGTGAATATAAAATAGACCCTTTGCAAAACGTACAGTGCCACGACGGCAGGAAATTTCGGGAACCCTCGGTACAGATCACGCGCTTGTTGCACCTCCTCAACTGCGCGCGCATCTCGGCAGCTACCACCAGCAGCCGTTGTAGCCATCCGCCATCCCGCTCATCCGCCGAGTCGTACGTCGTTGGCGGCATATCGTATCTGTGGTAGTGTAAAGGCATTGCAACAGGTGAACTTATTTCAATATGTTATTCGTCGTAACTTACCTTCACAGATTGAAGTGTCACCAAATCCATTTAGTTTGCACTGCAACCGTGGCAGGTTTCGACCAGGTTCGACAAAGCGTTGGTGCAGCAGACGACAGAGCCGGTACAAAAGAGAGGGGTGAGAAAGGGGCAACCGTTGGCTTGTCGCTCTCCCGACGCGGCTGCTCAAAAGTCGTTGCAGTGGTAACCTGCGCCTGCTCGCGTATGCCACGTGGTTACATGGTAGCAAGAGGAGGGGCGTACCGAGGACTCCTATTATTTGTTGCGCGGCGCGCACGGGCTTTTGGGATTTTACAAAGGGTTTATTTCCCCTTGGAGGTTTTTTGACAAATCTGTAATGTTCCGCAAAAAAAAAGAAGAGAGTAGAAAGGAGGATCTGGCTACGCTGACATGCATGGTGGCGCGTGCCGGGAAGGCCGAAAGTGGACGTCAAAATTTGCTGCTCTCCTCATAGAAATGACCGTTTGACCAGTAATTCAAAATGCAGCTGCAAACTTTTTTTTTCCCCTCTACTTATTTGCTTTTTGCAGCTGCCTCTACCAGCTGTGTAAGAGCGACATGCTCTGGTGCATTTCGGACACCGGGTGGGCCTTGGAGTCGTTCGGCACTTTCCCCACCTGGCTCACGGGGGCCTGCGTGTTCCAGGCACGCATGCCCAGGTTCTCAGCCGAGACCACCCTCTCGGCAAGTCGCTTTTGTACGTGCCGTTCCTCCAAAAGGGCTGTCCGCGCGCAGGCTTCGAATATTAGGGCTGGTGCACCCACTTGCCACTGCTCACGACCGTGTGCCTTAATGACTTCTGAAATCTTTTAACGAGGGAATACATTGGCGTCATCTATTGGGCAGCTGTGGAACACTTGGGTTTTTTTTTTTACAGCGGAGCTGTTAAGGGCTAGGTTCCCCAGGATTGTGTCCGGTATGTCAACACAAACCTACCTAGACAGCTACCGCCATCTATAAGTGACAGTATGGTTTACGGCGGAAACCAGTATGGTTTCCGCCGTCACTTGTAGATGGCGGCAACCTTTCCAGCTATCATAGGAAAATGGATAGTTGGGCGCGCACTAGCACCACCAGAGCTTCGCCCCAATCAACATCATTCACCACGTGGAGATGCGGTTTTCTTTTTTTGCCCTACATGAGCACGGGAGCATGTGCTCTTGTAGGGGAAAAAAAAAAAAAATCGTATCTCCTCGTGGGAAATGATGTTGATTTGGGCAAAGCTCTGGTGGTGCTTGTCTGCGTAGACGCTGAGCCGCAGCATGCCGAGCCTTTCGTTCGTTTTCATCCATGTCAGAAAGAGAATGTGTGGTATGGAATGTGGTTATGTACGCATTTGAGCATTTGACCGCAGCGTGACATGGATGGAAAAGAACGAAAGGCTCGGCATGCTGCGTCTCAGCGTCTACGCAGAGAAGCATTACCAGAGCTTCGCCCCAATCAACATCATTCACCACGTGGAGATGCGGTTGTTTTTTTCTTAGTGAGAGAGTACATCTGAATAGTGTCCACGCCTCTATTCAGTTCACCTGCAAACATGAAACTGACAGCACCTTGCCGTTTTTAGGTGTATGTGTCCATAGAAAGAGTGAACCTTTCTTTAAGATGAAGACATCCGTACATCGTAAGCCATGTGACACACAAAACTTTCTTGTCTACCACTCTCATCACCCTACTCAGCACAAAAGCTCAGTTGTGAGATCGTTACTTCATCGTTCAGAAACAGTCCCATTTAACTCATCACTTAGCAATCAAGAACTTAGCCATGTGCAGGAGGCTTTGAAGGAACGTAACTACCCCGACTGATTTATCAACTTTGTAAGAAACAAATGTCCCTTCAGCGCGCGGATCGAGCTGAACGGACATGTGACGTCGTATGCATCCTATACATTTAGAAGGTTTCGAAGGTACGTGGGCCGATAAGGGTATGGACTGTTTACAAACCCTACAGAACAATTGCCCACGTTATCTCGAGGCCAAAAGACCCCATCCCTTCAGAGACAGAAAGGGGCACGATCTACCAGATGCAGCGCAAGGAATGGGACGCTTCCTACATTGGAGAGAAGGGACGAAAAAGAAAAACTAGACCAAAAATTAGCGGAAAACAAACAGCGCAAGGACAAGGACAGAGTAGAAGGCGGTAGACACACACAGCGCTGACTTACAACTGAGTTGTAAGTCAGCGCTGTGTGTGTCTACCGCCTTCTACTCTGTCCTTGTCCTTGCGCTGTTTGTTTTCCGCTAATATGAATGACCAACTAGCCCAATCGTCGACACTACTGAAGACCAAAAAACACGCACGAAACGTCGCCAAGGCCACGAACGCCGCCCGCTTCAAATCTGAACTCGTCGACCACGCATGGATGTCAGTCCACCAATTTGACTTTGACTTTGGTGAGGGAGAAAAGGTGGGTACCGAGAAAGCTGCTGGAACCTTGGTTCATCCAAAACGACAAATGCGGAAGTGACTCTTCGCTGGTCAACAAGAACCAAGGCGCCCTGCCGGATGTGTACACAAACTTCATGCCTAAATAGCCAAACTTTCCGTTTGACTCGTTTGCTCCTTCCGTTACGGAAGATGTCTCCCACATGGGAGGCGAAACGTTTAATTAAATTGTAATTTTTGTTGTGTCAAGCCGTTTTTGTTATTACAATTATCATAGTTTATCTTGAGGCCATAAACATTTGTTTAGTTCCTTTTTGGTTTGTATAGTTTGCACAGCTATGGTTTTTACCAGCTCTTTAACCTGGAAGAAGCTTTCCAATATCGGTGCATATGCATAGCAGTGCAAAAGGCATAGTCCTGATACAACCATTCACACTAGGTGCTGCTACTTAGGGAGCTCAACCATTTAAGCCCCGTTTTGTAATGACTTGCATTCTTTCTTGGGATGTGTGTGTGAACTCCTCCTTCTTCAACAGATGCTGTGTGACTATCCAATCACCAAGCTGTCCGCACCACCCACAGTGTACCGTGCTCTGCTGCAACTGGACCCATCACTCTTCAAGTTTAGGTCTTTGAATGGCTGCGTCTCCGCCGGAGAGCCCATGGTGAGAAGTTGAAGAGCACGGCCACAGTTTATTTTTATTTAGCGTGAAAGGTGCTAGTACATTTCAAACATTTCGTGTCAACTAATCTTGAATAGCTCTGGCATTCCAATGTTGGTCATTGCATGTCCCAACTTGCATCCTTTTTTTTTTTGGGTGCATGAGCTAGGATTTGGGAAAAAAATGCGTACCCGGATGTTGACAGAAAACTCTCTATTGGTAATGGCAACTATGAATAAACAAAAATAAAAATGAAAGCCGTTTACAACCTCCTGTAACACCGAATTAGAGCGCAGCTCCTGATGAGGAGGAGGGAAGGGTACTGAGGGTCACTTGTTCTCAACGAAGAGGGGGGGGGGGGGGGGGGGTCACGTGGCCCCCAGAAAAATATTTTGATAGATTTAGCGGGGAATTTTTTTTCCTCTAGATTTAGCGGGAAACTTTTTCCACTAAATCTAGCGGGAAACTTTTTCCGCTAGATTTAGCGGGGAATTTTTTCCACTAGATTTAGCAGGTAAATTTTTCCGCGGGGAGTTTTTTCTGCTAGATTTAGAGGGGAAATTTTTCCGCTAGATTTAGCGGGGAAATTTTTCCGCTAGATTTACTGGGGAAATTTTTCCGCTAGATTTTGCGGGAAATTTTTTCCGCTAGATTTAGCGGGGAAATTTTTCCGCTAGATTTACTGGGGAAATTTTTCCGCTAGATTTAGCGGGAAAATTTTTCCGCTAGATTCAGCAGGGAAATTTTTCCGCTAGATTTAGCAGGGAAATTTTTCTGCTAGACTTAGCAGGGAAATTTTTCCGCTAGATTTAGCGGGAAAATTTTTCTGCTAGATTTAGTGGGGAAATTTTTCCGCTAGATTTAGCGGTGAAATTTTTCCGCTAGATTTAGTGGGGAAATTTTTCCGCTAGATTTAGTGGTGAAATTTTTCCTCTAGATTTAGCGGGGAAATTTTTCCGCTAGATTTAGCAGGAAAATTTTTCCGCTAGATTTAGCGGGAAAAGTTTTCTGCTAGATTTAGTGGGGAAATTTTTCCGCTAGATTTAGTGGTGAAATATTTCCGCTAGATTTAGTGGGGAAATTTTTCCGCTAGATTTAGCGGTGAAATTTTTCCGCTAGATTTAGCGGGGAAATTTTTCTGCTAGATTTAGCAGGGAAATTTTTCCGCTAGATTGAGCGGGAAAATTTTTCTGCTAGATTTAGTGGGGAAATTTTTCCGCTAGATTTAGTGGTGAAATTTTTCCGCTAGATTTAGTGGGGAAATTTTTCCGCTAGATTTAGCGGTGAAATTTTTCCGCTAGATTTAGCGGGGAAATTTTTCCGCTAGATTTAGCAGGAAAATTTTTCCGCTAGACTTAGCGGGGAAATTTTTCCGCTAGATTTAGCGGGAAAAGTTTTCTGCTATATTTAGTGGGGAAATTTTTCTGCTAGATTTAGCGGGCAAATTTTTCCGCTAGATTTAGCGGGCAAATTTTTTCGCTAGATTTAGCGGCGTATTTTTTCCGCTGGATTTAGCGGGGAAATATTTTCCGCTAAATCTAGTGGGAAAATTCATCCGCTGGATTTAGCGGGGAAATTTTTGCGCTAAACTTAGCAGGGAATTTTTTCCGCTAGATATAGCGGGGAAATTTTTTCGCTAGATTTAGCGGGGAAATTTATCTATAATGCACCGTGCGGTTACGCCGACGGCAACGCCGCTCATACCGGAAACGGGCGCCTAAGAGCTGCGCTCTAAAAGAGGGGGCAACCAGTGTGAATCAGCCTTCCTTGGCATTATTAGACAGTGAGCTCCTGATCTCTTGTTATCATCTCTAGGCACCGTCCTCGAGGTCGTCCTAGAAGCGACCTTGAGGTCGTCTTAGGCGTCGTCCTTGAGGTCGTCTTAGAAGTCAACCCTAAGGTTGTCTTAGAAGTCCGTGAGGTCGTTCTCTAGGCGTCGTCCTCAAGGTCATCTTAGAAGTAGTCCTTGAGGTCATCCTAGATGTCGTCCTCTAGGCGTCCTTGAGGTCGTCCTAGACGTCATCCTCGAGGTCATCCTAGAAGTCGTCCTCTAGGCGTCGTCCTTGAGGTCGTCCTAGACGTCGTCCTTGAGCTCGTCCTAGATGTCGTCCTCTAGGTGTCGTCCTAGAAGTCATCCTGGATGTTGTCCTAAACGTCGTCCTCTAGCCATCGTCCTAGACATCATAATAATACCAGCTTTGCTGGTCCTCCATCATCACGTGAAGCGGAAGGGCTCTTCAATTTTTATTGTTTTGTCTATTCATTTTACCCCTATAGGCCCTTTCGGGCATTACATAAGGGGGGACATAATACAAAGATTGGTACAACTGAACCAAGTGGCAACAAAAAAAGACTGCAAAGATAAAAAATAAAGGTACAAAGCATAAATGGACAGTACAGAGCATTTGGTGCAAGTTTGTCTTTCAAACATAAGATATAAAAAAGTTTGCACACAATAAAAACATGTACATCAGAAACAGGGCGCTGACAACAACAAATATTGCCTGGATACGAGACCATTTGAGGTTTAACATGTTTAGAGCGGAGACGAAGGACTGATGGTAGCAATTTCTTTGGGTAGGGTGTTCCAGTCCGATATAGCGAGCAGTAGTAGAAATAATAATTGGGGTTGTGTGGATATTTAGACATGTCAGTCATTTCAAAATTGCGACGAGTCACTCACTGTACATGAAAAATTTAGCCAGTGCAGTACAATTGCTAGCCTGGAGTCTTTAAAGTGCACCACACAGTAGTGGTACATGACTGCACGCCGGTACGATGCTCATCCAGATCGAAGAAACGGGCAGGGGTAAAAATTGAACCCAGGATCTCTGGGTTCCGCAGTGCAAGCTTCCGCTCGACATACTCTGAGCTGGTGTACGCTAGCCCACTCAGCCACCAATCCCACCCAAGCAGTAGCGGAGAGTTTTTAAACATGTTGGTTCGTTCAAATATGGGGTTAATTTTGAAAGGGTGGTCTAAGTGTGACAACATATGGTGAGCTGGTAGTAGGAAGGAGTCACTAAAAGGCGAGGGACTGTAATGAAGTTTATGAATAAATGATAAGCATGTGCGATGCCTTCTTGTATGAAGAGGTGACAAGTTAAGTCAATGTTTTGAACTGCTTACACTTGTGAATTGGGAGCAGTCACAAGCTATAAATCTAGCAGCTTTGTTTTGAAGAAATTCAATCTTCTGTACTACTTTTCAATCAACTGCACTACCATTGTAGTAGAAGTTGCTTGCTGCAGCTGCTTTGTCACAATGTGTTACGCTATAATGATACATGGCAGCGTTGCATGGGTACAGTATCTCATGGCGCATAGCTCCAACATTTCAGTGTTGTTAGTAGCATGTCCCAATTTGTAACCTTTCACACAATCTTGCGACTGCTCTATTCCAGTGTCGCGTGGCAGCTATTTTGTTGCGACATGTCGCACCGCACTGATACATGGCAGTGTTGCATGGGTGCAGTATATCAAAGCATTGCATTTCTTCAACATTGCAGTGTTGTTAAGGGGGGACACTACCCAGAAAAAACAATTTTGGCAAAAAAAGTTGATTTTAAACAGTGTCATATTTACATCCACCAACACCTAGAGAGTATTCCCAGAAAGTTTCATTAGTTTACACTGCATAGTTAATTTTTTATAAATTATTTTCGGTCCTCCGATGCTAAAGAAAATGCAGGGGTTGGAACACTTTGAACACATTTTTCTCCGTTCCACTTTTTGGCTTAAATTTCACTTTAGGAAAACTATCATTTGTTTTTACGTAACTTGGATTCATTTTTATGAGTTCGTCTAGAGTGAAATTTAAAGGGGAAGATAGCTATGAGCTTGTATTTTTTTTTATTTTTGTCATTTTTCATGCTCAAGAATGAAAATTTTGGTCAAAGAATGGAAATCTAAGAAACAGTATTTGAGTTTATCTGGCTTTTTTGTCATGAAAGATGGTATAATATAGAAATATAGCTTCATACCTATCTGCTCTGGACTGTCCTAAAGCAATATAACACATGAAAACGCCAAATTTGTTAGTATTTTGAAAACAATAGTTTTTCTACACAGACATGCCCACTTTCATCTTTAAACATACATTTGCAATTTTTTGTACTTCACGCAGGTTAACAACATTTGGCAGAAATGTTCTCAACATCAACAGAAACAAGCCCTGTAAATGTCATTTAAATCAGACAAGTGGTTCAAAAATTCACTTTTTTGGGTAGTGTCCCCCCTTAAAACCATGTCAGGGTTTGCAATGTTTCATGCACATTGCAGAAACACATAGACTGGCTTCTATGAAACGTGCAATGTTGGAAGTTATGTGCAACGGTTTTGTAAAATCAGGCAAGTGGGTATGTGGTAATTGGCACGACCGTCCTGTCATGCCACACACGTGTGCGTTGTCCAGCATGTCATATGTCTTTCTGTCCTTGCAGCATCCTGAAACGGTGCTTCAGTGGTTTGACAGAACAGGACTTCAAGTCAGAGAAGGCTATGGTCAGACCGAATCGGTACGTCTCTTCGGCTTGAATCGCATCAGCATTTATTTTTTTATGCTATAGGGAGTTTCCAAACTTTGACTTCAAGACCACATTTACAGTCCTTTGCGTGTCACTGTTCTGCTTTCTCAGTTTCATGAAACTGACTGGCACATCATTTACCAGGTAGCCCTGGAACTGCACATAAAAGGTTGCGAAAATGAGAGCTTTTGGAGTATTTGGATATCAACGCTACGGCACTATTTATAAGAAATAGACATTTATAACATTGTCAGAATTATTTTGATGCCATGATGAGAAAATGATGTGTGAAAAATGATAAAAATATATAAGCAGATTGCGAGTTTCTAAGGATGGGCGCCAGTGTGGCGGGGTGTTCTCTCGTCATGAACGGCTGCAACAAATCGCAATACACTCGAACACAAACATGTGAACTGGTTTTAATTAGGTGCTTGGCCTTACCGACATATATTAGGACGGTCTTTAACTGTAAAGTGTTCTTGCTGAACCTTGACTGCACCACAGGTGGTTCTTAGCGCCAGCCCTGTTGACAAAGTCAAGCCAGGCTCGATGGGTCTTCCAGCACCAAATGTCACAATACAAGTGAGCATTATGGCCTTTTTGTCTACGAGTCGTTCAGGTTTGCTAATCGTAAAAAGTACTGGCGTACGGTGGCATAGCCAGGGGAGAAACTTATTAAACCTCATTCCCCCCCCCCCCCCCGAAAAAAAGAAAATCCTGGCTACGTTATTGCTAGCATATAGACTACAAGTGCAAAGGTTGCAGAGGAAAGGGGGGTATGTTGTTTGAACAATGACTGATGCACCCCTTTCTCAAGTAGCTTAACCTGAGTTGAGCACATAGATGTTGTTTTCTTAAAGGGAAACTCGCTTCTCTTAAAAAATGAGATAGAGGTTGATTCTTTGCATAGTTTTATCTGTGAATCATGTTAATGTTTTTGCCCCGAAGATGTAACTAAACGCGAGAAAACACAAGAAACCTTCAACCAGTCGTAATGTCATAAGAGAATCTTTCGACCGCCAACTTGCCACTCGAGTGACAACGACTTGTCACTCGAGGGCCGCGCGTGCGATTACAACCTTGCCAGGTATATTCCCCGCACTGGTACCAGTCATGACGTCTTCTGCCCCTTTTAGAAATGGCAAGAGTGCGCGTGCATGGCTTTGAGAGGCGCTGAAGATGTACAGTAGTAGAGATTATGAAAACCCCTTTTGTGACGTCACGCTTTGGGAAAAGGAGGGCCTTCAGCGATACTTTGAAAATCATTTTCTGCAGCCTCAATGCACCAAATATTTTTAAAAAAATTTTGTTATTCGAGATTTTGGTGGTTGAATGAAGACAATTTAAGTGTGTTTCCTCAAATACAAAACCGCTTCAGCTTCGCTTTCAGCAGGACTTTGGGAATCTAGTTGTAGGCGGAGCCAGCAGATGGCGGTGGTTCTCGGGAAGAATGTTGACGGTGCTCTTTGTTGACATTCTGCAGATTCATGACGACGAAGGGCTAGAGCTTGGCCCTAGCGAAATTGGTCACATAGCTGTGGCTACGACTCCGAGAAAGCCTTTTGGCCTGTTCACCTGCTACAGGGTAAGGTTTGCTGGTCTCATATTGCACAATATGAAAAGAGATGAAAAGTTCTCTATCAAAAGGAAGTCATTTTAATGCTCAATTGTATTTTTTGTCTGCTGCCAGCTTGCTTGTACCGCCTCGTCCGCAAGTTATTTGTTATCTTGTGCTTCTGTCGCTTTAGTTGCAACTGGCTCAAAAGTTATATATGCTGCAAGGCTACTGTCTCGTGCATCTACTGTGTGTTGAAATACAGATTTTTTTTTTACAAGCACCAGATGGTCCTTATTGTTTTGCAATAGTAGCAGGTGACCTCATTGGCTGCAGGTCATATTAATTTTCTTCGTATCACTCATATGTACGCAGTTTTCTTTTTTCAATTCATGGACTGGGATCACATCAAGCCACATCAAACCGGGTTATGTCAGACCGCATCACGCCAGCACGCAAAAGCACACCAGACCCCGCATCTGAATTTCCAGTCTGATGTAAACGTCAAAAAAAACACCAGAACCCGTAGACGCAAGGACCTAACAGAACCTGCATCTGAATTTCCGTTCTGGTGTAAATGTAAAAAGAACACCAGAACCCAGTCACACCAGAAAACAACAGCATATGCAGAACCCGCATCTAAATTTCCATTCTGATTTAAACATAAAAAAACTCTAGAACCCAGTCTGGTGGATATTTTGATAGGGATGTGTAAGTGGTTGAATTTTAGCTGCACTCGCAGGATTATGTAATCATTCTCACAGTGTTTATACCAGAGCAAAACAGTTGCTTTTATTCTTGAGGAAGTGCAGTCTGTGATTGCTGTGCTCTTTGGTAGTCTGACCCAGTGGTTTAGTGGGGGACATATGGCACCAAAACAATTACTAAAAAATAAGGTTTTATTTTTAAAACAAAGCTGTTATGGTCTAGGATCTGGGAAAAAATGTGTCTGCTGATGTTGACAGAAAACTCCCATTGGTCGTAACAAGTATGAATAAATAAAAATAAGAAAAGGGGGCAACCAGTGTGGGTCAGCCTTCCTTGGCATTAATATATTGTGAGGTCCTGATCCCTTGTTATCATCTCTAAGCATCATCCTCGAGGTTGTCCTAGAAGCCGTCCTTGAGGTCGTCCGAAAGGTCGTCCGAGAGGTCGTCTTTTAGGTGTCATCCTTCAGATCGTCCTCAAGTTCGTCCTAGAAGTCGTCCTCGAGGTTGTCCTAGAAGTTGTCCTTGAGGTCGTCCTAGATGTCCTCTAGGTGGCGTCCTTGAGGTCGTCCTAGAAGTCGGGGTATCTGAGCAGTAATTAAGAATGAGCGTGTTCGAGAGTAGATATGGGTGGTGTGAATATTGGTCAATAGATGTGAATATGAAAGAGGTTGAAAAGAAGTTCTTGTTTCTGTCCCCGTCCTCGGTGTTTTATCCTTTCATGTATTGGTATCTAAGTTTCTATACTCGTTTTCCCCTCAAGAGAAAAGGAGGTTTTGCGTATTGTTCATACGCCACACAAAGTAGTTCTTACAAGATTTGGTTCTCAGAGGAAGAAGGGGTACTTTTGGCATTTGAAACGTGTATGTCTTGATAACATGTATCTAGTTCAAAATGCACCTACATATATCTGAATTCTCTACATATGGGGTGTCCCAAGTCACCAGGCTTGATATAAAATGGACAGTAAAAATCGACGCCTGCACGTAGCAATCAGCTTTTCGTCAAAGGTGTATTTCACATGTCAGTTTTTTCTTGTAAAATTAAAAAGGGTAGCTCTCTTTCTGTAATAAATAGGGCCAACAAACTTGCCAGGGTCAATGGCGGGCAGCGAGGCAGACGACCAAGTCGAGTGGCGGGGCGTGCTTGGCACTCGTATTGATAGATGGCGCTACATCCTTGTCGAGATGGCTCGCGACCACCGTGGTTTATTAAAGGGGCACTGACACCTCAAAGGTTGTATATTTTTTTTTGTTGTATAAAACGATGCAAGTTGTAGTTCTAGACATGCAAAAAGATACCGCAACGCCAAAAAAAAAAATTTCCTCACGCCCGAGCTTTTTTATTTTTGGCGTTTTTCTCTTCCGCCCCTCACCTCCTCGCTTCTTTCGATTTGTGACGTCAAATATTATGAAACTTGGAAGCTTTGTAAGCGACATTTCTCGAACATTTAATAACGGCATTCATAAGACATGTCTTTTTAACACTATTGCGAACACACTACGGCCCTTCTTTTTGAAATACCGAAGATCGAAGTCCGAGGTGATGTCGCCTCCTGGCTTTTCCTCGTCACTCGAAAAGCATGGTAGCACTCTATGCATATAGCAGAGAATGATAGGTGACTCGGGGAATCGGATGAAGTTCTCTTTTTTATGTGCCCGACGACCTCTCAGACTTCGAAAAGGAAATCATCAAATGGTCAAAACAACTGGGTCTGGTGTATGTGTATGGTAGTTTCGGTTATGGCTCCGCCGGGCAGCCTTTCTTGCAGAACCGGGGCAACATGGCCCTTCACATCGCTCACAAAAGTCAACTGCGCGGTCTCCTTGACCTCACGCCGTTTTAAAGAATTTGAGATCGCTGAAAGGGCCCTAAAAGAACTTCAAACTCAAAAGTCAAGTGTTGTCTGCTCGCAGCGATTGGCGGCACGCCCGGAGAAGGGTGGTTGATTGCGGGACGCGGGAGAACACGACACTTTCTTCGGCGTTTCGGCGGAGGCGTCGGAAAAATTTTACTTGCAGGACGGCTCTATATTTTATGTCACTGCACTGGCGCGGATTGCGCAGGAACTTCAAATTCGGCATTTGGAAAAATTGTTTTTTTACTTCGCAAATACTGAATTCCCAAATTTCTAATTTTGAAGTTAATGTCCAGGCATGCTTTTCAATTGTTTCAGATAGTGAAAAAAAAATGATTTTGACATGTCAGTGCTTTTTTAAAATGAACATAACTGTTTTGTAATGTACCTTTGGATAAAAAATAAACGCAAACAATAAAAGCAAAACTTAAATTTAAAAAAAAAAAGTGTCTGCATAATGACGACGCTCTCGCTGCCAACGGATTTTGTGTGCGTGTCGTCTGCTTTCTTTCGCTGGTTGGCTGCACCTTTCGACGCTGCTCCCGACGCCATCTATCAATACGCGCGCCAAATGCGCCCCACAACTCGACTCAGTCGTCTGCGTCGCCTCCTGCCGTTGACTTTGGCAAGTTCTTTACTGTGGAGCTGTTAAGGGCTAGTTTCCCCAGTTTCGTGTCCGTCACCAAATAAATGTCGACACAAAACTTTGTACAGCTGGTTTTTACCAGAGGGGAAAGGCTGAATTTCTCTAGACGTCGTCGTCGAGGTTGTCCTAGAAGTCATCCTAGACATTGGCCTTGAGGTCGTCCTTGAGGTCGTTCTGGACATCGTCTTAGGCGTCGTCCTTGAGGTCGTCCCTGAGGTCATTCTAGGCGTCATCCTCTAGGCTCTAGGCATCGCCCTCAAGGTCGTCCTAGAAGTCGTCCTTGAGGTCGTCCTAGACGTCGTTCTTGAGGGTTTCCTAGACATTGTCCTAGATGTTGTCCTCTAGGCGTCCTACTTGAGGTCATGTAAGAAGTCGTCCTTGAGTCTGTCCCATCATAGTACAGCTTCGCTCGTCTTCCTTCTTCACCAGAGTGGAAAGGCTAAAAGCTTTTTGTCCCCATTTTAACAGAAAGGGAGCTACGCTTTGTAATTTTACAAGAAAAAACTGACTTGTGAAATACACTTCTGACGAAAAGTTTAGACTGCTACGTGCAGGCCTCGATTTTTACAGCGTAGCTGTTAAGGGCTAGTTTCCCCAGGATCATGTCCGCCAGCAAACAAATGACGACACAAAACTCTAGACAGCTACCGCCATCTATGAGCGACGGTGGCAACCAGAAAACTGGCTTGCCGGTTGTCTGGTTGCCGCCATCGCTCATAAATGGCGGCTATTTTTCCAGCCTTTCCGCTCTGACTTGCCAACTTGCGGCAAGCCATTTACTTCATTCCCACCATAGTACAGCTTCGCTGGTCTTCCTTCTTCACCAAAGGGGAAAGGCTGAACGTTTTTACGGTCTATTTTAGATAGAACCTGGTGACTTGGGTCACCCTTTATAAGGGGAAATTAATGGTGCACTGCGAGGAGCCGGACGTTTTTTACTTCGGTTCTTGAAGTGAAAACAAGTATAGTGCAGATAGAAATAGTATAACTTTTTGTCAATATCCAGTTTAATACGTAAAGTGTACAATGTCAAGAGCAGATTGAAAAAAATTAAATAAATAATTGCGTTGCGTGTATGTGCAGACAACTGGAAGTTAGTCAGGCCCGATGGGCGTCTAATGTCTCAGTTGTAGACGAGAAATTTAGCCAGCGCAATCAAACCGCTAGCCAGGGGTCTTTAACGTGCACCATGCAGTAGTGATGCACGACCGCGCGCCAGTACGACGCTCATCCAGACGGAAGCGGGCAGAGGTGGGGATTGAACCGCCGGAGCTTTCGGTCCACACACTACGAGCCATGGTGCGTTAACACCCTCGGCCACCGACTCCTCCAAGACCAATTCTGGAAAGGTATAACTTAAAAGCTTGCTTTAATAAATGAGCCAAATCCAAACTCCAGCTAGTTCAAGGAAGCAACCCACAAGTTCAGTTAAGAGTGCACTACCGAACCTTGCCCAGTCCAAAACGAACCAAAACAAAGTCCTCAGAACACCCAAGAACCTCCGCCAGCATAGTTTATGCACATTCTTGCATTGTCGAAGAGGGTGAGACCTTTCTAGAAACAAAAATAACTCCTCACTGCCTATGTAGAAAGACAGAAGAAAAATGGTTTCCGAAATCGAGCAGAAGCACCTTTCCTCCAGGATGAACCAAGCAAAACTGAGAAGGCATTTCGGAACGGCTTCTACTACACGGGCGACAAGGGCTACAAGGACAATGATGGCTACCTCTGGTTCTATGCTCGAGCAGACGACGTCATCATCTCAGCAGGGTATGCTCCTTAATTTTCAGATCAGCAAAAGTTGATTCAGGAGAAAAAAAAAAAAAAAACGAAACTTGATTTCTTGGGTAGTTTTGCATTTGCCTCGAAGAAACATGTGACATGTAATTACAACTGTGGTATGATATTGAAATCATTGCTTACACAATATAAGGAGATCCATAAACCTGAATTTCACAATTTTTTGAAAAAAATAATTTTTTTAAATTTTAGGTTTTTAGTTTTAGAAATTAATTATACAGTAAAACCTCGTTATAACAAAACAGGATATAGCAAACTAATGGATATAACAAAGCAATCATAATTCCCCTTGCTTGCTAATAGTGGGAAGAAATGGACATTGGCTATAACAAACTAATGGTTATAACGAAATAATTACGACCGCTCCTTCAACTTTGTTATAACAAGGTTTTACTGTACACCCTAACACTAAATTTGATAGTCATATACCAAATAGTTAAATCGATATAAAATATTTTCAACACATTGTGAAGCAGTAACAAAGAATGCATTTTTCTCAGTTCCATTTTTTGATGCAAAGTTCATACAAAGCAATCTCTTGTTTAAAGGTAAAAGTATTCTGGTACCACAATCAAGATGTTTCTGAACTGAAATTTGCTGGAGAATTGAGCTATCTACTTTATTTTGTTTTAAGTTGAAGTCCTCATTGAGAAAGAACTATGTTTTAAAAGATTGACTTAGGACAGATATGCATCTCATATTGCATGTTATTACTTCTCCGGGCAAGCATAATGGGTGACGTCAGCAACGTTTCCTCTCGGCGCACCTGCGCAGCGCGCTTCTTAGGAGCCGTCCGGCCGCCTCGCTGTAATCCCGCCGTTAATGCCGTCTTTCGCGTCACAACTGCTGTCGTCGTCTCACCGTTTGTGATTATTGTCTTTCGGAGTTTCACCCACACTATGATTACTATATGCGCAGACTTATGCCGCAGTTGTTCAGATGTCGTCAAATGTCGTAGCCACCAAAACGTGCTGAAGAGTGCGATACAGACGACACTTGCGCCTGGCAGACGCCCACCCCAATCCCTCCCGTTGTTGCGTAGAGAGTCACATGACATCTCGTACCACGTGATGGCCATGTTCTTGGCTGCCCGAGGCCAATGTTGCCTGACAGAGCCGAGTTTCGTTTTCGATTCCTGCTCGTGTTTAAAATTTGATTTAAAGATATATATCCCATTTTTCGCGAAGCAAATGATGTAGTGTCTTTTACTAGGGCTTTTTATTGCGAAACCACTCATTATCCCGAGTTCTTTGGAATTGAGTGGGGTTGCCCTTTAAAAGGACACTGGCACACCCCAATATTTTTATTTTTATTTTTTTCAGGTGATTCATTATGGGTGTCCGAAGGCTACCCAGCCAATATTTTGCTACGGCGTCACATACAGCTTTGATAAGGGCAAAATATGCCACTGCTCGAAACCATAACTGAAACTGAACGGGGAAGGAAGAAGATAGAGGAGGAGAAAGTTACCTAAAGTCACGTGGCTGTGCAACTTTTTTTTTTCATTCAACATATTCATTTATTTATTTATCCAATGCCCGCAGCGTCTTTCGGCATTACCGCGGGGGGGGGGGATTTGGGTTGGGTTAGGTTGGGTATGCCAAACGTTACTTGAATACACACAAGCAGGCTTTTTGTGAAGTGTAGTTAGGTTAAATGACGACAAGAGTAGTACTTATACACACGGAAGCAAATCACAACTTCGCAACACGCAGCATTCCTCTTTATCAACAAATGACGGCTGGATTGTTTATGTACATCGAAGCAGATTTCGAATCCGCTACACACACTGCACAACTTTTATTTTAGCAACTTAACCGATTCCAAGGCATTGTTTGACAAAATTTATACTGCAGCAGAAGGTAACCGGTTCCATTGGCAAATTCTTTTCGAGAAGAAAGCACTACTAAAAACTGCAGTCCTACATCTGTACTCACGAACCTTATGAACATGATCCATTCAGGTGGATTGATAATGTGGTGAAAAAAGATAGGTGTCACATGGGATTCCGGTTTGGGAATGATATATAGTACTATGAAAAAACTTCAAGCAAAGCTTTGTTTTAAGGTTTTCAAGTGTATCCCACTGTAGAGTCTGTTTTGCATCTGACACACTAAAATCTCTATCTTTTATAGAACTTCCCAATACATAGCGGGCCGCAAAGTTTTGCATCTTTTCTAGTTTATCAGTGATATAAAGTAAGAAGAGTAAAGTTTGCAGCTTTTTAAAAGCCGCAAAGAAAGGGTGTCATATTTTTTGTATATTTTTAGTATTGGGTGTGTGCCTTCAATGATTCATGACTGATTATCTTCAGTGGTTGTCTCTAAACCATAGAAAACGGCACGTGACCACGTTGAAGAGAGTAAGCGCGACTCAAACTGGCCAGTTTTCGTTTGGTGGTTTTCGGGTGGAAAGAAAACGAATTTCGAGCTGCAAGTTGTGTTCTTGGAAGTTGGGCCCTCATATGCAGCGTTGTAACTATTGTTACAAGCAACGACATTACTGGTAACACGTTAGTTGTTTTTATTAACATACTAACTTAATCGTTAGAATCCAAAATAACTAACGAGTAAAGTAATGTTATTATTTTACGGTATCTCCTATCAGATTACGTTACCCGTTACTCGTTACTTTTGATTAAAAGTGGCCGCAGGATTGTTTAAAAACAAAATAATTTTCTGTACACTACGTAAAAGTGGCAAAGAAACCCGAACAAAGCTATGTATAAGCGGCGTCATTTCAAACTTCTTCGGAATACACTTTTAACGTTCCCACGACCAGGACCAAAAAGCACGAGATTATCGCTGCGCAGAACCCCTAAGCGTCCTTGGTGCAGTCTTTGTATAGAAGCTGCTAAGACCACCGTCGCTGTAGCCTGAGCAGCCGTCTCGCTGGAAAGAGACATCCTTTCAGAAGGCAACAGTCTGCCGCCGCTCGAAGGATTTTCCTCAGCGTCACTCCGGCTGGTCACATCCTTCTCTTCAAAACAAATAAGTTCTCGTTCTGTAAACAACAGAGAGGATGAACTCTAACTTTGGAAGTGTTGACGTTCCCGTGCTTTGAACCAAAAGAAATCTGTCAGTGGTGGCCGAGTGCTGATGTGTCGTTAATTGGAAATGCGACGTTGGTCTGTGAAAGAATAAAATATTGTTTATTTTACCGGATTAGCTTTGATTACAACTTTGATTACATAAAGAGGTCTATTTTCAGAGTGGTTTCTTCTTCCCAGGCAGGTGCTATGGGCAAGGTGCAATTCTCGGAATCGCGCTTAAGAAGCGTCAAGCGTCCGTGAATGTACATTACAGATTCTGCCAAGGCCAGAAAAACAAGCTGGCCCAGTTAATAAGTGGCAATGTTATTGCAGCATTGAATGGCGACCATCACCAGAAAGACGTCACCATCTTTTAGAATCCCTGCCTGCCTGTGCTGTTTGTGCGAGTTTCCAACGTAGAAATGCGATCTGTACCTGCTGTAATGCACCAGCACTGCAGAGTACAAATAAATAAATAAATGATCACTCTAACAATTGTATTGTTGCCGAAGTTTATAGAGGTGGGTTATTACAAACAGCTGTCATATACTATCGGTGAAACACAAAGTAGCGACAAACTAATGTAAAAGTGACGTCCGTTAGTCATGGCAAGTAACGACACCGGTGTTTCGTTACATTTGCAAAATGGTAACGCAGCTCTGTAACGCGTTAGTCTTTTTTCCAAGCTAACGAGTAACGCTATTTCGGTTCTCATTCTCGGTAACTGGCACAACACTGCTCATATGTCATGTGAAAATAAAAACCTTGGCCACCATAAACACCCTGTCAGTGTCCCTTTAAATGTGAACATCTTTGGCAGAGATCTGTCTAATTTAATTAGGAATAGACTGATTAAGGTTTAAAGATCTCACCAAAATATTAATACAAAAATATTATGATTTTCTATGGTCAAGCCAGTCACACTCAAAAGGAGAACTGAACTGGTTGCTTGATGCTAAGGATTTCACTGAACCGTGCCATTTATGTGAGGGCTGTGATCATACTTGGCTTCTCGGTCCCCACGTGTGTTGTCCTCAGACTGCAGTCTCGGAAATGGGGTATGTTTCTCCGGGACAATGCGTTTCACAGGGACAATGTTCTTTCTAAACATTGTTATATTGACATTGGTCAAATTCAAATACTTTCAGCCTTGGACGGTAACAGGAGGGGCCATTTTTGCAGGTATCGCATCGGACCGTTCGAAGTGGAAAGCGTCCTGGCCGAGCACCCAGCCGTTGCAGAATGCGCCGTCGTTGGCAGTCCGGATCCACACAGGGGAGAGGTTAGTTTTAGCCATCTTTTATTTTGTTTGTATTGTTACGTTGTGTAATTAATATTACAATGATGTTGCACAGGTCTGTGGAATTGAGACATTGGCTGAGACGGTTAAAATAGTTCCTACCAGCCTACCCAACATACTTTAAATGATTCACAAAAATAAAAATAATTGAATGTGTACACTGAACCAATTCATAATCTGGGTAGGTTCATGGAAGGAAAAACTTGGCCAATTTAGAATGTGCACCGACAGTCCACTTTCTGAATTATGACTAAAAAAATTAATTTTATTCTACAGTAAACAAATATTTTCCTCAATTCAGAAAGTGGACGATGGGTCGCTGTGGCGCTTGGTTTGACAAGAACAAAGGAAGGGGAGCCAGGCAAGCAGAAGGGCTTCTGACATTTTTTTTTCATTTAAGTATTTTCCCTTGACTTGATAATTACACTGGATCGCATCCTCTGTCGCATTTTGCATTTAAGAAGTGCTGAACCGGAATTTGGATTTCGCAAAATAAAGCCACGGAAGCGCTGAATGGGATGCTACAAACTCCAAAACACCACCCACACATAGATATCTCAAACGGACTTGCCGTATTTTTGGAAGGAAGGACGCGATCCAACGAAAACTATGACATCACGATCCTCCTGGAACAGTCGAGAATGGGGGGAAGCGGCATCGCTTCTTTCCTCTTCGCTTCGGTTCACCTGCTCGAGGAGACGAAGCGAAGAGGAGAGGGAATGAGAATTGCTATGTCACACGTCTCGTCGACCCTGTTGGCCGTGTTCAATCGTGCACATCTTTTCCAAGAATATGACCATCCATTAGAGGTGTTGCTGCATAAGTGATGTTTCTGGATTTTGCAGCATCGTGTCTATCGCTCCAGCCTTGTTTCGTGGGCTCCAAATTTTGGTTCAGTATCCTTTTAAAGGCGTGCTGTCACAAAATACAGTATAGACCACTTACAACGTAACCGCTTATAGTGCAGGACCGGGTATAACGCGGTTTTTTTAAACCACCGGTTCACCTCCCATAGAACTCCATGTATTTACATACCGCTTAAAATGCAGGCGCGCGAAGGGAAATACCGGTTATAGTGCGGTTTTTGGCACAGCCCGCCGACCGCGCCGACGACCGGAGCAGCGAGCTCGCTTCCCTGTGCGACACTAGATAACGGCGCTGACGGCGCGAGCCGCAAACTGCACTCGCGGGGCATGGAGGTTGCTCGAAAACTCGGGGAGAAGCGAAGAGAGAGGCTTCTGTTGCCATAGCGACGGAGGGACGCACGCACGAGTCGTTCACGTGCGTGCGTCTCCGCTGCGTTGGAAACAAAGAAACAAACAACCGCAACGACAGACCAATCGCAGGTCGAGGAGAAGTGTTCGCGCGCGTTGCATGCCATTCCGCGAACATGGCGTCGGTTGTGATCGTCGTCGTAGACGGCGTACATCTCATCGTTCAACGTAAAAGCGCTATCCTTGACTCTGAATTTTCGTTGTGTGTCGCTATGATAACCCAGCACCTACTAGAAGGGAAGATCCACCTACTCGTGCGGCGATGTCGTGGCGGCGCTCTCAAGACGGCAGAAACGCCCGTGTCGTCGTGTTTGTTTACTTCGACTACAGTGGTGATTTCTAAGCATTTGTGTCCTCGAACATCGCCCGGATTTCTTATTTGGCGCATTTCATGCGTGTGCTCAAGTTCAAGGTATTACTGGCGCGTACCGTATGAAGGATGCGAATTTTCATGCGTTTTCATCGCAGAAGAAAAGTGATTAGGGTTAGCAATCCTGAACGCTCGCAACGTCCGTCCGCAACCCGCGACGCCGTTAAAAGGCTGCGCCAGGCAAAAGCCGCTAATTTCTTTTAAAATGTGTAACACACTTGAGACATAACTGTACTCGTCTATTGAAATAAAGACTTTCCTCAAACTAAGCTTATTTTTTCATCTAACATAAAATAAATTCTTTTACAAAGGTAAGTTGTCTCATGGCATGTATTTTGGCCTGAAAAATTGATGTTTTGGTTATAGTGCGGTACCGCTTATAGTGCGGATTTTCGCGACTCCCGAGACATACGTTATATGCGGTCTACACTGTAGTAAGTGCATTGATGTACACCGAATGTTGTTTGGAATGTTGTTTGAACTAGCATTTCGTGGCATTCAAGAGCATCGCATGCCGGAATTCGGTTGTTTGACAACCAGTTTACCCACATTGTTTGTCACTTTCAGGTGGTGAAAGCTTTTGTAGTGCTTCGAGCAAGTCATAGAAGCATTGGGGACCTGGACGGGCTTGCTGTGGAACTGCAGGAATTTGTCAAGAAGAACACGGCGCCTTACAAGTACCCCCGAAAGGTAATCTAGGGTACCTAGCAGTGTGTGCGAGATGGAAGAACCATCTCTTTTGCTGAGATATATTGCTACTGACAAGTGGTGCAATCAAAATAAACAACCAGAAGGCTTATTTTATGTAAATATTTAGTTACACTCTTGAAGAACCATATCAATGTATTGAGCACAATCACACTTTCCTAAGGTTGTGGGATCTAAGTGGTTTGTGTGGTCTGTGTCTGACAGATAGCCACCAACAACATTTAATTTCAGACTTGTTATTATTAGCAATAGTGATGCCTCAGTAAAAACAACAGCACACGCACAAAAGAAATTGGTTTGGTGATGAACTGGGAACACCAATAATTCGAGGGAATTCGTCAACCCAAAAAAGGTGTGGGTTTATCAGGGAACCAACTACCGTATTTACTCGCACAATGAACGCCACCCGCGTAATAAACGCACCTCCCAAGTCGGCTCTCAAAATTTCGACTTTTTTTTTCACTCGCGTAATAAACGCACCCCTAACTCAGACATGAAAATTTTGACCCCCTCCCCCCCACGCGCGCGATATGAACGACTTTTCTATCCTGGTGCAGCGATGTTGCGAATGCATAGGCAGCATGGGCGAAAGATAAAAAAAAGATCCAACGGAAGCAAGAAAAAAAAGCATGGAGAGGAGCTTTTCTTTTTTTCTTTTTTGCACAGCCTAGCCTGGACTTTGGGGTCGCGCGCTGTGTGCAAGGAGATAAGGAAGATAAGCGGAGAAGCCCTCGCCTAAGCAACGCCTAAGCAAATGAAACAGCTTGTGATAGGCGGCAAAGAAAAAAAAACACGGAACGAAAAGAAAAAAACAAAACAAAGAGGAGCTTTTTTTTTCTTTTTTGCACAGCGCAGTTTGGTTACGGGGTCGATCGCGCGCCGCGGCAAGGAGGTAAGAAAGAGAAGCGGAGAAGCCCTCGCCTGAGCAACGGCTAAGCAAACGAAACAGCTTGCGGAAAGGCGGCAAAAAAAAAAAAAAAAAACCCACCAAACTAAGAGAAAAAAAAAACAACAAAAAAAAAAGCTTTTTTCTTCTTTTTTTTTTTTTTTTTTTTTTTTGCACAGCGCAGTTTGGTTAGGGGGTCGCGCGCAAGGAGATAAGAAAATATTAGCCCCGAGAGCGAGCACGAGCACGAGCACAAGCGTCACTGAGGTCGCCGCGCCCGGATTGGGTGAGGTGTACTGTGACGTCAGGGGGAGTACTCCGCTCCGCGATCTCGCATCTGCTCGCTTCCCAGCACCGGTTTCCTGGTTTGGCGTTGTGTGCCGCAAGCTCTGCGAGGAGCTGGACTTCGTTTACCCGGTGTACAAGACGTTGAGTTAGGCCGGTATTGACGTGCTTCCATATATTTTATAAGCCTGCTTGTCCCTTTTACCTTAAAAATTGGGTTACAAATCCCGAAAGCTTTCGGCGGAGGCAATTCCGCCGATGAACCTCCCCGTCCGTCCACACAACACAAGGCAATCTTGCGAGGGGTCGGTGAAGCAATGGCGCAAGCGTTTCAGACGCTGGAATTCTGTTCCTTGCACGTGCATGACTTAAAATGATATTAGATACCGCTTTCAAGGCATTTGAAGTGGCATTTATATCATGGGCCTTTGGGTGGTCGGCAAAGTAGCTCGCGACCCTGACTCTGCGCTGCCACTCTGCATGCGCTGGTTCGCAGATGTTTTAAAGGCCGTGCGTCTGATGATCTTGAAAGTGCTCATGGAACAGGGTTGTGTTACATAAATGTAGCTTCTTCGCGAATTAATTATATAGTTTATACATGTATGCAGGCATATTTTTTAGAAGCTGCACAATTACTGGAAATTAGTTTGTATGGTAGCAGCAAAAACGGCCGAGTTGCCCCCAGTTGTCTGTATGATATGTATTGAACTGCCAAACTATGCACGGCAATAGTGCCGTAATATGGAATGTTTATACTTTTTCCTGACATTCTTTATTCCAGCCTATTCCGAAAATACACCGCTTATTCTGAATTGTCATTTCCAATTAAAAGAGACACTGCTGCAGGTCCCCAAAAGCTACCTCAGTCTCCAAACTCCCTACAGCTGGACTCTGACATCAGAGGAAAACAGGAGTAAAACCAAGCATTCGAACGTCTGTCCAGTGGTAAATGCAGCACTAGCAGCAGAAAATGTGGAACCTGTGAAGGGCGACAGTCTGCGTGAGAAAAGCTTCTGGTATTTTAGCTTCAGGACAATTCGATTTAAGTAAAATCTCAATTTTAGGGCTTAAGGGGCTAATAACGAGCTAGACACCTTCGCTTACGTTAGTTATACATTAGTTGAGGGTTGATATAAACAAGTCCACACATACCACCCGTGTAGTCCATTGAGATACTATCCGAATCCAGCAATGGTCAAATGCCAGCAATGTATATAATAAATGTTCCTTGTTTGTTTTTTTACTTTTCCCCTGCACTTGGGCTGTCTTACTTGTGATTTTTTCTTGATGGCCCAGACTGTATTTAACATGTTGCTCGAGCAGCATGCAGCTTTTCTGGTTCGGCGATCTTGTTTAAAAACAGAGATACAAAAAAAAAATAATAAACATAACCTGCCAATTCATTCAGACCATCAGCAGCATTTATTGTGCGAGATGTAAATCTATAGTGATGCTCCTGCAATTGTGGCCATATTTCTTTATTTTCATATACCAGCTGCGATTCATGCGTTGCCTGTCCTGTCATGCATGCTTAAAATGTTGGTCGAAGTTTCGCCTGTAGCTACAGGCCATACCTCAATAAAAGCGCATATAAAAATTTACACTTCCTACGAAAAACACGCAAAAAAAAAAATTAAATAGAAACGAGCGCGCCGACAGCTAGCGTCGTCACAGCCTCCACAGGGCGAGCGGGGCGAGCAGGGGAAAAATTCTCTCCTCGCCGTGACGTCACCCCGGTTCACCTTAAGGGGGCGCCACGCAAACTTCTCGGGGCTAATAAGCGGAGAAGCCCTGGCCTAAGCAACGGCTAAGCAAACAAAACAGCTTAAAAAAGGCAAAAAAAAACACGGAACTAAGAGAAAAAAAAACAAAAACAAAGAGGAGCTTTTTTTTTTCTTTTTTGGTTACGGGTCGCGCGCTGCACCCTAAGAGGTACAAAGTTACCTCGATTTTTCCGAATAAAAGGTCCGTTCATTATGCGAGTAAATACGGACGCAAAAATTTTACTTTGCATACCTAACTTTGCATTGATTTTTTTGAAAAAAAAAAGTGTGTTCATTCTTCGTGTAAATACGGTATGTCATGGGCGTATCGGGAAAATTGGAAGAAACTAAAATGCGGCAGTACTTTAGTTGTACTTGACAAAATTGTCGTACATGGGATATCTGTTTGGGTCGGTAAACCTCGGTACCGGTGCTCATGCAACGACTTCTGACGAGTGTGCCATTGGTTGTTGCGGTCACGTGACTGATTACGCCAGCCAGTGGGAGCGAAGTGCTACCTATGAGGGAGCAATGCTGCAGCGGCGGCACCATTGCAATGGCCACCAAGGTTTGTGATGTTATTAGTCAATGAAGTCCACAAAATTTGGCGGTGAAGACATTGCAGATGTTATGTGTCACCCTATTTTGTTAAACTGTAATGTGCCAAAGTCCTCTCATATAATGTATTCAATATTAAAAATTCTACTTTTATACTGCACTGTTTTAATCACAGGTGCCATATACTCGAAAGACTTAAACGCTACCTTTCGTTGCATAACTCGAAATCAGTGAAAAGTATCCATGGAGGCTTTATGCTCTCCTTGAACACGGTTCACAGTTTCACGCGACTCTCATCATTTCAACGGCTTCGTGCCTTTTGTACCTCCAAATTAGGAAATAAGGGGGGGAGAACCTCGATGGAAAGTTGTTTAATTTGAAAACGGCTACTTTGCGAACGTCCACGTCGGCCATTTTGATGCCACATCCTCCGCACGACGCTATTACGCAGGTGGAATTCGTCGAAGAGCTGCCGAAGACCATCAGCGGCAAAGTTTTGCGCAGTTTGCTGAGGGAAAGGGAAAAGCCAATCAAGAAGGCCTAAAGCCCGCCTCCCCCCCCCCCCCTCCCAAGTGGATTACAGGACGTTGGCATCGGCTCTTTCGAGCCTTCGTTCCGGCCTCGGATGTTATTGGTGGTGGCCTGCAGCATGCTCTGTGCGATGCGATCCATTTATAACGATACCAGATATAACGATGTACTGCTTATAATGATCAGTTTCGAGAGTTTTTAGACTAGAAATGCTCAGTTTCTAGTCCAGATACAACGATAATTGGTTATAACGATAAAATTTTTGTGTTGTCTCATTATTGTTATAAGTGGTTTGCACTTAGTCACAGATGGGATGAAAACGGCGCAGAGGTGTTTTAGTTGTCCTACCTCCAGCTCAAGCTTCCTGTTTGATAACACTTGGGCGTTAAGTGAGCCTCCAGTATGCACGCGCAGCCAGAGCCGTTTATACTGAGAGAGTTCAGCGGGTAGGTAGAGCTTGTGACCCGCTAAATTTAGCTAGAACTAGCCGACCTCGCGATAATGCAAGATGGATGTACGCCACTCCACTCTCGGCGATCCCCCTCAAATTTGCGGTTACAAGTGGCGTTATGCAAACATTTCTGATACATCTGTATTCCGTCCCACCTGTAATTGATCACTGCATTCAAAGGCCGCTTGTTTTTTATTGATCTCCAATAACAAAACTTACAAATAACCATGCGCACAACCAAAGAATTGAAGAAGGTAATGAGTGCGTGCTGGAAGTTGAGCTTCATGAGATGCCCTGCTGTTCTTACCTTGCCACTATGACCTACTAAACATTCTTAATGTACAAGGCGTTCCTGAGAAAAGAGAAGTGCAATATGTTTTGGCGGGTAAATAAACTATGCATCGCAGAAAGTTCAAACTCTATGGGAATGTGATGCTAGCGGTGGGGATAGAACGCGAAATGTTTGAGAACATATGTTACCCGAACATTTAGATAATTGAGAGAGACAAAATTTCTCTACGAGCAGACGCCCACCTAAGCCTTATATAGTCGAAACAAAAAATGACACTGTGGCCGCATGTAGCATCTATTTCACCGGAAAGAAAACTTGTTAACAGGAAAAAAACATTGTCCTTTTTCTTGCCGACAAGTGTTTTTCACCGACATAAAGTCCACATGCTTCCACGATGTCAGTCCTTGTTTTGACGATATGCGAAGAGCAAGTCATCTACTTCTTGCGCAGGAGTTGTGGTGACATCAGAATGACACCGTGCTCTGATTGGCATTGATTGAAAGGATAGCGGGTAGACCTCAATGCTGGATACCTTGAGGTCTACCCACTATTTTATTTTCAAAGAACCAATAAGAGCTCAGCATTGTGATACCATTGCGACACCTGTGCAAGAAGCAGACAAAGCAGACAAACTTGCGCTCGGCGTTGGGCTTACCGTAGAATATCGCGTATCCGCCCATTCCACATTAAGCGCCCACCCACAAATTTGTAAGATCTGAGAAAATATGCATAGTACATTGATATGTAAAATTGATGACCGGACAAGTGCTCATCCCCCATTTTTTTGCGATTATATCTCAATTTTGAGCGGGCGCTTGCCCGGTATTTTACGGTACCACCTACCGTAAAATACCGGGCAAGTGCCCACTCAAAATTGAGAGATAATCGCAAAAAAATGGGGGATGAGCACTTGTTTATCTTCGTTGGCTCACAGAGAAATTTGATCTTTCTCAGCTATTTTTTGATCCAGGTATTATCATGTTCTTTAAAGTTTTTGCGTTTTATTCCAACCGCTCGCATCACATTCTCATGGAGAGTGAGCCATCTGCGATGCATGCTTTATTTGCGTGAGCCAAAGAATACGCTTCTTTTTCTCAGGAGCGCTCAGCACTTTTTTTACATAATTTGCAATCTGTGATCCTTTTTATCACGTGTTTATCGATCAAATTCAATGAGCACCGAACAAAGCTGCGAAATGTTTTTCTGTACTGTGGGTGTATGTGCATTGTGTTTATATGCTTACAGAGGGGGAAAGGAATCTGATGTCTCCGCCGTTCATGAAACATTTTGCCATTGGAGTACCACCGCTAGTCTAGAATTTTTATTGTGCACCACGCAGTAGTGATATACAATCCCGAAGCCAGTACGATGCTCATTCAGATAGAGATGGGCAGGGGTGGGGATTGAACCCAGGATCCCTGGATTCTACAGCGAGAGCTGGTGCTCCACTCTCTCCGAGCTGTGGTGCATCAACGCATTCGACCACCTATCCCTCATTTGTTTCTGGAAAGTATCGGTGTGATGAAAGCGTCAGCGCTGTCAAAAAAAGACCCTCAATTTGAAAAAAAAAGTAGCCACTGTGTTTTTTTATATAGAATGTCTTCAGTTGGAACTGATGCACAACCAATTTTTTAATGAAAAAAGACGACGAGTGGGTTACTTGTCTGCAATGTTTTAATTCACATAGTCCCGATCGTGTTTGCAGGATTAAAAAAAAATATCATTGTGTTTTTCCACGTACAGTTGAAGGCTAGAATCGGCTGCCTGCAGTAATATTGTTTAAATGCTTTTAAATTACCTGTTTTTCTATTCCCCCCCCCCCCCCCCCCCCAAAAAAAAAAAAAAAAGAAATTCTTGTTCACTTTATGATAAAGACCAGGATTCTCAAACTCATTTGAGCGTTAGGGCCAGATAGCCCACCCACAAAATGTCGAGGGCCAGCATAGGGCGGGGTTAATATATATTGGGGAGCTTTCATAGACAGCGTTTCCCCGTCCGCTGAGGCCTCCGCAATGAGGAAGCCGCTACTGCGCCTGCGCTTCGATGGCCTTGTAGAAACCAAGCACCGAATCATTACTGCATCGCTCAATTCCCTACGGAAGTATCAGAGTTCAGTATGTCTAGAGATAAATTCTTTTCGTACGTTGGTTCTTGCTTTCCTGACGATTTTTATAGCAGAATTACAACAACATACTTTCATCTTAACGGTATGTAAAACGAAACAATCCTCGATCTGAAAGAAAACAGATCAGTGGTAGATATGTTAAAATGTCATAAGTGCAGAGCTACGTTTTCGGTGGAAATGAATGTACGACAAGATGTCATTATGGCGCATGTAGCGCTCGAGGGAACGAGTGCCCGCAGCCACGGGACACTTGCGGGCCGCGTCCCAAAGAGTCGCGGGCCACGTGTTTGATTGAGATTCCTGATATGGACTGACGCACTGTTTACAAACAAGTCAGCATTTGCCCACACAAGGTGTGGGCGAGACGTCACGGCCACTTGTTGATCTGCCTGCTATAATGCCCTTTTGATTCTGTAAAATGCCCTGAATAAATCATTAATAAATACAATTTTTTTGAGAGTCTGGCCAATTTTACTCTGTGAGATGCTATTAGAATGCTACAATTTTTATATGTATTTAAGTTATTGGCTCATACCATTTCTCTTATTTGTGAATGCAGGCAAGAAGTAATTTTGCTCCTCTTTGTTTTTATTTGTGCTATCTGTCATAAAATCGGTCTTTGCAAAGCCACGGGTCCATATCGCATGTGCGAATGACGTTTTAGCGAATGGCGACATTTGATCGAATCGACGTTTTACCAAATAACGGGGGCGCGCGTTAACCCACCCGCCGCGCTGCGCAGCCCTGCGCTTACGCCCTCCGCTTTGCGGCGACAGTCTGCGGTGGCTTATTACAAAAATGTGAACCCACATGGCCCACAGAAAACGCCGCTTCGCGGTGTCCGACTATACGCTAAAGTGTCATCCGGTGAAACGTGGGCGTTCATTCAAATGTCATTTGATCAAGTGAGTGCCTCCCCATTCTAAGTACTACACCCAGGAAGTGGACATTTATATACTGGGTGATTCAAGGAGCGGCCAGGCTCTTCAAATCGACCGGAAAATTCGGTTTCTTAACCTATCGCACTATGACTTTGTGCAGCGTTGTCCACAGATGGTGCATTTTTTTTTTTGTAAAATTTGCAAAGAGCGAATTTATTTGAGGAAAAAATAAAGAAAGAAAAAGACTTAGCTTCTATGGAAATGCAGCGAAGCCGCCGGTCTTCAAACAATACGGTGCCGTTTGGCACGGGAAACGAGATGGCGCAAGCGGTCGCGACGCCAACTGCCGCCGACGAACGAGCATCCGGCGCTGAGAGCCGGCGTCTTTAGCAGATGATCTTTTCGACTCAAAAGCGGAGCGCGTTCTGCAAGCGGCGACAGAACCAAAGACAGACGCGGTAACAAAAAGGAACTGCAAAGTAGACGACATCAGTACCCCGAAAAAAAACTGTCAAAATATCTGACAAACCATTTTTTTAATCGATTATGTGTCCATTCAATATGTTTTATTAGTAAGGATGATAAAATAATGCATTGGCATCTAATATCAGAAAAGCTCGCGCCGCTTTTGAGTCGAAAAGATTGTCTGCTAATCGCAACTCCAACGCCCTATAGGTGGCGGGGCGGTAGTTCCAAGATGTCGGAAGAGACGGGGATCAAGGCAAGAAGGTTATAAGTATTGGGAGGGGGCACGTTGCAATATTCGTGAAGTCTAGTCATAAAAAAAATTGTGGTGGCTTAGCTCGGCTATGTCAGGATATACGTAGCGTGAGCTTATACGCACAAAATGAGAGGCGCTATCAAGCGGCTCCGGTGCAGCGTCAGACTTGGCTATAGGCTCCTTGCACTGACATCACATCGCATACTTTTGAACACCTCATAAAAGGAGGAGAGGGAAGCTGCTCTTGTAAGAATTTTCTATAATCTTTTGGGAGGAGAATAGCGACGCCTGTGCAAATCCGGGAGGCTCCTGATAAGAGGGGAGCTCCTCCTTCCTCTTTTCTCTGGAGGTTATCGGAAACGACGTCATGTGAAAGCTACGTATACTGCGTAACAGAGGCGCACAGCTGGGCACGCGGCGGTGCCAATGGGTTTGCTGCGGCTATTATGTCGCTCTGGACATAATAGCCGCAGCAGACGAGGCACGCCCGGCAGCGGCGGCTCCGGCGCGCCAGGTGTGCGCCGTGTGACGTCACTGCTCCTCGCGCTTGCGCAGCACGGCTCTTTGGGAGCCACGCGAAACTGCTCAACCTCAACCAGTGTAGCTCAAAGCTACAAAAAAAAAACAAAAAAAAAAACGGCGTCGTATTGTTTGAAGACCGATGGCTTGCTGCGTTTCCGCAGGAGCTAAGCCTTTTTCTTTCTTTACTTTTTCCTCAATTAAGTTCGCTCTTTGCAAATAAAAAAATTCACCATTTGTGGGCAATGCTGCACAAAGTCGTAGTGGTCGTAGCGCAATAGGTTAAATGGGCCCTGCAATCATATTTAAAGGGATTGTCTGGTCAAATTTTGTATTCAAGAAAACAATGGAATATCATTGTTATTGCCTCGAGACGGATCGTACGTGCAATATCTGAATTTTATATGCCCCTCTGCGTAAGTAATTGAATTTATGTTGCTCCAATCGCATTCTAGCGTAAACGCTGCGTTCGTTGGCAACATTGAAGCTCTGACGTCACAAAACACAAAGCGAGCATTTTTGTCTGCCTCAGCGTGCTTCGTCTTTGTTGTTGTGCTCGATTTGTTTCGTATTTGGGTGAGACTTTTGTTGCGCGGTTGGGTGCCACAACGACCGGGCAGCACGTGCGAGCCAAGACATGACGTTCCACACTTTTCCGCGACACGTGCATTGTCGAGCGAAGTAGATCGTCGCCGTGGGTAGGGACTAGGTTCCAGTCAAGATCGAGATTCCGCTTATGCAGCAATCATCTCACAGAAGAGAGCTACGAGCTCAGCTCTAAGCGGACAGAAGCTTGTAAGCTGTGGTGTGATGCTGTGCCAACGATATTAAACAACGTCCATCCACTCCTTGCCCAAATTAATCAATTTGATTATGCAGCGAAACCGAAACCAACAGCTAGGCCATCTGGAAATGATACCAGAAGTTGTATTTAGCACGCGTGCAGCTCGATTCTGTTTGACCCGCGTGTGAAAATGGAGCGTGACTATGATTCACCTAGCTCGTCCAAGTCAAGTGACGACATGCATTTGAACGATTCGCCGTTTGTCTTCGACCCGCGGACATCACCTCTGAGGGAACAACCCGCAGCCTCATCACCGACCCAGTGGATCCGCTGACATGTGTACCCAGATGCCGCTTCGTGTACTTAGGTGTACGCTTCAGAGGCGAAATCTGCATCCTTTGCTTTGCGAGGGCCTTTGTTCGATCGGTAGCCGTCGC